TATTGCATAATTTCATTTATATCACCAAGTAATTAAAGAATTATTTATAATCCTTTATTTTATTTAGATATTAATTTAAATTATAAATTAGTATGACCTGCCATCATTTTTATCACTTAATTAATATTTTCATTATGAATTTGAATTATACTTTTTAAAACTTCAATTATTTATGCTTTTCTTTATTTATCTACAATTTATTGATTAGGTTTTTTTTTTTCAGATTTTTTATGAACTGAAAAGTAAACAGCAAGACTTATTTTAACAAATTTTTAAACAAATTCTTAAGTACTAGGTGAATTTTAAGAATTTGTAACCATTTAAAGAAATATCTAAGAAGCTATTCTATAATGCAAAGTATCATAAATAGCTATTTTAGATAATAAATCCATCAATTATATTTATGATTTAGTTGTTAAATTTTGATTATTAGCTACATTGGCAATGAAATTAAAAACAACCAAGCTTGGATATGTTTTCTCTTGTAAATTTATTATAAATGGATCAAGAACTATTGATAATGGGATTGAAGGGATAGTTTAGAAAATTATTAAAAGATTTTATAGTATAAAATGTACTAAATTTTCGTTTGTTAATTCTACTAGTTAAATAGCAATTCTATATTTAAAATAAACTTTTACATTTTATACAAAATTGGTGCTTCTGGAATTTTATTTTTTCCAAAATATTCTAAAGCAGAAAACAAAAACTATATAGAAAATAAAGCTACACATTCTCTAGGATCTTATGTGGCTGTTTTAAAAACATTATGCACTCGTTCTTAATGCTATTAATATTAATTTTTTAGCCAAATGTTATGAATAAGTCTTAAAATACAAATTTTTTCATCTGATTTTAAAGTATTTGTACTTTCAAGAATTTCCAAACCCTATTCTAACCATTGTTGCATTATACCCATAGATTAAATTTCTAAAATATACTCAGGTGTGAGTGAATTAAAAAGTTTTTCAACATTAATTAACATTTCAATATTATTTGCACTATGTTATTTAAGAATTGAAGTGAAAAGATCAACTAAATGAAATTTACAAAATAATATCATTAAATCTACTAAAGAATCTACTAATTATGGATGTCTTTTAATTGATAAAAGTGTTGTTTAAAAACAAGATTCAACATACCATTAATATATATCCTCTTTATATGATATTTTATTATTATAAGCTTATATAACAAAATTTCCAAGAGTTTTAATAGTTTCAATACAAACTTCAGGTGATTTAGATACTAATCCTGGTTTTAATAGATTTAATGAAAAACCTAAGGCTTTATCTTTTTCTATTGCTATTAAATTTTATAGATGTTCAACTGATAAAAAGACATCCTTATAAATTGAGATTATTGGTTCATATACCCTTTAAACACCTTTTGTAACTATTTAGGCCCAAAATTTAAAATTTTCAGCATATAATGATATAACCTATTTGTATTACAAATTCAACCATTTTGATAATAATTATGTAAAGTATTCTAAAGTATTTGAATCAGATATTTAAACTTACTCTTATGTTTAGCTAAGATTTAAATGATTATATCCTTAAGATTATGGTTATTATTCAGATAAAATTCTATTTCTGACGTTTGGAGATGCTTTAGGCTTACTCAATCTGGCTTATTGCATCTTTAAATAAAATTCAAACAATTAATTAAGTGTGTCTTCAATTACCTACACATCTCCCATTAATATTAATTTTTTAATATCATTGTTTATATCATTTGGTATTTACAATTAGTTTATTGCACTTATTATTATATTCCAATTATACAACTTTGTAGATGCTGTAGTTAATTATTTAAGTTAATCTAATTGAGCAATAGGAGTCAGAGTTCTTATTAAATTAATGATAAATACCTTTATGAAATCTCTTATTTTAAATTATAAATTGATTTAACTAACTTGCCTACTGCAATTCCATTTTCAATTAAATTTTATTAAGCTTCTGTTAAAATAATGGGATTTTTATTGGCTTGCTTAATTGTTTCAAACACCTTTAAAGTTGATAAGTGATTATAAAGTGCATATGATAATTTCATAGTTATATTATTATTAATATATATACAAAAACTTTGAAATAATTAATTTATAAGTTTATATATTTCTATATTTGAATAAAAAATGAGATAGAGCCTCATAAAAGATAAAATTATTATTGATATACTTAGTGTTAGATTTGTATTTTTATATTATTCTTATTTTAAAATAATAGTTTAAATAAATGATTAATTATATTTAAAACTCATATTAGTAAAATAAAAGAATTCAACATGTTATTTTTCGAGGCTGTTTATGATCATCATCAAATTGTTCTATTGTAGTTTGGCTCTTAGATTTTATACTTGAGTTCTTAAGATATCATTTAATTATTACCTCTAAGGTGGTTTAAGAAGTTCCCTTAGATCGACAACCAATTTCATTACCATCAAGTTAGCTTTTGGCTATGAAAAATACCATAATATCACTTTCAACTATTGTTTGATATCTATTATAGAATTTATTTGAGACTTGAAAATGCGATTAAGATAATCTTCTAACTGCGATTTTCTATCTCGTAAATCAGCAGCATCAGAGATATTAACTAATTTTTTTTCAGGGAAATTAGGTAATGGAAAATCAAGATGAATGTTTTTTATTTGTCTATGATAATCTCTTAAGTCTTGAAATCGTTAAGTAAATCTCCAACTTTTATTTGTAATAGTATCTGTTGCTTAAATTGTATAAAGGGCTGAATCATCAAATATGAGATGATCTTCGAACTTAAAAATATATTACTATCTAGAAATATTAAGTGTTAATACTTGCTTTGTTATTCAATTTTTTTTTGGGGTAAAGAGAATATTGAATCCCCATGTTTTGCTAAATAGGATTCTTTAAGTTATTGTATTTCTTGCCATCTTCTATCAACAGGTGTATCATTTTGTTTCTATGCACTCAATTTAGGCTCTTTAGGAAGCATTTCTTCAATTACTCCAAGACAATGTAATTCTGGGCAAGCTAGTATTTCATTCAGATATTATTATAATTCTCCTCTCTTTAAATAAAATCAAAGTTTACTCGCTTAATTATACTTTCTTCACTTTAATTTGTATGAAACAAGAACTTCTTCTTAGGAAAATGAATCACAGGGATTTTTATTTTAAATATTTAAATCCATTCCAATATTTTTTAATGCATGGATTCTAATTCCGAATATCTTTTTTTCAGCTCTTTAGGTTCCCCTCCTTCCAAATTACATATACTAATTGTATAGTATACTTTTTTATCAATTGTCTCATGTTTAGGTATTTTTACAGAATATCTTTGAGCTGATTGTTTCATTTAATTAATTATAAATCCAATTTTATATATATATTCAACCAATCATAGCAACGTAATCTATTCTGCAATCTCTTGATTTTTCAAGATTGTATGAATTTAACATTCTCTTTTCTATATAATCCCATTTATAAAGTTATAAACCCAACTTTATTATATTAAATTTATATAAATTATTAACAGTACAAATTTATTTTAAAGAAAATAGTATAAGGTTTTACAGATATTATTAATTTCATAATGATAAGTATAATAAAAAAAGAACCTTTTAATTGACATTTGACAATTTATAAATTAAGATCTAATTATAAAATGGTTAAATAAATCTAAAATACATTTTAAAATTCATATAGAAATTTTCTTTTAATTAAATATACTAAAAATTTACCTTATATAAATAAGATATTTACTATAAGTATTATTATTTTTACAGATTGTTAAATATTGGTTAAGGATTTTTCAACTTTAAAAGTTTGATTAGTTGTTTAATAACAATCATTGTATATAATGAGAAATTTATCTGATCTAAATATTATTTAAGAGTAATTAGGTTAAGTATTATTAATTCAAAAAAAAATTATAGTAAAATATAATAAATGGGGAATGCTTGTAGATGTCATTAACAACCTGATAATTTCAATGAAGACCAAGAATCTAATAATCCAGAAGTATATTAAGCACACACTGATAAACCAGAGGATGATAAATGTGAATAATAATCGATTTCTAAATGGAGAAATATTTAAGAAGGTTTGATTTATAATCTAAAATAAGATGATAACCTTCCTCTTCCAGAGTTTAGAGAAGAAATAGCAAAATCAAATAATGGAAGCCGAATTCAATTACCTCCTGTCACAATGAAATCAGGGAATATGTAGAGATTATGAACTAGCTTAGTTATGAGGGAGAATGGCTGAATTAAAAAAAAGATGGCAAAGGGAAATTCACTTGGAAAGATGGCAGTTACTTCGAAGGAGATTTTGTTTAAGACAAAGCTTAAGGGACAGGGAAATTAGTTCATGTTAATGGTGATTCATATGAGGGAGAATGGTAAAATGATATGGCTCAAGGTCATGGAGTTTTCATTCATTTTAGAGGAGTTAAATATGCAGGATAATGGAAATACGATCTTTAGGATGGAGAAGGATAAGAAACATGGCCTGATGGTACTGAATATAAAGGAACTTACAAAGAGGGGAAAAGACATGGACAAGGATATATGTAATTTTAAGATGGTTCTAAATATGAAGGGAATTTTGAGAATAATGAAATTTGTGGATATGGTTGTTATACATGGAAAGATGGCAAACAATATAAGGGATAATGGTTGAATAATAAGATGCATGGTATTTTTAATTATTGAATATATTAAAGGTTAGGGAGAATGTATTTGGAAAGATGGAAAGAGTTATAAAGGAGAATATGCAGATGATAAAAAAAATGGATATGGAGTATTTACTTGGGCAAGTGGGAAAAGATATGAAGGATATTGGTAAGATGGTAAATAACATGGAGATGGAATTATTATAAACGCTGAGGGAGTTAGAAGAGAAGGATTATGGGAATATGGTAAACCAAAGAATTTAGATTGATTTTATTTGTATCTACAACACTGTTAAATTTAAGAGATTAAATATATAATAATCTATATAAAATAAAATTCAAAATGGAGGAAGTTGATGGGAATTATATTGAATGTTTAAGTTAAGGAGGCTCTTCTCCTTATAAACCTATGGATAATCTATTTCAAATCTACTCTGATAAAGTTAGCAAAAAATCTGAATAATAAAGAAGGTTCTTTAGTGGATAAAAACAAGCTACCGAACCAATTGAATAATTGAGTAATAATGGTTATTCGAATTCTGAGAGCAAACAAAAAACATAAAACAAAGAAGCTGTTCAAATTTAGCTTATCTCATTTTATGAATAAAACCTTCAAAACTTAAAGTAGATGGTTATAGATAAAGATGAAGATATCAAAATTAGAGATGAGAAGATTCTTGAACAATCAATTCTTATCAATCTCATTAATACTTAATATAATAAGATTCAAAACCTTTTATAATAAGAAAGGGATGAAATTCTTGTAAAATATATGTAAGCAATGGATGAAATACAAAATCTAAGTTAAAAGTATTAATAACAATAGCAATAATAATAATAGTAACTTATGTCTATGTAATAAAAAATCTAGCAATAATTACAATAATAAATAACATAGCATTTGCAAAATTTTCAGGTTCCTATGGATTATGACTCTAAATTAATAGAATTTCATGAAGCAAAATAACAGGTTAATCATTATAAGAATTAATGCATTAATCTAGAAGTAAAAGTCAAAGAAGCAGAAGTAAAATTAGAAGATTCGAATTTAAGATTGAATGAAGCTTATATCAGAATAGATCTATTAGAAAAAGAAGCAAGGAATGTCTCATAATAAAATGTATATCTATTTATTTAACATATAGATTATGCTTGATTAATAATTTAAATCATTATTATAACAATTTGAATAGTATTAATAAATATAGAAAAAACAAAGTTAATAATTTTAATTCCGTGAAGCTGCAAGTATGATGAGTAGCGTTTATAGTAATTAATCAACTAGTGAATAATAAATTCTTCAAAATGTAAATTAGAATGGTTCAAAGTATGAGTAACTCTAAGAAAATGATAATTTAATAAATGCTTACACTTAATTTAAAAAATAGAATAGTCTTAAATAATTCAATTAGATGTTAGTTTAATCTTAAATTAAATAACAAAATGGTAAATAAGACAATTAACAAATATCATATAATTAAGGAGGAATTTTAAATTTTCCATCTGATTTTCGCACTTAATAATAGAAAGATTTAGAATTATAATTAACTAATTAGTTGAATGAATTGACTATAAAAAAATAAACATTAGAAAGTGAATTAAATAAAAAGATTAATGTATCNGATTAAATATATAATAATCTATATAAAATAAAATTCAAAATGGAGGAAGTTGATGGGAATTATATTGAATGTTTAAGTTAAGGAGGCTCTTCTCCTTATAAACCTATGGATAATCTATTTCAAATCTACTCTGATAAAGTTAGCAAAAAATCTGAATAATAAAGAAGGTTCTTTAGTGGATAAAAACAAGCTACCGAACCAATTGAATAATTGAGTAATAATGGTTATTCGAATTCTGAGAGCAAACAAAAAACATAAAACAAAGAAGCTGTTCAAATTTAGCTTATCTCATTTTATGAATAAAACCTTCAAAACTTAAAGTAGATGGTTATAGATAAAGATGAAGATATCAAAATTAGAGATGAGAAGATTCTTGAACAATCAATTCTTATCAATCTCATTAATACTTAATATAATAAGATTCAAAACCTTTTATAATAAGAAAGGGATGAAATTCTTGTAAAATATATGTAAGCAATGGATGAAATACAAAATCTAAGTTAAAAGTATTAATAACAATAGCAATAATAATAATAGTAACTTATGTCTATGTAATAAAAAATCTAGCAATAATTACAATAATAAATAACATAGCATTTGCAAAATTTTCAGGTTCCTATGGATTATGACTCTAAATTAATAGAATTTCATGAAGCAAAATAACAGGTTAATCATTATAAGAATTAATGCATTAATCTAGAAGTAAAAGTCAAAGAAGCAGAAGTAAAATTAGAAGATTCGAATTTAAGATTGAATGAAGCTTATATCAGAATAGATCTATTAGAAAAAGAAGCAAGGAATGTCTCATAATAAAATGTATATCTATTTATTTAACATATAGATTATGCTTGATTAATAATTTAAATCATTATTATAACAATTTGAATAGTATTAATAAATATAGAAAAAACAAAGTTAATAATTTTAATTCCGTGAAGCTGCAAGTATGATGAGTAGCGTTTATAGTAATTAATCAACTAGTGAATAATAAATTCTTCAAAATGTAAATTAGAATGGTTCAAAGTATGAGTAACTCTAAGAAAATGATAATTTAATAAATGCTTACACTTAATTTAAAAAATAGAATAGTCTTAAATAATTCAATTAGATGTTAGTTTAATCTTAAATTAAATAACAAAATGGTAAATAAGACAATTAACAAATATCATATAATTAAGGAGGAATTTTAAATTTTCCATCTGATTTTCGCACTTAATAATAGAAAGATTTAGAATTATAATTAACTAATTAGTTGAATGAATTGACTATAAAAAAATAAACATTAGAAAGTGAATTAAATAAAAAGATTAATGTATCAAAAAGTGCTTTGGAAAGAAGAAAAAGAGAATAAATTGAGCATGAATTAGATTAAATTTAAGATTAAATAAATAAAGTAAAACTAAAATTAAGAGAGAATAAATTTATTTGATATTTATACTTGTTTAGAATATAAAATAAATTAGTGTTTAGATATATATATTATTGAAAAAAAAAATAATTTAAATTAAACAATCAAAATAAATATTTAAAATATATATTGTTCATATTATAAAATTCAAAATATCATTTTTTTTATTATTACTGCAACTTTTATTGTTATTTTTGTTAAGCTTTCTCTAATAATCCTTCAAGTTGACCTTTTCTTTAAGCCATCTTAAAAAGTTCAAGAATGAATGGAATATAATTATGTTTTCTTCTTGAATTTTCTTCCTAATTTAGATAATATGAATATAAATACTTTGAATTTTTAAAACTTAGCATTTTCTTCACTCAAAGTAATTTAAGCTTCTTAAATTCTAGTGTTTGCAAGATTTAATCTATTTAATAATTCTTCTTTTGATTCTTATAGTAATTCTTATTCAATATTCTTTTATATAGTATTCAAATTTACTTGTTAATTTGATAGTTAAATTAATTATTGATTCTATTCTTCATTTAATTCAGCTCCTATAAACTCTAAGGTTTTGAGAGTCAATAATATTTCATTTTATGATTATGAAATAATTTAATTAGCCTAAATCAATAATAGATTATACTCTAAATTTTCTACATTAGTTAACAGCTAATAAAGTAAAGGCAGTTTCTTTTTCTTAGTAATGTTAAATCCTTTTTAAGATAGCTTCTTTTGCTTTAACAATCCAATCATCTTGATATTCACCAATCAAAATAGGTCCTTCTTAAAGGCCATCTAATTCATAAACTTTTCCTTTGAAGGGAATATAAGAAACAAAATGAAAGATATCATCACCTTCCTAAAATAAAAATTAAGATAATTACTTTAGCCTTTTTCTTTTCATTAGAGAAAATGAATGGTTCAGGGCGAGCAAAACTATTATGAGCAGTTTTAATGACTTCAACAGCTCCTAAACAATTTCCCCTTTCTTTAGGATCTAGAGCAATAGCAAATTCCTAAATTATTTAATAGTATATTACTTTATAATTTTTAAGCGCTTCTCCAATTTCAATTTAAGGGCAATTAAGTAAAATTGAAATGATGGCTTAAGTTGCACATGCATTCTATATTACTTAATTGGCAAAGAAGAGGTCCTAGTCATAAATTTTGAGACATTCTCTTTTTTCACCTTTACTTGTCCATCTGAATAAGAATATGAATCCATAAATGGGTTGCATTTATGCCATCTATTATTCATCATTTAGATCATAAATCTCTTCAACTTGAACTCCTTAAACTCCAATTGTATTAATGAGCTCAGTGAATACTCCAGGGTCAGACTCTATTGTACACCACTCTTGCATAAATAATTATATATATTTTAATTAATTGGACAGATAAACAATTAGTAATACCTATTGAAAAATAAGAAGTAAATGATCTCAATCAATAGGTAAAAGGTTGAAAAGAATTATCCTTTTAAATTTAGTATAAGCTTCATACAAAATGACTATCACAATTTTAATTGTTGTTTTGATGTATTTCATTAGTAGATATATTGAATAGTTCCTTACTCAGAACATTTAGATATATAAGAGTGTAATAAATCTTGGCTATAAATCAGAGTCTAATATGTAGTTCATTTTTTCTATATTGCTTTTTATTTACAATGTTAGAAATTCTAAAAATGACAATATCAATTATAAATTTTGAGTTTATCAAAATGATGTCATTAATCTAAATTAAGAAAAAATTTATTTTAGCTTTGTAACTATCAATTATTATTATTGTTTGCAAACTTTGCTAATCATCAAGTTTGTGTTTCTATAAAAATTTTCTTTAGATTTATTAATGTAGATTTTTTCTATTCTTCTTATAATATCATTCGATTAATTGATATTAGACACTTTATTTGCAAATAATATGCTTTAATTTTATGAAGATTATATATTTGGGTAGAGATTCTTCTAATATTTTGTATTTGGAGATTATTTTATTAATTTACTCTAGATTTATTCAACCTAATTTCAATGTTTTTCTAAATTCTTGGTCTAAATTTTAGGGATCAATTTGATCAATACTTAACGCTTAAATTCCCATTTTAAGAATTAAATAATTTATATGTCTAATATTTTCATATATTAGTATAATTATTAGAGCTTTGCTTAAAATTTATATTATTATTTAAATAAAGGTTAACAAAACAATAATGATATTATTAAATATAATTCTATTATTTATTATCTTGTTTACAATGAAAATTCTGCATATTAAAGATCGATCTTTACTTTATTTACCCTAAGAATGCCTTGAAAATTTATTAATTCATTAATATAATTTAAATTAAGATTAATTTAATATTAATTTAATATTTATAAATGATGCTAATTCTAATTTTTTTCTTTCAAATAATAATTATAAATTAATGGTTATCGTTTCAATACTAATTTTAAAAAATCTTATCTAATTCAAATATGATAAATACAAAGTAATATGAACATAATTTTCAAGTATCCTACTATTCTTTATTATATTACTCAACACAATAGATTATTTGACTGACACAATTAAATAATTTTTTGTGTTAATAAGAATAAAAAATGGACTAGATGAATAAATATACATTAGAATTTCGAGCATCAGATATTGAAATAAAGTATTAAAAACAATCAATCTACAAATTACTCAAGCCTCTCCATCATGGTCTCATTTTAATGTCACTATTATTGAATACAATTTAGATAATTACTGTAACAACTAGAGAATCCTATTCAATACCATTTATCAATATCACTTTTATAGGATTATCTCTATTTAGTTTTGTTATTATTTATAAAAAAGAGTCATTAACATAGAAAATGATGACTATTGAAAATGCTTATATCTTATTATTATAGTTGAACTTTACTGCAAATAATATACATGGTTAAGAATACTTTTTATATGGGAGTAGTTTTTCTTTAATTCAGGCAGTAACCTATTTTGCTACAGATTTTTATTTAAGTTGTCCTTCAGTTATATTTCATTTGATATTTCGATTAGTTGTGACTACCTTGTCTGCAGATAAATTTGATTTGGTAGGATTGGGTCTAACGATAACTACAGCAATATTTTTAATTAGTGTGTTATATATATGTAATAAGGCATAAAGATTATAATTCTTAATGAATTATAAAGAAGATACAATTAACTATCAATTATAAACTTTAATCAATAAACCTTTTACAAAGATTATGTATAATGAAAAGAAACTATAAATAGATGTACTTTAGGTTAATTAGGTAAATTAATTTTTTGGATATAAGTAAGATTTATGTTTTGGATGTAATATAAGAAATTTTATAAGAAATTGTAAGATTGCTGATAGAGCATTAGAGAAATGGATAATAAATGATTAAGAAAATTTAAAGAAAAATTGGATTGCAATGGTTTAAAGAACAAAAATAAAGATAAGGCTTTGTTAATTTAATACTGATAATAGTTTGATATTAATTTTAGAGAATTCAAAATTGGATACAAAATAAAAATAAGTTCCTTAGTTTGTGACAAATCAATTAGTTGAATAATTTTTGAATAGTAAGAAAACTCTTTTGAATTAATAATTTAAATTTGGGGTCATGTCAATTTTAATGTTAGGTCAATATAAAATAAAGACAATAAATATAGTAAAGGTATTGAAAAAATTATTAAATACATATGTATTTTCAGGGAAAGTAAATTTAAATTTAAATGGTTATAAGATGATAAAATTGAAGACTTATGCATAATTTTTGTATATATTCTTAATTTAAGTTTTTAATATCATTTAAGATATGGAATACTCTTAAAATATATTTAATGAAATAAGTATTAATAGTTTTGATAATTATCTTGTTTTTCAATTGAAACTATCAAATAAACTTTAATTTGTATAATTGTACTAAAAGAATTTTTTTATTAAATATACTGAATAACATTTATTAGTTACACCATTAACATAAGATTTAGTATTTTATTTTAATAAATTAATTCCATTTGATGAAACGAATGCTTCAATATGATATTTAATACTTGATAATTTAATTTATATTAATAATTATTTCAATATAATTCAAGTAAATATCACATTTACTTGTTTAAGAAGATAGATTTATTTCTAATAAATTAACAAAAATTAATTTTTGTTTGACTTTGTAATTAGAAAATTAAATTTTTGTTTATATATAATATATTTAATATATGAATAATTAACCTGTGTATATGTCTGTTGAGTAAATAAATGCTTTGTTTTAGAGGGATTCAACTTATGAAATTAGAGATGATCGTATTAATTCGTTTTAAAATGATATTAAGAAAAATGAAGTAATGAAATTAAGTATGTTAAGATTTGGAAGTCTGAAGGTGCTGAATGTGAAGAAAATAGGCCTACTAATTAAAGTGAGAGTATGATGATGAGTAAGAATTATTTTGGTTTAAGTTTTTAAGTAACTAGAGAGGAGTATTAGAGTTTGTAATAGGAATATGAGAGACGTAAAGATATGGAGGAGAAATATAAGGAGGATATAAATAAATTAATGAAAGAACTTAAATAGAAGAGTGGAGAACTGGAGAGTGTAAAAAGAGATTAAGATTTATTATTTGAATAGAATTAAAGAAGAGAATGTATTGAATTTATATTAAATGGAAAGAAATACTCTAGAATTTGAGATAATAAATTTAAGAAGCAAATAATCGAGAACAGAAGGCTGTTATTGAATTGGCTGAGATGTAGGAGTAACATTTGTAGATGAAATAGTAATTGGAAATAGTTTAGCAGAAGTATAACTATTTGTAGAAACAATACAAATTTGAAATAGATAGAAAAGAAAAATAAATTGATTAATTCAAGAGTTAAATAATATCTTTGAATGAAGATAATGAAAAACTTAAAAATGAACATTAGGCTGGGATTCTCTATCTCGATTCTTAGAGGGTGTCATAGGAAAAGATTTAAAATTAATGGACATAATTTAATTCGAGTGCTTATAAGAGTAGTATTTAATTCCAAAAGGAAAAACCAATTACTTAGATTTAGTTTAAGAGTAATTATGATTCCAAACTAATTTTCGGAAAAAAGTCTCAAAATTCATTAAAATAACAATAATCCTAATCCGATATGTAGTTGAAAGGATAATGAGTTTAATATTATATTATATATATTAAGATATAAATGCCTCCTAAAAAAGAATAATAAGAAGAGAAAAAGAATAAATTAGGAAGACCTAGTAATACTCTTAAGATGGGTATAGTTGGTATGGCAAATGTGGGTAAGGAATACATTTTATAAAAAAATAGGAAAATCAACCACATTTAATACTTTGTGTAAATTAAATGTTCCAGCAGAAAATTATCCATTCTGTACAATTGATCCCAATAATGCTAAAGTTCCTGTTCCAGATGATAGATTTATTAAATTATGTCAAATGCATAAACCAAAAAGTGAGATTTAAGCTGTATTAAGTATAGTTGATATAGCTGGGTATTGATATAATAAAAATATTAAATTAGTTTAGTACCAGGGGCACATAAAGGAGAAGGATTAGGAAATGCTTTCTTATCACATATAAAAGAATGTGATGGAATTTATCATGTTGTTAGAGCATTTGAAGATGAAAATGTTTGTCATACTGAATTATCAGTTGATCCAATTAGGTAGATTAGATAATTATATTGAATAGAGATATGGATATTATATCAACTGAATTGTTATTAAAAGATTTAGAATTCTGTAATAATAGATTAGCAGAAACAGAACACGTAATTAAAAGAAATAACAATAAAGATGCTAGAGAAGAAAAAGAAGTTTTGGATAAAGTGAAATAATTATTAGATAATAAGAAATGGGTCAGAACAGGAGATTGGAATTTTAAGGAAGTTGAAATATTGAATAAATATTATTTTATTACAGCAAAGAATGTTGTATATTTGGTGAATTTAAGTTAATAAGATTTTATGACAAGAAAGAATAAATGGTTGAAAGGTATTAAAGATTGGGTTGATGCTAATTGTCCAGGAGATATTATTCCATATAGTGCAGATTTAGAAAAGGCTATTTTTGAAGAGTATTTCACTTTTATAATAAATCAAGATCTCAAGCTGGTACTATAACTTAAGAAAGATAAAAATTATCAATGTTACCAAGAATCATTAAAACTGGCTATAAAGCTTTAGATTTGATTTATTTTTTCACTGCTGGTGAAGATGAAGTCAGATGTTGGACTATTAGAGCAGGAACTAAAGCACCTTAAGCTGCTGGAGTAATTCATACAGATTTTGAAAAAGGATTCATTTGTGCTGAAGTTATGAAGTATGAAGATTTTGTAAATTTGGGATCTATCACAGCAGTTAAAGCTGAAGGTAAGTATAGACAATAGGGTAAAGAATATGTTGTTGAAGATGGAGATATTTGTTTCTTTAAATTTAATGTTGGAGGTGGAGGCAAAAAATGAGTGTTAAAATATACATATAGTAAATTAAAATAGATAGATTTATATTATATATATTTAAATGTTGTGTGTCAAATCTTTTATTAATCTTAATCTTTCGATTCAACAGTTGAAATGTTTCCTATTTCTAAATGATATTAATTCAGTTTAACATCATCCAAATCAAATGAATGATTTACTTAATCACATGTGATGAAATCTTATCTGGATTGAAAATATTTAAATGGAAAAGAATATTCTATCTTAGTAACAAATCCCTTAAATTATCATCTTTAATAATTACTTTAGATAATTTCATCATAAAACCATCAAATAATTGATATTCTATAAATGCAAAAAAAGCTGCTGCTATTAGATCTAATCTAGGGAATTCAATTATGTTCATAATTAAAAAAAATGTTGGAGGATAATATTTTGATTGAAGAGAAAATGGAAAACATAGGAATTTTTATGGTTCATCATAATGGTTAAGTGCTCTTATATAATAAGACAAACTATACTTATTCATCATGTAAATAAAAGTGATATTCCAAAAGCCAAAAGACTAAGTATCTAGAATTTCCAAAGTTAAATATGAAAGTGAAAAACATAGCATAACATAAATAATCTATTTATTAATTTTTAAATACTTGTATGATCAGATTCTTAAAGAATATATCACAAAAAAATGGTATTGTACCATAACTTTTTTCAACTTCAATAGCACAAAACAAAAATCCCAGTAAACTTATTGTAATATTATATATATCGCCTATTGTTAGTAGATTATTAACATACCATGAAAGAATTATGGAATAAGTAATCTCCATAATTCGAATTTATATATAGTTTTATTAGGGATGTCTACAAATACATTGAATAATTAATCATTAGTTAGTAAATCAAGGATGCAGCAAATTGTGCTCATTATCAGAACAAATTTTGTCCCAAAAGTGATGCTTTACCATATAGCAATAATTTTATCTATAATTAACATTGATAATTTTATAATTTAATATTCATTGTTAATTTTGATGCTAAAAGCATTTTTTTGTTCAATTTCCCATTTATTCGAGTGAATATAATGATAATCTTTGAGTTTCAAAATTATTATAGTTATCAATAATAATGAAAAAAGAACTTAAAAATTACTTATGATTTTTCCAAAAAAATAATAATAAAGTATATAATTAAATGAGTTATCTTATAGAATAATTATATAAAATAATTTAGGGTAAATATTACTTATTGTAATCTATTGATAATATTCTTAATCAATTATTGGTGAACATAAAATAGATTTATTGGAAAAAATTTTTAATTTATTAAGTATAAACTCAATTGATAAATAATATAAAATCTAATTAACCTTTTTAAAGTTAATAAAAATCCTCACTTCAAAACTACCTTTAATATTCTTAATTAGATTATATATATACAATATATATATAATATAATTTATCAAATATAATTATTTTATTTAATTTTTATAATAAAATTATAATAAATAACTTAAATAAATTAGTGTTAATTAATCAAAAGTCAGCATCCATAGTAAATACTTTATCTTATTTTTTACTCATAACTCCAGCCTTTTAATAGTCTCCAACTCTTCTTTCGAAGAAATTAGTTTTACCTTATAGGGATATCATATCCATCCATTCAAAAGGATTCTTTGAATTGTAAATCTTAGGAGCTCCCAAAGCAAATATCAATCTATCTGCTACGAATTCAATATATTATTTCATTAAATTAGAATTCATTCCAATTAATTCAACTGATAAAGCTTCACTAATGAATTCTTTTTCAATTTCTACAGCTGATGAAATGATTTCATGAATTCTTTAATTACTCAATTTATTGATTAAATGTTTGTAAAGAAGACAAGCAAAGTCTGTATGGAGACCTTCATCTCTTGAAATTAATTCATTTGAAAAAGTAAGTCCAGGCATTAATGATCTTTTTTTGATCCAAAATATAGCACAAAATGAACCAGAAAAGAAGATACCTTCAACAGCAGCAAAGGCAATTAATCTTTCAGCAAATGAATCATTATTATTAATCCATTTCATAGCCCACATTGCTTTCTTTTGAATTACAGGTACATTATCTATAGCATGAAGAAGATAGTTCTTTTCATTCTCATCAGTTATATATGTATCAATCAAAAGTGAATAAGTTTCTGAATGAATGTTCTCCATAGCTATTTAAAATCCATAGAAACATCTAGCTTCAGGAACTTGTACTTCTGTACAGAACTATTATGCCAAGTTCTCATTCACAATACCATCACTTGCTGCAAAGAAGGCAAGTACATACTTAATAAAGTGCTTTTCATCTGCAGTGAGTTTTTCCCAATCTTTAAGATCCTAAAATTTTATTAATTAAATGTCTTACCTAATATAAATCTATTTCTTCAGCTGTCCAGAAACTTGCTTTATGTTATTTATACATATTCCAAATATCATTATATTTGATTGGAAATAGTACAAATCTATTTGGATTTTATTTCAAAAGTGGTTCATCACATTCATTCTATTAAACAACTGTTTAACTTGTCTACACAATTGATAAAGGATTGAAGGTTTGAGTCTTTGTGTTGCCGCTAAATTCTTAATTTTAAATGAGCATTTTTTGTGTTTGAAATTTAAATTATTATTTTATAATAAACTTGAATTTTTGGTTTAAAATGATAAACTTTGTTCTAATATTCATAATTTAAAAAACGGCGGTTCTCTCTTTCTTTTATAATAAATTCAATAACTCAATAACACTATTCCAATTGTATAAATACAAGTTCACACACTCTATCAAAGTATTCAATAATCCCTACAGAAATCATACATAATTTAATACAATAACATAACCCCCTATTGCCATTTCTAATATATTTGTCTTAGGCTTATCATTAACATATATAAATGTCTTAAGCCTTTCTTTCAGCATTTTAATCAAGAAGTCTTTCAATTTTAAGAATATTTCATCTTTTTTTTGTAATCCTATAGACTTTATAGCTAAAAAATAGAGATTTAAATATGGAGAATATATGTATTTGCTAACCTTTACATAATTATTATAATTAGCTTATTCATTCTCTCTATCTTAAATTAATCCTCTCAAAGAATATATATAATATTATTCTTTAGTCTCTCATTTAATATTTTTGACTACACTTTTTTTAAACCTTTTTGTTTATATTACTACTATTCATTTTGTATACCTTATTCATATAGTTTAAATAGGATAATATGTAAGAATAATTAGACAATATGATATAAGTAAAAGTCATAAAAATAGAAACCTATTAAATTACAAATAATTGATTTGAATAAAATGATATTATACTGCTAATTGTGTTTTTGCAAATTTTTTATATAAATCTTGTAATTATATTAACTATTTTATTATATTAACTAAGAAAACCTTTAAAATTATAATATAATTAAATTTTTCATTATTTTTAATAAATTTTCATTCTCTTCGTAATGATTATATATTTTCCAATATGGAAAGAAACCCTTACTATATAGATCGATCTCATGGTAAAATCTTTAATATTTATTACATTTCACTCCAGCTATTATAAAACTTTCCATTTTCACTTTCCCATTCAATCTATTAAATATTTATTTAAAAGTATTCTAGTATTACTCCTTCTCTATCTAAGTATCATTTAAAGTCTACCCTAATTCATCTAAATTAATCCATCCATCTTCATCATGCCAATTTGAACAAAGAATATAAATCTAATCATTAGGAATTGATATATTAGCATTTTCTTTTTAGCATTTTCTATTCAATAAAACTAATTAATTCTATTTGTAATTCGATAATGAACTAAATAGGTAAACACTTCTTCTGCTCTTACTCCTTAGATTTTTAATTTCTTCACTATTTGAATTGATAAGTCTTCAAATTAGTTGATTATTCCAAATTTTAAGTTTTCTCAATAGCCCACCCACTTTTAAGCGATATCTTGGCATTTATGTATAAAAAAAATAAAATATTACTAATTTTTAATCATGTTTTATTTCTTCTAACATTGTTAAATCATCATTTTCTTTTATTAACTATTTTCTCTTATTATGGTTTTTTGAGATTCCATTATTGTATAATATTCATCACTCAATCTCTTTCTTAAAATCTAAATTAGATTTATTAGGTGATCGTTTTGAAGGATTTGGAGTTATTGAAATGTCAATAGATATCTTTCTTTTGATTTAACCTTTCTTTAAACAAGTGGTTCCTCTTGGCATTTTATCAGGGGAGACTTTTAATTTCTTTTCAGAATTTCTTAAGTTCTTATTTTAAAACATTAAGATCATTTGTCTTTTATGTTTGGCTATTAATCCAATTAATATAACATTTTATTCTTTGACCATTTATGTTAATTATAAAAGGATATCTTTCACTATTTTTTCAATACACAAAAATTACTAATACTTGTGTATTTCTAGATTAATTATATAGTTTTTTTTCAATTATTCATTCTTTTTAGATTTATTATATAATTTGAACATTTATAAGTTATGATTAATATATAAAACAAAAATAACTAAAAAGTAAAAAAATTTCAAACAATTCCAAATTATTCCTACCTCTTGGCAATTAATTATAATTCCTTAAGAAATGTCATGTTTTGCATGGTGAGTTCATCATTCTATTATTCAATAATTTCATTTTATTTTTCTATTTTTTCCTTTGCTTATCGATACTTCTCCTTAACTTACTCTAACTAAAAAATAATATATATGTTATGTAATACCTTTTCTATATTTTATTTTAATTAATCTTTTAATGATTCTATTTACTTTTAATTATCACTTTGACTCTTGGTTTATACTTTTTCTTTATTATTTTAGTCTTATTCTAATTATTTGATTAAAATCTTTAATTTAGCATTTTCAGTTTCAAATCTATTACATTAATCTTTTAATTGTGATAATTATGTTTGATATTGAATTATCTAAGATTTTTATTATGATATTTCTTATTCTATAGTTTTTAATTTATTATTTGTAAATTGCAATTCATAAGTTAATTTATCATTTTTTCTTTTATATTCATTTACTTATTCATCTAATTATGTAATAGTTGTATTTTATTAAATATATTCTGGAATTTCATTAAATTAAGTGTTTGTTGATCTTTCAATTTTGTTAAAATGTGAAAATTAAACTTTTTCTTCTAATTATTTTACTTTCTTAAATGTTTATTAATATTTATTTTCTAAGATAGAATTTTGAATTTTATAATTTTCTATTTCATTATTCAATTTTTCATTTTAAACTTGAAATTAATTAACTTATTATGCAGATTCTTTAAATTTTATAATTTCTTATTTTGATAATTCATATTATTCTTCTAAGTATTGATTTTCATTTTAAAGTTAAATAATTTATTTTTTTAATTTATTAAGTTGATCTGTATAATTTGATTTTTCATTTTATAATTGATTAAGTTAATCTTGTAGTTAAGAATTTTTAATTTTTTATTGATCAAGATCTTTGAGACTCTTTTCATATAATTCTTTAGTTAATTGAACTTCATAATTGGAGATTTATTAATTTGAAGATTTCTTTTGACTAAGAATTCTATGATGATTGAAATTCTCTTTTTCAAAACCAAATGATTCTGCTAGAGTTTTTTAATGAAATGATTCACTAGTACGACTATCACTAAGATCAGTTTCACCTAGATTAACAACTTAATAAGTAAAATGAATTTTTGCATTTGGATCTGGACTTCTTTCTAAATTAAGTTCACATTGTCCTTCAATAGGCATAGTTTCATTAATATTAAAATTGACAACTCCAGCTAATTTTGATTATCCATCAACATTCAAAAGAGCTATAAGATGAGTCTTTTTTTAAGTGTTTTCACCAACATTAAAATCAAATGTGAGTACCTCATTAACAATAAAAATATTTTTAGTTTTTTCTTTGGTTCTAGTCAAACATTTATTGAGCCCACGTTTCCACATTACTTATAAAGTACAGGGAAATTTAACAGAAAGTTCTACTTTGCTTATATTGAGAGTAACTTAATAGCGGAAAGCCTTCATTTAAAATTGAGAATCAGTTAATTAAATAATGTATCAATAGGGAAACAACTATGATTTTAAGATAATATTAGGTAGAGTGAAAGAGAAGAATATGAGTTTGAGATTATGCTACAGTTAAACAAAGAGTGAAGATTATGAGATAGTAGTCAAATTGAAAGTAAAGAGTAACATTGATGTAAAAACTGCCGATAGTGAATTTAAAGAGAGGTGTAAAAGTACTTACACTATTCTAACATCGTTTGTGTAATAAAGAATCTAGACGATGTTAGGAAATAAATTCGTGATTTTTTGAAGCCCACGTTTGCACTCAATTATCATGTAGATGAACATTATGCATACATAACTTTTACATATTCTAATCAAGTAGAATTGTAAGAGTTTATGGAAATCTGTTAATTTATACGAGAGACAATGGAGAGATCATAAGAAAAAGAGTAGGTTGAATTATTGATTGAAAGTGATTTATCATTTGATAAATTAAGTGAGAGTATATCTAATGCTGTTTATCAAATGAATATAGAGATATAAGGCAAAGCAGAATTTTAAAAGGATACTGTCAAGTTGTTAGAAAACCTTAAGATGTGTAAATAAGAGAATTTACCTTTCTTTTTGTAATAAAAATATTTGAGTCAAATATTAATATATCTATAATTATTATAGAAGGCTCATGCAGAAGTAGAGATAGATAAGATTCAATATGATTTGGGATTTGCTTAACCAAGTATTGAATTGCCTTTCAAATTTGCAATCTATGGAAAATTGTAAAGATTTGCTGAATAATATTTGGATTAAGGAATCGAATTAATAATTAAAGGACCTGGTTTGAGTGTTGAGATAAATTATAATTATAAAGGGAGTTTGTTCAAATTGATTGACAATATTTTAATTATTAAATAATGAAATGCAACACAATATTATAATAATATAAAGAAAATGAATGTTTTAGAACAATCATTAAAATAAATATAAGAATTGTATTTTAAAGGTCAATATAGAAAAGCATATGAATAATTATAGAAATTAGGGAGTGATTTGGAAACTTATGATTAAAAATTTTAATTATTTTAAAGACAAGAATGTAAAATAGAATTATTGGCTGCTTTTTATACAGAATATGGTAGTGTTGCTTTGAAATTAAGTTTATTGGATATTTCGAAAAAATGTGTACAATGTGCATTATATCATTTAAAAGATTTTACAAATATGAATTTATTTATAATGAATATCCTAACATATTAAAGAATCAATTTTTGGTTGTCTCGGTATATAATTTCCTTTTATATAGATTAGATATCATGATTCCATTTATTTATTAAAAAGACTCTTGAATATTGTGCCTAATTCTCTCATTCATTATAAAATTGAAATCTTTATCAATATTGCAAATTCCTAAAGAGCTTGGTGTATTTATGATGAAGCAGAAAATTATATCAACTAAGCTGAATAATTAGCTAATCTACTCAGTTAATCTCATTAGAATGATTTACTCAAAACCAACATTTTATTTCTTAAAGCTAGACTTTATATGGATACAGATAGAAGTAAATATGGATTGGATTTTGCATTAGAGTATGTAAATAAAATGTTAATTAGTTGTTAGTTGTTTATAATAAAGAGAAATGTTATTACCATCTGATCATCCTGATATTGCTATAGCTATGGAACTTGTTGCCAAAATCAATTTTATTTAGAATATAGTACAAGAAGCATAAAAGTATCATGATTAGGCATATATGATAAAGATCAAGGTCTTTGGATTACACAATTTTGAAACCATTGATTCTATTAATGAAAAGGGACGTCTTTTGCTTTCTTGTAAAAAGGTATCTTTATAATTAAATAAATAGGAATAATAAGCCATATATTATTTTTAATTGATTGGAGAAATCAGTTAAGTATTATTAGGCCCTTATAATTAATATTAAGCACTTTCTTATAATAATTTAGGTTGTGCTTTATTTAATATTGGTAAATATGAATCTTCTATACAATATCACTCTAAAGCATTATTGATATATGAGAAATTTTGTGGTTAACAACATGCTAAATTAGTATTCTCATTAAATTAAATGGCAAATGCTAATAAATTACTTAATAGACCAAAAGCAGCATTTATTATATGGAAGCGTTGTCAAACTATTTTAGAGAAAAATCCTTAAATAAATTCTAAATAGTTGTCTTCTATAAAGTCTAGTTTATAAGGATTGTAAATACAAGAAGAAGATTGATTATTATAATATATATAATATATAAATAAATTGATGTAAAAATCAGGTTAACCTTACATTGACAATTCATTATCGAAAAAAGATGCTCCTGTTTAATATGAACCATAATCTAAATTCACTCCTTTATAATTAATACCACCAATAAATGATAATTTTAAACATTTAAAAAGCATGAAATCATCTAGATCATAGAATAACAGTAAAATCAAAGTCAAGAAGGTTAAACAAAAATTTCCATCTTTAATGGAATTTGATGAAATGCAGACTTAAGATGATGAACTTGAATTTAATGCATACAATATTAAACCATTTGATTCAGTAGCTCCTCAAACTTTCAGGAATATCTATAAGAAAATTGACACTATTTTATAAAAGAAGACTCTCTATCAGAACTAAAAAATGTCTCTTTTTAGCAGTGTAGCAGAATCTTCTAAAATAGAAGTAATTAATTGTTTATAATAAGTATTTTAATAGAAATTAATGCCAAGAACTCTTGGATTGATTCGTCCAAATACAAACAACAATAAAATACTAGATGCATCCAATTTTTGTATGGGAGATAAATATGCAAAAGTATTATGTTCAGGAGTAAAATTAACTCTAGATTATTATGAATAATTGAATCTAAAAAATAATAATCTTACTAGCAGATCCAGTGAATGTCTTAATTAATTAATACCTACAAAATTAAAGGGTCTTAATTTATAAGGAAATAGTTTAGGTTAAGGAGGATAAGAATTTGTAAAAGCTCTAAACACAAGATACGGTCAATTACAGTATCTAAATTTAGAGAATAATAAGTTTAATGATGATGGTTGTCGATAATTATTTAAAATGTTATAAGAAAATACTATCATGTAGAAACTCAATCTCTCACATAATTTAATTACTGATAAATCTATGCCAGAATTTAATATGTTATTATAAAAGAATGCTACTCTTAGTGAAATTTATTTACATTGGAATCGAATTCATTAAATTGGAGGTATATTATTATAAATAATGATTGAGGCTAATATATTATAGCAGCACTTTTTATAAATTATAATGTCAAAGTATTAGATTTATCATTTAATTCTCTTGGTATCAGATATAAAGATGATGCTCAATCTCCATAAAAGAATAGATAACCTTATCAAACTTGGCCAGATTATTTCTCTTCCAAGAATTGTAATCTTATACATTTAGATCTCTCTAATAATTAATTTAATTAATCTTAATCAGAAGCTATTGCTAAAGCACTTGAAGATAATCATAATATATTTGGATTTCATTTTTCAGGCAATATTCATAGTTCTATTGATCATTTAGGTTTTTTAAATATTACCAAATCAACAGTTGAATAAAAAGATGTTATCTTAAAGAAAAATGAAGAATATTAATCTGAAATTATTGGAGCACTTCAAATACCTAGAATAGATGGTTTAAAATAAATATAAAGATAATCTTAATTCTATAATGAAGTTTGTTGGATATGTGATGGATGGGTTGAATGTACATTTCTTTGGTAACCTAATCATTTGGATATTAAAAGAGAACCATTATTCATTCATTTGAGTCATGAAAGATATGCTCCTATCAAATTAGAACTTATGGATGATGAATAAAGAGAAAGATCCCCAATGTCTCGAAAATCTAATTCTTATAAAATATGGTATGTATAAAGAATGGTACCATCAAAATAGCCTATTCGTTTCTTCTTTTCAAGTCCATTATTAAAATAAGCTTAAGTAAGCAGTTCATATGACATTGTTGATTGGCCTAAATCTGAATAAAATAAGAAAGTTTTGTTTTATATGATTAATGAGAAACCTTTAACTTTTCGAAGACCTAGATAATGCAATTAAATAATTCTACCATCAAAATAATAATTTGATGAATTACATTATGAACCTAGTGTACATTGTAAACCAAGAATAAAAGACTATGGTGGAATATTAGATCTTATTATTGATGATACTATTGATGAAAATATTGATTAAACTGATAATTTCTTTAAAGAATGTCATAGAGATTCAGATCAAGAATTCTCAGATTGTTTTGAATGGGATTGGAATAATTCTCAATTAACAAAATTAATAAAAGAATAAGATCAACTTATTTAAGTTAAATAATATTTACATAGAATATATAGAGATTTAGTATCTGCTTATAGACATTATAGTGCTTATTCACCAAGTGGCGATATTTGGAGCATTTCCTTAAATGTTTTTACTGATATTTTTTAATCTTCTTTCGTTGACAATAAATCATACCTTCTTAAAGATTTGGATATATCATTTAGATAAACAACATCCAAATATATTAATTAAACTAGAACATCTACTTCTCATGCATTATTAAGACATCAATTTATTGAAATATTAGTTAGAATGTCAATGGATAAATATTGTAAATAACCTATTTTGATGACTCCATTAGAAGCTTTATAAAGGGTTTATGAAGTGGATGGATTATAGAAGAAAATAGAGAGTGTTTAAGAATCATAAACTTGGAGAGATGTATATTATTGGAGTATGGAATGTAATAGAGTTATCTAAAATAATTAATCAGTTTTAAGATAGTTGTATTAAGAATGTGTTTAAATGAGATAATTAAACTATTTCACAAATAAGTTATTTGCATCTCCTTAATCCTTTAAAGAATTATTTAATAGAGCTGGATTAATAAATGATGTAAATGCAGAGAGAAATGTATTGATTGCATTTGCATTAAGTGTACCTCTTGTATTAGATGAAATCAATTAAGATAGATAGATTTAAATGAGTTATCAAGAATTTGTTGAAGCATTAGCTCGAGTGGCTGAAAAATATGGATAGAATAAAGCAGTGATTAGTTCAGAATAATTAGCATTGAAATTATAACATATTATAGGTTAATTATAAGAGTATTATCAAATTGTAGATGAAAATAAAGTATAATCTAATTAAATCATAATATTTAGATAATCATTCCATAGATGAGACAATCCAAAAAGTAAACCAATTTCCTCTAAGAAAATGTTACTAAATTATTATATGAGATAGATGGTTCACCTATTAATGCCCCATAAATCTATGAATATGATTTTGTAGAATGATTAAAACATAATATATAATAATTTAATATATATATATTGTACATATAAACTAATCAACCTAATTTTACTTTCTTTTTATAATTAATATAAGCTTAATCTTTAGATCTACCTAATGTTACTNTTATGAACCTAGTGTACATTGTAAACCAAGAATAAAAGACTATGGTGGAATATTAGATCTTATTATTGATGATACTATTGATGAAAATATTGATTAAACTGATAATTTCTTTAAAGAATGTCATAGAGATTCAGATCAAGAATTCTCAGATTGTTTTGAATGGGATTGGAATAATTCTCAATTAACAAAATTAATAAAAGAATAAGATCAACTTATTTAAGTTAAATAATATTTACATAGAATATATAGAGATTTAGTATCTGCTTATAGACATTATAGTGCTTATTCACCAAGTGGCGATATTTGGAGCATTTCCTTAAATGTTTTTACTGATATTTTTTAATCTTCTTTCGTTGACAATAAATCATACCTTCTTAAAGATTTGGATATATCATTTAGATAAACAACATCCAAATATATTAATTAAACTAGAACATCTACTTCTCATGCATTATTAAGACATCAATTTATTGAAATATTAGTTAGAATGTCAATGGATAAATATTGTAAATAACCTATTTTGATGACTCCATTAGAAGCTTTATAAAGGGTTTATGAAGTGGATGGATTATAGAAGAAAATAGAGAGTGTTTAAGAATCATAAACTTGGAGAGATGTATATTATTGGAGTATGGAATGTAATAGAGTTATCTAAAATAATTAATCAGTTTTAAGATAGTTGTATTAAGAATGTGTTTAAATGAGATAATTAAACTATTTCACAAATAAGTTATTTGCATCTCCTTAATCCTTTAAAGAATTATTTAATAGAGCTGGATTAATAAATGATGTAAATGCAGAGAGAAATGTATTGATTGCATTTGCATTAAGTGTACCTCTTGTATTAGATGAAATCAATTAAGATAGATAGATTTAAATGAGTTATCAAGAATTTGTTGAAGCATTAGCTCGAGTGGCTGAAAAATATGGATAGAATAAAGCAGTGATTAGTTCAGAATAATTAGCATTGAAATTATAACATATTATAGGTTAATTATAAGAGTATTATCAAATTGTAGATGAAAATAAAGTATAATCTAATTAAATCATAATATTTAGATAATCATTCCATAGATGAGACAATCCAAAAAGTAAACCAATTTCCTCTAAGAAAATGTTACTAAATTATTATATGAGATAGATGGTTCACCTATTAATGCCCCATAAATCTATGAATATGATTTTGTAGAATGATTAAAACATAATATATAATAATTTAATATATATATATTGTACATATAAACTAATCAACCTAATTTTACTTTCTTTTTATAATTAATATAAGCTTAATCTTTAGATCTACCTAATGTTACTACATCTCCTGTTTAAATATCCTTTTAAATTTCTTCTTAATCTATTTATCCATCTATTTAATAGTTCACTTTTCCTCTTTTTTATTAGATTACTGTTTATTTTTATGTTTATTTAGGTTTAGTCTTCTATTGTTATTCATCATCTAAAACCATTTTAATGAAGTTTCTCATCTTCCTCATTGCTTTATTAAAAAGAGGTAATGATTAATTAACAGCATTATCTAATTATTCACTTGCTAATTCAATGTTCTTATATTGTAATCCCATAGCTAATAATAAGGCTGCTTATGTTCTACTCATTCTTATAGCTTTCCCACATTTTTAAGCAAAGAAAATTCTTATTAAATAGTATAATATAATTACTTGCAAATTGATGGTAATATATCTAATATTAAATAAAAGTCAGACATACTTTTACAATAATTATCAAGTCTAGCATAATCACTTAGACTTAATTATTATCTAAGTTCTTCTTTTGTTATAATATTGTCATCTTTTGCAATCTCAATATCATCATCAATATTTGATGTTGTAACATTTGCTTTTAGAATATCAATACAAAGATAAGGTTCTAATTCTTTAAATTCATATCCTAATAAATTAATGAATCTATTTCTAAAATCATTACTAAAAGCCTTGCATAAATTGTCAATTCCAGATTTCTCTTCCTTTACAGATCTCAATACTATACAAGTATACTCTCCTGTTGTATCATTCTTTCTCAAACTCAAATAAGCAGGAGTAAATTCATTTTTACTCCAAAATTTATAAAGTTCTTAAGTTAAACCAAAGGAAACACCTAAATAATCAATTTAAGGTGGATAAACTTCACTTAACTTTTTTAAAAGAGGAGGTAACTTTTTCTTTGGTTAAATCAATTAATCTTTATCATCATTTGCAGTTGCTTATTCTCTAAAATCTATATGTATCAATTAAGCAGAAGGATCTAAAATTTCTCCTTTACAAAATCTATTTAATAATTCCATTGTTTTGCTTCCATAACCCATTTTTTATGCATTTGGATGTGTTGCTATTCTAATTACTCTTACACCTGAATATTAAGGGAATTAATTATCCAAATAATACTTACTTAAAGTCCATGGTATTAAGTCTCCTGATGGTTTCTATTGATTTGTAACTTAATCAACTAAATCTTTTGGTATTGCTCCTTCAAAACATACTTATACAGCACATAAAATGTCTGGCATTGTTTTATCAGTAGGTAATGGACCCAATAATACAAATACTGCATGAGCTGGTGCATCTGATAATAATTATAAATCATTAGGTGAATTCTTATAATGTGATGATATAAACAAGGACATTAAATTAAATAGAAATTTCTCACTTGTTTTTTATGATGAAAATAAAGTATCTCTATTACATAGATACAATTCACAATCATTTGGATGTGGTAATCCTTTTTATAATTTAGGTGCTTCACTTGCATCTAATAATAATAATTCATAAAGCCATTTCTCAACTATATCTTTATTACTATATCTAATTGGATCATTCATTTATAATTCTTTTAATAATCGTGCTTAACCAGTTGGTTTATTTTCTCTTAATTTTTATAGTAATTTCAATGACAATGATCTACCAGTTCCCTCATATCCATTGATAGTACTAGATAAAACTAAAGTATGACTTCCAAACATAGACTTTACAAATTATATTGGAATTGCTGCTGCTTCATCACAAAATACCAAATCTGCATTATTAGCTACTTTAACAAAGTCTTATGGTTGTATGTACTAAACAAATTGTCTATGTGTTTTGTGTGCATTAATTCGAATTACTGCATTATTAAAATCAGGATTTGTTGATTAAATTACATCAAAATGTTGATTTTATCTAAAATCTAAAACCTCCAAACTCTATACTAAAAATTCAAAGAAAGTAACTAAATTTTCTGGAGAAGGAGCTGTTACAAATATATTACTAAACCCTAATTTGAGAGCAGCAGCAGCAGCCATACCAATTGCTGCAGATTTTCCTCTACCTCTAGCAGCACTTATTGATATAGTGTATCTAAAAACTTTTTCTTATAAAGAATCAATGAGTCCTAAGATAATTTTGGCTTAATCTAAAGTTTTACAATTTTTAATCAATTTTTAAGCAATTTCATTAGGTACTGTTTAAGCAAATTCAGCAACTTAATTATTATTTATAGGAGTTCCTTGTTCAATTTTTTCTAAAGCAATTGAGGAAACTGGTAGAAGATTTAATTCATCATCTACAAAAAGGCATCTTGAACATCTACTTAAACTTATAATGAATCGTTCATTAAATCTAGGTTAGATTTCTTTAAAACTAGGAGTTCTCAATCTAGAATGAATATCCATAGTTAGAGAATATAATTGTTTAAGTGAAGACATAGTTTTAACAAGAAATAGAATAATTCCTCCACCTGCAATAGTTTCAACTGTTCTGCATAATATATTTGGAGTTAATGCTTCAAAATCTTATAAAATTAACATATTATATGTATTTCCCAAAACTTTTTATGTTTCTGCATAATAACAATATCTGATTTCATTAGATGAAAGAAATAGATTGAAAGGTTCATTAAATTGAGTCTCTTCCTTCATTTATTAGTTCTTAATTTCAGATTCTCTTTTCTTTTTATGAGTTGTAAATCCCAAATCCTTAAGGTTTATTAGCAATTATTTACTTTCTTATAACACCACAATACTTTTGGCTTTTAAATCATACTCAATTTGCTTAGTAATTAATGCATTGTTGCAACTTAATATTTACCTCTATCTCCAATCATTACAAATATTGAACGAATATGTTCATTAATGCCAGATTGAACAAGTGCTTATATTTATGAATCAAGTTTTTTTTTCATTAATCACAAATTAAATTATATATATATATATTTATTTATCATTCTTTCAACTAATCACATTTTTATCTATATATGGTTTCTGCTTTCTATCCTAGATCTGGTTTAAGAGTTGATATTTTCTAACTGAAAGACTGCCAAGATGATTATTTTTCTTGAGCATATTTAGTAATTTTAGATAATTTAAATGTTTGTTTCATTGCTTTAATTTTCTTCTTTTTAGCTTATCTCTATTATTCATTATCAGTTGGTAAATATTTTAGATTTTCTGGTACTTGAAATTCATCCATTTCTTCAAAATTCATTTTTTTAGAATCATTCAATTATTTCTTAGCTTCTCTTAAATAAATCAAAGGCACAATTTCTCTATTTGAATTTTTCTTAAATCTTATATGATATCCTTCTTCTGTTACTTTTTCAATTGTTCCCAAATAATAACGACCATCTGATGAGTATATTGCTTCACATTATTATCCTACTGCAAATAATTTACTATCTGGAATAGGTTAAACTTTAATAAAAATAGCATGCATTTTCACCACTTCTTAATAACCTATAAATTAGATATCAGCTTCTTATTCTTCTGTATCAATTTAAATAAGCTTTGCATTATACCATTTTCTATCCTATTCATGATATGCCTTAGCTAATTTATCAATATCTTCACCATTAAGTCTATTTACACTAAATAAATTGTCTTATGTTTTTTATAATGATGCTATTTCCTTCTCTTATGCTTCCTTAGCTAATAATAATTCATCCTTGATATTTTTTAATTCTGCAATCGTTGAACTCTCTTCCTCATGAGAAAGTAAAAGATTCACTTTAAACATATGATTTTTCAACATAATCAAAGTTTTATATGCATCCATCACTTTACTCTAATCCAATTGTTAAACAGGAGGTTAGTAATTCTCTGGTGGATCATAATAATCAAATGAATCTATCTTTTATTTTTTATATGCTTCAGACATTTTATTAAATTATATAATAAATCAAAAATGTTAAATGAATTTCTTTCAAAACAATTACATTTATTGAAAATTAAAAAATCATATATTAATAATCATTTAAAGATCAATATAATATAGACTTTAATGCTATTTTTATATTGATATTTGTTAATATTTATTAGTAATCTAAAGAATATATTATATTAATTTAATTAAAAGATAGTTGTAATTTAAAAGAATGAAGATTTTGTAAATTAATTGTTATTTATATAATTTTGAATAATAGTGAATTATTCTTTATATATATATATATTTTTCATTAATCAAAACAATTTCAGTTATTATTAATTCGTTGTTTCTTTCTAAATCCTCTAGTAAAGCTGCTATTTAAATTTTAGGCCTAAGTGTTATTATTTTAAATGGAATCAAGAGTAAATAGATCTAAATATATGTTTTATTAATTACTTTAATCTTATTTCTTATTAGTATCTTGAAAAAATGATAGTACATCCTATTTAGTATATATATGATTGTTAGTAATTTCTTCTTAACAACAGTTTGAATTGGAATTTGCCATAGAGGAATTTGATTAAAATAGATTAATGCTTGATATTTGAAATGAAGATTACTGCATTTATGGATAAGAATTCTATTACTAAATAGGTTACTAGAAACCAACCCATGGAATACTTGATTAAGATTACTAAAAGGAAACAGGTTCACGGTATTATTTCTATTCATATGTTGGATAATAGTAATTTTAAATAGGTTATTAATAATTGTTTTGTTAATTTAAAAGAAATTAATTTGATAGTGGTATTTGATCGATGACTTCCATTTGCTTATAAATTAAGCATTAATCATTCTTTTAAGTGAGATACTATTAAGTATATAGATTTTATGATTAAGCTTAATAACCTTAATTTTCAGCAAGAACATTAAAATTAAAAAGTTAATTATTGTTTTACATCTAAAATATATCTAATGGATTTTGAACTTTAATAATTTACTATTATTGTTAAGGATTTTAAGAATTTCCTGTTAAAAGGCCTTACAAAAAATATTAACTTACTTAATCTGAGCTAATATGAGAACTAGTATCTAAAAATGGATTATTTTATCTTAAAGTTTAATTAGTCTTCATAATATATTCTTTTTGTTTATCATTTTCTTAAATAATATTTGAATTTTTGGTTGTGCTTTCACAATTCATAGACAATAATGTATTTTAAGATAAAGGACTATCAAGTTTTTCATCTAATTATTTTTGAAGTAATTCCTTTGGATATATTTATTCATTTTATAGTTATTATTAAATTTAATCCTAATTTTACTCTAATTCATTGATATTTTAATTAATTTCTAATTTCTATATTGAATGAGAAAAGAATACATTTTAATTATGATTATCACAAGAATCCTCTTTTTTTGTAATAACTTAATTTATTTGACTATTTAATTCTTCTTATTTAACTTGACATTTCAATTCTTCTTATTTAACTTAGTTATCAAATTCCAATTTTTCTATTTAATTCTTTTTTTCATTTTAAGTTTAAAGTTTACATTAAATCTACAGATTTATAATTTCTGATTCTAATCTCAAATTTCTTTATTTTTTAATTTACTACTTTAGATATTCTGAATTTTCTTAAGTAATTTAATTTTAATCCATAATTTTGTGTTCATCTATACATTTATTTTGTTTTAATTCTTAATTTACATTAATATTATCTTTTTCTATAAAATTAGGATGAAAATAAGAATAAAGCTTATTTTAAATTTTAAAAGAGTCATCGATAGATTATTTCTCTTCTAAAATTGAGGAATCAGTTTCTTAAGAGAAGGAAATATGTTCCATATTGAATATGGCCTCTTAAGTTTCTCCTTTTGTATTAGTGCCAGTAGAACTTGAAAAATATTAATTTTCTTAAATAAATTATTTGAAGTTAACGATGTTGCAAGAATGTCTATTTTGAGTTTTAGAAATCCTGTTTTTTTAATCACTCAATTATTGACAACCAATTTGTTAATTTTATTTAATGTTTTCAAAAGATTAAATTTCAAATTAATTTATTTGAGACATTTTTCCATTAGTCTATTCCTCTTACTAGTAAGAAGGACTTACTATATCGATGGTGTTGTCTATGCACTTAATTTTTTTAATTGAATGATTGGACAAGAAACCTGAAGAATTTTCTTATTTTAATTCAACATTTAAATTCTTGGATTTTTAATTAAACTCAAAGTCTCTTTTTTATGGGTTGACTATTGAAAATAAAAACAAAAATTACCTTCCATTTTTCTAGATTTTTCAATTTTAGCATGATTTTTTTTAAACTTCATTTGTTTCTTGGTTTTAGTAAGATAAGGTTCTTAATGTTTTATTTAGATCTATTTATTGTTAATGGCTTCATCAGATATTTAATTTTGATTTTGGTTAAGTTCCTTTAAATATAAATCAAAGGGATATAATGACTTACGTTTTGAAATTGGAATATGGTCTTTGTTAGGTATAATGTGATCTACAATTACAAGATTATTTTTAAATTAATAGGATAGTTCTTTATCTAAATTTTGTTCATTATAGTATTATATCCGTTAAATTGTACTTGATGGGTTAATTGAAGGTTGAAATAGATCTTAAATCTTATTTTTTATCTTTGTTATTATCCCTGGCATAGAGTTTTTGGAAGAACCAAAAGGACTAAAGGGAGTGTAAGTAGATAGCTTATTCTCGAAAAGAATTTTATGCATAATTTAATTAATATATTATAATATTTAGATAATCTAGATGACAAATAATAATATGTTTTAAGAGAACCAAATTGTATGATACCAAATAATTATAACTAATCACAATTAAATATTCCATTTCTTTCTGCCACACTAATCCCTATTCTAAATGTTTAATTATTACACTTACTTAAAATAGAATTTCATCCATTTAAGATCTTATTGAAGGATTACATTTTATTCCAGTTTTATATTAATTTGGTAATCCATTACCTGTTATTGGATTTCTTTAGATTTACTTATTAATTAAAGTGTAGATCATATTTTCTTTATTAGAATAATCGAAAATCTTATTAGCTGCTTCATTTTCTTTCATTCTAGTTAAGGATATAGAGACTTAAGGTCTCTTATAAAATCCAGATTAACTTGTTTTTTTATGAAAATTAATAAATGAGCTATCTCTTTCGATATGTGGAGGTTTAATAAAATCTACAGAATGAGTTAATAAGTCTTTTTTGCTTTGATTTCTAGATGGAGATGGTCTTCTTCTATATCTATGATTTAATTATTTAAATTCTTACTTATAAATTTCATCTCTTTTTGGCATCATATCTTAAAAAGAAGATTCATATTTGCATTAATTGATTTTAATTTAACTTTTATTTTACTTTGTTAATCCTAATTCTGCACTTGTAGCCTATTAAGTAATTATTATTTAGTATTACATTTTTATTAATATGACATCTTTCAGGTTGTTTGACGTATAATTAACATTAATTAAGTTTAAATTAAGCAGAAGCTTATGAAAAATGTCCTTAAGGGAAATGCTTTTTCGATAATATGTTTTTCATCTCAACGAACTTTTTATTATTATTTTTGCTTATATAATAAGTGATTTATTCATAAGACTTAAATTGACAATTATTATAATTTATTTAATGTTACCTAGGATATCTTAAAGTTAATAACTTCATTCAATACATCATTCTGAAGAAGTAACATTAAATGAAGTAAAAAGAAGAAAAAAAGAACTAGAATTATAAGCATAAAGTGTGGAGAATAGAATAAGGTAACTTAGAAATGAAGAAGGCAAATTAATTAAAAGAATATAATTAACAGAATAATTAACATCTGAAGTTTATCAATAAAAAGTAGCAGCACATCTCAAAGTAATAAAATAATTCATATTTATTATAGAAGCAATAAAAATTACAAAAAAATACATTTTATTATAGAAATTAATAGAATGATTCCAAAGAATTTATAGAATAATCTAATGGAAATGAAAGAAATAAAGAACTTTATATAAAAACAACAATAGAACGAAATTAATTGAGGAAAGTTAAATAAGAATTTAGATAATATAAGCATGATGAAGCATAAAATTATAGAAAATTATTATAAAATGAATAATTTAGGTTTATTGAAGAATAAAGAAAATTGTAAGAAAATTAAAAATTAAAAGCAGCTTTAAGAAAATAAGAGTAAAATTTATCTGAACTTTTAATTAGAGAAAAATTAAATGAAAAAAAAATCAAAATAAAGTAAGAACAGGATAAATTAAAAATAAAAACAATATAAGAAAATGAAGAAAAAGAAAAACATATCAAATAATTAGAAATAGAAGAATTATAGATTGTATAAAAGTTATAAGCAACATAATAAAGAGAAAAGGATGTAAAAGGAAAATTAATTGCTGCTACTAAATTATAGCCAGAATAATTTGCTAAAACTTTTCACTCTTTAAATAATACATCAATAATTGCAGAATAATCAAACATATAAAATAATGTATAAATTTATTTTATATAAGAAATAAGAAGAAAATTTATAAGAAATTTAATAAAGTCAAAGTAATAATGTACAAAAAGAAGAATAACATGATGAAGGCCAGTAAGGTACACAGACTGAAGAATGAATACATTCAATTTATATTATATATATATATATATTAAAGATAAATTTATCATTTGTTAATTCTCAAATAATTTGTTAGATTTTATAGTTTATATTTGAGTTAATCAATATTAAACAAGCTTAATTAATATGTTTAAGAAAAACTAATTTAATTTACAACTTCTAGCTTAACTATTAGAGTTTGAAAACAAAGCTTACATACTACCTGAACATTTAGTAAATATTTTATTATTGTAACACTCACTCATTAATATCTCATATCTCTATTAAAGGAATGTAAAATCGTGGATCTACATATTGGTGCTATTTGCAAGACCTTAATTAATAATAAATATAGAATATTTGGACTTTTTAATGTTAGCTTATATTATTCTATGGTTTGTATTTTTATTTAATCAAAACTTTTATGGGGCTTCTCTAATTAGTTTATTTAATACATTATTGAAAACAGCAATTTTCAATTTTGTACTTGAATAAATGAAGGATAATTTGGGAATTTCTATTGGATTATTTATTAGCATATAATAATTTTTGGATGTTTTACTTATATAAGGAACACTTACTGTAAATACCATTAATTTTTAAATCCCTTATTCAAATTACTTAAATATCATAGATTTTATATTAAATATTCTGCTGATTTATTTTTAGTTATTTAAATTTGATTAATTAGTGATATAAATATTAGCTCTAATTAAATCATGCTTTTAGTTTATTTTAGTTATTTTCTATAATAATTATAGAAATAGTTTAATTAGAAAAATTGTGGCGTTTTCTCATTTGGCAACAGTTATATTTGGAATAATTGATTTTGTTAATTATTAACATTCATATACATTAGTAATATTGCCGTTATTGTTAAAAATTATACTTTAAAAATAATTCTCTAATCATAATGTTGATGATCCTATTTTAAAGGCCTCAATATTACTATATGAAGGAAAGGTTTTTGAATGTTTTATAGTTTTAAATAACTTAAAGGATTTAGGGATTATGAGATAAGCTAAATCAAATCAATAAATGAAATTATGTGTTGCTTAAATAATTGTCAAAATATCAAAACCTAATTAAGCATTAAAAGGAGTATGTTAATAATTGATGAAAAATGATGAACAAAATATCTTACTCTCAAATTAATTGAATAGTTTGATTGAAAACAAATTGTCTTTACTTCAAAATTTTAAAGATTTAAATTTCAAATAGTTATTGAATTATAGTAATAAAGTTAATTCTATTAATTACTAATTAGAAAAATTGCATAATGAATAAAATAGTATGATGATATAATCTTTATAAGTATTTTTTTATTCTGAAATTTTGAATGATTTACTTAAAGGTTAATAAATTTAAAGTAGTTTTTCAACATCTTAAGAAACTTAAATTAAATTTAATGATTCAATATTATCAAAGTTAATTTATTTAGTTGCTAATTATTAAAATAATAAGTTAATAGTTAAATCAATATCAAGTAATGCCCCAAAGACCTTTTGCAATAAAACTCTTGAAGAACTAGTTCCATAAGGAGTTAGAGAATGGCATTCATTACTAGTAGATAAATTTGTTACTGATGGTGAATCCAAATATGTTAGAAATTTAAATAATAATTATATAACAAATGAGAATTTCATAGAAAATGTTTAATTTGCTATAGATATATTCTATACTGATTAAGTTGATTTTGTTTGTTTATTTTAACCCACACTTTTGTAAACTAAAACAGTAATAATAAATCAAGATTATTAAATTACTTCAATGAGTTCTGATTTTAGTGATTTTGTAAATTTAAGCAAATATTTTAAAATAGGTTAATAGATTGATAAATTTATACCTTCTGTTACTTAAATTAGAGAAAGTTGTTATTTAGAAAATATGATTGTTATGTAGTCTGATCAAATTCAAAGTTCTAAAAATTTTACTGATAAAAGAGCAGAAATGAATTATTATTGTGATGTCAATATAACAGTTAAAATGGATAATTAGAAAATGTTGTATATGATTATATAATTTGAGAATTTTAAGAAATAATTAATTAAAAAAAATGAAGATTAAATTGTAGAATAATAATAAATTGTTTAGAAGAAGACATATGAAATAATTCCTTTTGAATTAGAAAATAATGCGATATAAGATCCATATGAATTTTCAGAAGATCAATAAGATATAAATTATATGTAGAATTATTTGTACATAGATGAAAAAACTGTTGTTTAATAATAAATTTTTACTCCTAGAGATGAGGAAGTATCTCTTGTTAGATTTTAAAGAGTTGCAAAAAGATTTAAATCTCAATTTAAGAAATCTTAATTTTAAGAAGAATAATAAGCTTAATTTTATGATGTACAATCTTAAGTTTCTTCATTAAAATAATTTAGAAATTCAAAATTTTATCGTAAATATGAACTTTATAATAAATTTCTATAATATGTTCCTTATTACAGATTACATAAATTGGTAATTGCAATAATGTTTTTGTTATGCTTATTTCAAATTATATTCATGATTATTGTATTTTAATATTATTTATTTAGTAATTAACAAGCATGAGTCTAGTAACATTATCAGAAGATATTAATTTATTAGAAATTAAGAATTTAATATTTTAACCTATTGAATTATTTCTAGTAACTAGATGGACATTATTTAATTATAAAAATTAATTGAATGAGAAATAAATTACATTAGAAGAGTATACAAATAGAACAGGTTTTGCTTTATCAAATTTAGATTTAGGTTATGATTAATTAAATAATAATATATAATCCGTACTATTTAAAAAAGAATTATAGGCATTATTGGAAACTAAATATTTTAATGCCTATTAATACTTAGATACATACAAGAATGAATAATATAATATGACTTTGAGAGCAGCCATATAAGTATTATTAAATTTTTAATATACACTAAAAATGAATTATAAAATTGAAAAAACTGTTTCTATAGATACTCCATAAGTGTTTTATAGTTATAAGAATTATAAAGTATTAAATGATATTGCATAATAACTTAATCTTGATGTAATATAAGAAACACTTACAAGAGCAAATTTGATTCAAAAGAACATTGAAACTATATTAGCTCTTGATTAATCTTTACTTTTATTCTTTCTATTTTTAATTTTGATTTTACAGTAAATCATTAATAGAAGATTAAAATAATGTATCAATCTCAAATAATATGTTGATGAGAGAGAGTTAGAACTTGAAATTAAGAAATATTAATAATGTTTAAATTAAATGAGGTTAGATAATTCTTTTAAATTTTAATATAGATTAAATTTGGAATTAAAAGAATAATAATTTTAATAAGTTTAAAGTAATGATATTTAAACAAAAATTAAATTTTAAAAGATATCAAGTAATTTCATTGTTAAATATGGTGTAATTTTATCTGTAATATACATAATATTTTCTTTAAATCATTTCGTGATGTATTTTTTATAAAATAACTTTCTTTATAAATATCCAGAAACAACATTGTTTTTAGAAGGAATTACAAATCTTGGTGTTGATTTTCCATGTATGTTTGCATAACGTGAAATATTGTATGAAAGAAAAAGATTATTTTATTTAACTCAAGAGGATTTTGATAATATTTATTAAAGAATCATATTAGCTTTGAATAACACTGCTAAATTTGATTCATTTCAAAAAGATTTCTCTAAGTATTGTTTATATGTTATTTAGAATATTGGTAACATAAAAATATTAAGATTATTATGAGCAATTATAAGTATCAAATCTATGTGACTATATTCCTATTAATTTAAAGTAAAAAAGTGAATTTATTTGTCCATAAATCTTTAATTAAAATATGTTATTAGGTTTAAAGGCAGTCTTAATTTACAGTTATAATTTAATTGCAAAAGAAATAGAAATTAATAAATTTACTAAAAGATTAATTATTGTATATAATGAATTAGATGGTGTTTTTATTTTATCTTAGATCATTAAGGATGTAAATGCACAATTTGTTTAGGATTTAAAAGAATTAACTTATTAATTAGTCTAAATTTTGTATGTAAAATATAATATTTATGTATTAGATTATTAATATAAGCTACGTAATCTCAATTTCATTGATTATTTTTATATGGATACCAAAAATAGCCATAAGATTTATTAATAATTCTAAACAAATTATATAATTTGTTTAGATTTTACCAAGTTATTCTCTATTCACAAATGATTAGTTTGAAAGAATTTTGAGGAGCTTTTTGAATTAAAAATGATATTATGAATTATTGCATTAGCCATTGATTAATTTTAAGAATTTCAATTATTCACCTATCTATTTTATTATAAAAATAATAATAGATAACAAACTAACATTAATCTCATTAATGCGTATGTTTTATTTAAATAATATTTAAAAATTTGATCCAGAGTTTTAATGAGGATATTTTTGCCACTAATGTCAATCATTTTTTTTCTTATTAATTTAATAAAAACATGATCCTAATCAATGCATTTATATCAAAATTACTAACAAAGTACTTAGAGTACGACGATAAAGCTTATAAATTGCCAGAAAGCTTAACAAACACTCTTTTAATTTTATCCTCTTTATTGAACTTGTCTTACATATATTATGAGAATAATTCTTCTTGGTTGTACATTATAGCATTAATGGCAAGACCTTCCATTATAATTCAAATACCTTATTTTTTTATTTTTGGGAGTTTATTCCTGTTATTACATTCTTTGTATATAATTAAATCAGATCTAATTGGAAGCAATATAATGAGTTTAATAAACTCTTTAATGAAAGTGGGATTAATGAATTTTGTGATTGAATAATTTGATGATATTTAAGGATAAATTATTGGAGGACTTATATTATTCTTTTAAGTATTTGAAATTATGTTTGTTTAAGAGACACTTAATATAGAAACAAAAAACTTTTAAAGAACAGAAATAACAATATTTTATGTGATTTAGTAAATTTTAAATATTTTGCTTATGATTTTTTATAAATTACAATATCACCTTAGAATTATTCAAATTATAGCAATAATAAATTCTGTAGTATCAGGGTTAGATCTGATATTGATTAAAAATTAAAGGAACTCTTTTATTAGATTATTAATGATCTCAATTTAATTGATAACACTTTATGTTGGAATTATTTAATTTATTTAATATGAGAATTCGTTTTCAATTATAATAATTCCTTTTTTATTGAAAATAGTGACTTCAGTCAAATTATCTGATTATATTTTCTGTGAGGATTAGATTATTAATGCATCAATTTTATTATAATAAAGAAAATTTTATGAGTGTTTTTTAATTTTAAATAAAGTTAAGGATGATTAATTTGTGAGGTAGGTAAAACGAAATGTTTTATTAAAGAAATGTGTTGATTAAATAAATTTTGATTTTCAACTAAAAACATAAACTCAATAATTATTTGGAGTGGCACATAAACTTATTTAAAATGATATAAAAAATATAAAAATACTGAATGGTATTAAAAAACAGTTATATCGAAAAATAAATTTATTGTAAAATTGGAAAAACAATGAATTTTCTTAAATTTACATTTATATAAAGTCATTGCTTAAATTAAAATAAGAAATTGATAATTACTATTTAAAAGAACCAAATGGAATGGTTTAAGCATTAATTTGTTTCTTTTATGCAGAAATTTTAAATGATTTACTTGAAGCAAATGATATGATAATTCATGCTAAAAAAAGCATAGAATTATGTTATAATGATTATGTAACCAATAGACATATGTTTTACATTGTTACAAAATATGAAAATCAACAATTACATATGAGTAAAATTTCAAGTAATGCACCTTCTTATGTTTGTAATAAATAATTACAAGAGTTAATTCCTAATGGTATCAAAGAATGGCATGATAAAATAGTTAATGAATTTATCAAAAAAGGAAAAAGTAAATTTATTAGATAATAAAATGAAAATTATATTAATCATGGTTAATTTATTGATTCTGTTGATTTTGCAATAGATATTACATATTCTGATGAACTTAATTTTATATGTCTTATAACTCCGGTTCCATAGTAATAAATGACAATAATAGTAAATGAGAGATACCAAATAACGAACATAACAAATAAAGTTAGTTAAACTAATAAATATTAAGATTTTTTTTAAAAAGGAATGTAGATTAATTAAATATTTCCTGATTTATAAGATATTAAAAGTAGTTGCTACTTAGAAAATGTATAAATAAGTTCATCCAAATTATAATCATCCTTAGTTGATTTATAAGAGGATATTTCTTATTATTGTAGTTTAAATATTAATTTAAAAATACATGAAAATAAAATGATATACATGATTATACAATTAGAGAATTTATCTATAATTTCTTAAAATATTTTAAGTTCTACTAAAAAAGAAACAAAAACACATTAATCAAAATCTAGTTATGGTCTTAGTATAGCTCAAGAAGGTGATCTTATATGTCCTGCTAATATTTTAATTGATGAAGGAGCAGGTAAAAAATAATTGACTCAAATATTTATTCATGAGCTTATTCAAAATGAAATTTAATTTGATACATTGCAACCATAAATTATTTCACCTAGAGCTGAACCAGATCAAAATCTACTAATTAAAAGAGATTCAAAGAATAGTAAGAAATTATCAATTAAATCAATACCATTAATAGAGAATAATTAAAAAGATAAAAAGTTTATTAATTAATAAAAGAATGAATTATTTGATAGAGAAGATTAATCTTAAGTATCCTCTATAAGAATGTTGAGAAATTCAAAATTTTATCGAAAATATGATCTTTTCAATAAATTTAATAAACATACTCCATTGAAAAGATATCATTAATTAATAATCTTACTTTTTCTTTTATGTTTGATTTTATAAGGATCTTTTATCATTATTGTAATATTTAAACTAATATTAGCATTTGACTAGTCTGAATTTAGTAGCGTTCGCAGTTGATATAAATTTACTGGAAATTAAAAATCTATTTTTTCAACCATTAGATATGTTTCTAGTAACAAGATGGAATTTATGGACTTATAATTTTTAAAAAACTAATGGAATTATTTCTCCAGAAGAATATAATTCAGTATCAAAATTTGCTACTTCCAATTTAGCATTAGGTTTTGATTCTCTAAATTCTAATTTAAAATCTGTCCTTAATAGATAAGAATTGTAAAATTTACTCTAAAGTAAATATATAGAATCTTATTCTTATTTGGATACTTTTAAATCTGAATAATATAATATGACTCTAAGAACTGCCATTTCAGTTTTATTAAACTTTTAATACATTTTAAAGATGAATTATATATATGAAAAAACGGTCAAAGCAGATAGCCCATAAATATTTTATAGTTTTAAGAATTATCCCATAATGAGAGATATTATGAATTAATTAAATTAGGATATATTAACATAAACATTGTATCGAGGTGAAAATTTCGAAGATTAACTTAAAACATTATTTTTATTAGAGTAAATATTTCTAATTTTGATAATCATAATAAATTGTTATGTTAAATTCTTCATAAATAAAAGACTAATGTTATTTTTATAGTTGAGTCAATATTCAGATAATGATGCAATTTAAAATGAGATTTAAAAGAGTAAAGTATTACTGGATTAATTATTGGGTGATAATTCATATATATTTAATTATAATCTAGAATTGGATGAAAAGGAAGAATAGTTTTTGAAAGATAAAGGGGATAAAGGATAAAGAACTTTTAAATATTAAAGAAAGAAAAAAATACCTATATATAGATTTTTATTTGTATCAGTATTTTTTTATGCAATCATTACATTAAATAGTTTAATTAATTTTATTGAGTTTTAAGGATATCTATAAAATTATCCTTAAACATCTCAATATAAAAAATAGCTTGGTGATTTAGGTGGTGATATTCCATTGATGTTTGCACAAAGGGAAGTATTATATGGTAGAAAAAACTACATGTATTTAGATGCAGCATATTTTGATAAAATGTGGTTTTACATAAAAGAATCATTGAATAATACTATGAAATATACCTCTCAAGATTTTGATTTTTCTAAGTAATTATATTTTATATAGAAGGATGCTTGTGACTGATTCATTTGTTTAATTTTATGATAGTATTTAGGATGGTGATCTTTGTACCTTTTTACCTGAATATCTAAAAGAGAAATCCAAAGATTTATGTCCAACTATTATGAATTAAAATATGAAACATGGATTGAAGGCTATGTTAATTTATATTTAGAATTTAATTGAAGTGGATATGGCTATAAATAATTTTACTTATAGGGCAGTTCCAACATAGAATGAATTAGAAGGAGCATTTATGATCTCAGAATTAATTAATGTAATAAATTCGTATTTCTATAATGATCTTATTGGATTAACTACTAATTTAGTTAATTAACAAAAAGTAATAAAATTATTAATAATTAATAGATATTTAACATTTTGTATTTACTACTTCTAACCTTTATTATGATAATAATTATTACATTCTTTAGAAACTAAGTATATGAGAATAGTCAAATTATTATTCATTTTGTTTACTTAGTCCCATCTTAAACTTTATTTGCAGATGATACATTTGAAAGATCTATGAGAACACTTATTAATTTATGAATATAATTTTTTATAGTAAAATTTGATATAGAATGTCTCCTATAATCATTTTACAAAATCTTTCTTATTTTTCATTCTATTTCATGCATTCTATTTAAATATTCTCTGATTACTTTGTTTCTCTTAATTAAACTTAATGGAATATTGGCTAATAATAGAGTTGTTTTCTTAATCTAAATGAAATATAAAATGAAAATTACTTCATTATTTATTTTAGTAGCAGTAGGCCACCAAAAGAAAAGATAAATTAAAACTAAAACAACTAAAAATACAATAAAAATGGCTACAGAGGTTGTTGTATTTGTATCAACATCTTTTTGTACACATTACAAAAATAAATCAGTAGTAAAGGAAAAGATTTATCTAAGATAAAGATCTTAAAGTGTATCTAAAATTATACCAATCTATTTTTACTAATTTCATGTGTTTATCTATTTGTATATAATAGAGATAATGCTTTATTATAAGTTGAATTGGATGTAAAATTGTATAAATTATCTGATATAATATAAGAGGGATCTTTCATAATATTATGATACTCTTATAATTGTGATCTGATATCTTCAAAATATCTTGAGAGTGCTAATGATAAAGATTAATCAATGATTCCCTCTATGAATGATTAACAAATATTAATATCAATATCAATTATTTAAAATAAGTATGAACATGCACCAGATTTCATTAAAGAATCAAAATGAGTACTATATGAAGGATTATGATATTATATATTTGAAGAATGTTCTTTTTAGATTTTAGTATTTAGATCATATAATTCTTTTACGAAAGTGGAAGAAATGAGATAAGATGAATTGCCTTAAACTTCAAAATTTGGATCTATAATCATCTACCTAATTACATTATTAGAAAATGTTATATTAGGAACTAATTAACTTGTTGCTTCTATTTCATCAATTAATGATCTAAATGCATTTTATAAATAATCTCCAATTAAAAAATGAGTAAGAAAATATCCTAATAACATTACCATTGAAATAGCAAATTAAAGATAAAAATTACGCTTATTTTTTAAATCATATTTATATTTCTTTCTCTTTTTATGTCTCTCCAATTATTCTTCATCTTCATCTTAAACTTCATCATCATCATCCATAAATCCTTCATTATCTCTATGTATTTCATCATCATCTTCACCTACTTAAAGTGAATTAAAATAACCCTCACAAATATTTACCAATTTCTTTACTTTATTAATTTAAATCTATAAAAATAGTTTCATAATAATCTCTTAATTCTAACTAACCAAACTAAACATGCATGTAATTAATGGTACTGATACTACAGCAAAAGTACATGCAACAATAAATAAAGTAATGATAATAGATGATTCATTTAGTTTTTCTTTTAATTAAGATCCATATATATTTGCACTTTATACTACAGCATCAAAATAATTATTTAATAAATTATAACTAATAAAAAATTAAGATTCTGGATTATATTCTTATAGCAATTCTAATGCCTTAGATAATATTTAAGCAGTTGCTTAATTTAAATCCACCAATTATGTTGATAGAGTTCCACTTTAATCTCTACCAGTCATCTTTACAGAATTTGTTCTTATTAAATCAATTTATTATCCTTCAACAATTGCTGATTGTAAAATAAATTATAATTCTTAAAAATTTGAAATACTCTAATTTAAACCTTATCTTTATTCAGCTATTCTTTTTGTTTAATCAACAAATGGATTTAATTGATTCAATAATTATAATTCGACTGTTTACCATAAAATTCTTTAACCCAAAGCAACTCTTTAATTACTATTAATAACATTCATATATCCATCATATACTCCAAGGAACAATTATTATGATAATATATAATTTAAAAGACCTAAAACACCCAAAAATATGATAAGAAGTGCAGCATTCCATCTAAAACATGTTAAACTTGATTAATTAGCACTTCTGCTCTCCTTTAAGAATTGAACAAAAGTCTTTTTTGATTTATAAACATTTGTATTTCCATTCTCTTACTCTTAATCTTCTTCTTATTTTGATGGCATTTAACCTACTATTTTTGATTATCCATCTTCTTCTTCTTCAATGTCCATATTCTTATATTCTTCTGAATCAAATAATTATCCTCCTATCAAAATCATTGTTTTTATTCCCAAAGATAAATCATTATTTTTATCTTCTACTTTTGATGATGGAGTCTTATCATCATCATTTTTTTAAGAAAATTCATAAGTTTCATCTTATTTTGAAATTGAAATAGCTGACATCTAAAAATTTTAATCAGAAATATACTCTCCAACAAATTTATATATAAATTAATCAGGAAGTTTAAAATTGTTATCTTTTCTATATTGTTTTTTTTATTGTTCAATTTTTTCTTTCATTCCTGGTATTTCTTTTGAATCAAATTAAAATATAAATTTCTAATTAGAATTCAATTATTTTCTTGTTGAAGCCAAACCATATTCAGAAGGAGTTTATAATATAGATTTTTCATTTCTTATTTACTCTAATTTAATAATGTAACCAAATAATTGAGCTTATCTTTCATCCTTTTTATGATGTTAAGATTATGGAACATTAAGTGTAAGATTAGTTTAAACTAAATTTCCTTCTTTATTCTAATTATTAATAAATCTATTCACACATATGATAATTTCACTTACATATACTTAAAATTATTACTATATAAATTAATCTCTACTTTTATATTAAATAGTTGTTTCATAACCTTATTTACTCATAAATTCTTATTTGAATTCTTCAAATTATGGTATTAGATCAGAAACTTAAGTTTTTTTCTTCGATATATAATTTAGATCAATGTGGAATAGACTAATAAATTATGCACTAATGTTTTCAATACACATATCAAAACAATTAACAATCATATAAGCTTAATTTTTAAAATATCTTTCTTGTTTTATTGCAGCAAAGAATTGAGAGCCATTTATTAATGAAGGGATATATCTAATATAAATAAAGAATGGAAAAATGTATCCAGATTTATGTTTTCCTATCAATAATCTTTCTTTATTTATTACTCTACTCTCTTAACTATAAGTATAGCTTTCTAAAAATTAATCATGATATTGAGCATAAATATTTGGCATAAGAACATTAATTTTTCTATCAAGCAATTCTGATTTAGTATAACCAAACATCTTTGCACAAGATTAATTTAAACCTAGAATTCTACTGAAATTTCCATCTTCTGCTGAAATACTAATTAAAGCAGTGGATTCATTAACAAAATCTTTTAAATTATTTATAATCTTTCCACGATCCATTTCTAAAGTCTATAAATTCTTTAATCTTTCTACAACATCTTCAGCTTCTTCTCTATCATTAAGTACATCTATCAAATATCTTGAATACATCATTAATAATGTTGGTGGTAAATCAAAATTGATTTTCATTATACGTTTCCATTAATCATCTAATACTTTGTCAACATACAACATTCTTAAACCTACTTCATATAATTTTCCAAGATCTGGAGTATCTTCTCTTAATTTAATCCAAAAATCTAAATGCAATTAAGTAGATTTTTCTATTAACATTTTAATTTCTCTTAAATTATTTTCAGCAGTAAATTCATTTACATTTGTCAGATTCCCAGAGTCAAACATTTATTCTTCTATTATTTTCCTTAATCTGAATACTAAGAATTATTAATCTAAATAAGGTTTTTCTTAATCTGCCAATGCTAATTCTTACAATGCTTAAATGGTAGATTACATTTTTTCGAATAAAAATAAAGCATGTTAAATTCTCAATTCAATACAATTAGGATAACGAGTCAAACTTAAAACATATGTCTTTTCAACAATATAAATCAATATCACATATTAGTTTTTCATTTATAGATCTTTCACTCCTTTTTTAAATTTTTCAATTCTCTTATCATTCATATTTTTTGGTGAACAAGGACAATCATCTCTTTTACAAGTTACTTTATGATATTCTACATAACCATCTAATAATGATGCAATACTTTCATCTTTATCATAATATCCAACCAATTTAGTTAAATATTATAACAATTACAAAGATTAATCTAAAGAATCAAATTTATTTGAATCTGACATCATTACCTCATATCTATATTCTTTACGCACTAATATTATGATTAATAATAATGGAGTACATATTACCCATAATTATGGTGCTCCATCATAATCTGTATTTTCTAAAATTAATCCTAATACAACCATCATCATAGTCCATAAAATGATCATATGTTGACCATTTAATAATTTTGCAAAGTATATATTCAAATATATACTAGATTTATTAAAAGAATGAAACAATTTAATAGAGAATAATGTTAAGATTATAATAATCAATAATCTTTAATTTTAAACATCTAAAATTGTAAAACATAATACTATCACAACTTTAAAAATTACAAATATTAGATCTTCTCTACCTGTTATTTTGCATTATGGATTATTTATCTAAAATCGAGATTCAAAAAACATTAATGTAACTAGTGTGCTAACAGTAATTAATATAATCACAGCAATAGAACACAATAAAACGTGTAATAAATAATTTCCATTATAACATTATTAATCACTGTATATTTTATGAATATGAGTAGTATTATCACAATTGAATATAGTTAAAAACAATTATAAAATAGGCATGAATAAAACATAATTTAATACTTCAAAAAATATTTTTAAAATCATTAAAGTACCAGTCATTCTACCTAAACTTGAAGATTTTAAAGCTATAAACAATACAACTATTAATAAGAGCATAATTAATCCCATTACAATATAGTTTACTAAAATATAGGTTTAGAAACTCAAATTTTTCAAATAAGGTTAAATCATAAAATAACTAAAAAATGAATTAAGTGTAGATGTCCATGATTTTACTTTCCAAAGTGAAGAAAACTAAATAATTTATTATTATATATACATCATCAATGAAAAAGAAATGAAATACTTACAAACTTTCAATTAGTATAAAAATTACATAAATAAAGAATGGGAAATTATCTCCTAAAATTAAATTATGTACTATTTCGAAAAACATTATTTTAAATGAGTGTTAAATCTTATCTATATTAGTTTTATCATCTTCAAACAATGAAGTTCTTTTCATTTTTATTTAATAATTATATATATATATATAATACTTAATTTTTATATACTATATTATATTTTAATAATACAATAAACATAATCTAATACTATAATATCAATCTATCCAATCTATCTATTTTATTTCTTTTATTTTATTTTATTCACCTAATTCTTCAAGTTATTTTATTATTTAATCTATACTTGGACGTACACTTTAACATGGATTAATCATTTATTTCATTAAATATATTACAGATTTATCTATTGAAATATTTTCTATTTTCTTTAATATTTATGTTTAATCTATTCCATAATTCATTATTTGATCTTTTATTTTTTCTCCTACAAAACTTAATTAGATAATAAATACCTTCAAATAATTATTCTTTTTTAAAAATTTCATAAAATACACAACCTAAAGACCAAATATCCACTTTATTGTTTATTATTACTTTATCTTAAATCATTTCAATTGCCTAAAAAGCAGGAGTTCCAATATTCTATATTATTTCTTAATTTTATGTTCTCACAAATCCCATATCACATAATTTGAATGTATTATCAATTAATAAAAAGTTTTCAGGTTTGATGTCACAATGAATCAAACCAAGCGAATGAAATTCTTAAACACAGTAACTAATCTTTAAATTGCAAACAGAATTACCTTTTTACAAAGGTTTATCTTTTCTGAATCCAAAAAGTTTTATTATTATTGAATATATCTATAAAGATCTAACGTACCTAATTCCATTACAATTATATAGTATTATTCATATTCAAAATGATCAAAAAATCTTATTATACAATTATAAGTTTATTTATCTATTAGTTTATTTATTATATCAATTTAATTCTAACTTTTTCTAAAAAGCAATTTAAGAGCAACTAATTTCTCAATTTTCATTTAATATATTTAGACAGCTTCAAAAACATATCCTTCATATCCCTCTCCAATTACCTTTCTGAATTAATATTGTTTTTCAGGATTATTAATATTTGATATAGTCTTGTTAATGAAATATCTAGGAGTAATTCTTTATTGCATATATTTTATAAATAATTCTAAAAATATAATTACTAAATTAAGCTACATATTTTTAAATTAAATATATAATTTATAAATAAACATGTATATAATACAAGACTAATTATTTATAATNCAATGAAAAAGAAATGAAATACTTACAAACTTTCAATTAGTATAAAAATTACATAAATAAAGAATGGGAAATTATCTCCTAAAATTAAATTATGTACTATTTCGAAAAACATTATTTTAAATGAGTGTTAAATCTTATCTATATTAGTTTTATCATCTTCAAACAATGAAGTTCTTTTCATTTTTATTTAATAATTATATATATATATATAATACTTAATTTTTATATACTATATTATATTTTAATAATACAATAAACATAATCTAATACTATAATATCAATCTATCCAATCTATCTATTTTATTTCTTTTATTTTATTTTATTCACCTAATTCTTCAAGTTATTTTATTATTTAATCTATACTTGGACGTACACTTTAACATGGATTAATCATTTATTTCATTAAATATATTACAGATTTATCTATTGAAATATTTTCTATTTTCTTTAATATTTATGTTTAATCTATTCCATAATTCATTATTTGATCTTTTATTTTTTCTCCTACAAAACTTAATTAGATAATAAATACCTTCAAATAATTATTCTTTTTTAAAAATTTCATAAAATACACAACCTAAAGACCAAATATCCACTTTATTGTTTATTATTACTTTATCTTAAATCATTTCAATTGCCTAAAAAGCAGGAGTTCCAATATTCTATATTATTTCTTAATTTTATGTTCTCACAAATCCCATATCACATAATTTGAATGTATTATCAATTAATAAAAAGTTTTCAGGTTTGATGTCACAATGAATCAAACCAAGCGAATGAAATTCTTAAACACAGTAACTAATCTTTAAATTGCAAACAGAATTACCTTTTTACAAAGGTTTATCTTTTCTGAATCCAAAAAGTTTTATTATTATTGAATATATCTATAAAGATCTAACGTACCTAATTCCATTACAATTATATAGTATTATTCATATTCAAAATGATCAAAAAATCTTATTATACAATTATAAGTTTATTTATCTATTAGTTTATTTATTATATCAATTTAATTCTAACTTTTTCTAAAAAGCAATTTAAGAGCAACTAATTTCTCAATTTTCATTTAATATATTTAGACAGCTTCAAAAACATATCCTTCATATCCCTCTCCAATTACCTTTCTGAATTAATATTGTTTTTCAGGATTATTAATATTTGATATAGTCTTGTTAATGAAATATCTAGGAGTAATTCTTTATTGCATATATTTTATAAATAATTCTAAAAATATAATTACTAAATTAAGCTACATATTTTTAAATTAAATATATAATTTATAAATAAACATGTATATAATACAAGACTAATTATTTATAATAACAAAAATATGATTATATTTATACTAATGTAAAATGAACTCATAAATATTAGTATAAATATGTTTTTTCTATATAAAAATCTCTTTATTCCTAATAATATATTTGGATATGTCTCAGATTTTAATTAAAAAGAAAATAAATATATAGTTATAATTTATGTGGATTTAAATTATTTGAGATTGTTAATTGAAAGGTTTAATTAATAGATTGTTGATTAATTTAATTTTGTATCACAAAACATGCAGAATTTTAGTATATTTCTTAAATATTAATTAGTAATTACTTTAAAAAGATAGTAAAAGGTGTTTTAAGTAGTTAAAGATTAAATTTTTTGGAATACGTATTATTAATAATATTCGATTTAAAATAACATGATCTATCAATAAAATATACATAATCTATTTCACAAATCATCACGATGACTTCCTCTAGTATCATCATGAAATTCATAATTTGAATGTTCTTTAATAAAGGTTATCAATCTATCCCTTTGAATTTTATTAACTTTTTGAATAAATTTGGTGTAATTCTTATTTCCTTTATATATTCTAATCTTATAGATATCAGTTGGGTCTGAGAAATCACTGTATTCATTTTGAGTTACATCTGCAATAGCAAATTTGACTTTACTAATTTAGGTTATCAACTTAGCTACTTCAGCAAATTCAGGTAAAAGGGATACACTATAATAATATATATTAATTACTGTTCAGAGTCATATGAATTATAATAGAAAATAACCCAATCTTCAGATGAATTTATAACTCTTTAATATGAATTACCTGTGAGTATTTCAACATTTTGTGTATAATTTGGATTATCTAATTTTTATGATTTATAATGTTTTTGTGCTTTTCCATTTTTGAAATCAATAATAAATTAATCAATATTCTGTTTAGTAAATGCTTAATTGAACTTATACTTATAAACTCCATACTTTTGTAAACCAAATAAGGCTGGTGTTCCATTGAAATCACCTATTTATTTTTAAAGTTCTGGGAACAATTGATTAGTGACACTACATTTAATAAATAATAAATGATCTTCATGAGGATGATCAAGACTAATAGATTTGAGTGCATCATGAGCATTTCTATCTTTCATTTATGTTTCATCTACTAATAATATTAATGTAGATCTGTCTTATTTGAATATCTTCTTTGCAACATCTTCATTATATTCTTAGAGTCTCTAAAATTAATTGGTTTCAATAAAGGCTTTTAAATCAGAAACCTTAATCTACTTAGGTTAATAAACAACTGGAGATTTATCATATTTCTTATAGGCCACTAAGGAATCAGTAGGACCAAAACCTAATTCTTATTATACGTTTTCTAAGAAGGTATGATAAAATTCCAAATTTCCATATGCATGACTATAATCCTTGTATCTTTTGAAACCTCTATCTTCTTAATTTTCAGCCATATAGAGAAACATCAATTAACTTTAAGTTATCTTGTCTTTGATTTATTAAATTGTTTTCAATTCTTTAGTACCTTCATTAAGTTATTCATACATCCACATAATAACACTATCACTAGTTCTGGGTCCTTCAAATTTCTTGTATTTATTGCCATGATCTTAAGATAAGATCACAGAAGGAAATCCATTGACTTCAAATTGTTTTGCAATGTCTTTGTAATTATGACCATCAACTTTGGCAAAGACAAAGCCTTCTTCTTTTAATTATTTAGCTGCTTTTTCAACTTCAGGTTAGAATCTTTCACAATGACCACATTGAGGAGTGTAGAAGAAGATCATGGATATTTCATTCTTTTCAAAGAATTGTTTTGAATTTTTATCAAATACTACATGTAAATCATTTTCTTCTTTTGCTTGAGCATAGAGAATCAAAATAGATAACGCAATTTGGAAATACATAAATTAAAAATGTATACGTATGTTTCTAGAATATTTTAATTATTATGTTACTTTAAACCTGTGTTCTGGCAATCGCTCTTTCATTATCCTTGGCCTAAGATGATTCAGAATATGAACTAAAGACTAAATCTAAACGTTAAACATATGATGATCCAGTATAATCTATATATTGAATAGTCAGGATCCTTATAAAAATCTTATTTAATGGTTGAAAGATGGTAAAGCAGAAGTGTCTAAAGTATAAATTGAAGTCAAGAGCGAAGGTTATAGAACACTCAAAGCATCTTAATTTATTCGTTAAGGAGAGTGGGTACTCTTTATACCTCGCACACATTATCTTTCATTAGAAGAAGTCAAGAAAAGTTGTCTTATCAATAGAAAGATGATTTAACTAAATTACATTCCAAATAATATTTAGACATACTTTGTTAATCATTTATTATAAGAGAATAGAAGGTAAATAGAATATTAGATATAAAATAGATAAAATTCATTTTGGAAACCTTATATTGATGTGTTACCTAAAGATGTAAGTGGATTTCCAACTTATTTTGATGCAGAACAAGATGCATTACTTAAAGGTTCACCAACATTATATACTGTTATGAATTAAAGAAGAATATTTAGAGAAGAATATGATAATTTAAAAGAAGCTGTAAAAGAATTTTAAAGATATGGATATACTTATAATGATTTTATTAAATTTAGAATTCTAACTATATCTCGTAGTTTTCCTGTTTATATAGGTGAAAATGAATAATAATAATTATTGGTTCCATTGGCTGGTATATTATATTAAATATATATTAGATTTCGTAAATCATGATAATAATGGATTTTTATAATATGGATATTCTCCTGATGCAGATGGATTCTTTATGTAGGCAGTTAGAAATATTTAAAAAGGAGAAGAATTATTTTATAATTATGGTTAATGGTCAAATAAATACTTTTTTATGAATTATGGATTTGCTAGTTTAACAAATCCAATGAATTAATTTGATTTTGATGTTTGTATAGATAGAAATGATAGATTGTTTAATATGAAAGTTGATTTAACTGGAGGAAATATTTGTTGGGGAAATCGTTTGGTCAATGAAACTGATCATGACACTTTCAGATAATCTTTGGCTACTGTTAGATTTGCTTAAATATCTAAATTAGATGATTTCTTAAAATTAGAAGAAGATGTTGAAAATTATAATTAATTTTGGCCAGGATGGCATACTACACCAAAAACTATAGAATTAGAAAAAGCTACATTTAAAGCATTTAAAGAATTATTAGTTTCTGAATTAGCTAATTTTGCAAGTACAATAGAGGATGATCAAAGAAGATTAAATGATCCTTCAACTCCTGAATTTAGAAGACATATTATTATGTTGACAATGAGGGAAAAGTAAATTATAAAGAAGAATATAGAAGTTTGTGATATGATGTTATCTGTTATAGATAAAAGTTCAGAAGTATATTATTTATTATTATAAATTTAGGAATTAAAAAATTTGATGAGATATTATAATTTCAGAGAAATAGCAAGATATGTAAATAGTGAAATTATTCCAATGAAATTAGAGGAAGAAGGACTTGCATGATTAAATATTAAATAATATCTTTAATGTTTAATAAATATTATTATCCAAAAATTCTTTTTTATATTTAATAAATTTTTCAATTATTAAATGTCATATAGATAAAATTAATAAATTTTCAATCCCTAAAGATTTAAAAACATTGAGAAAGAATTATGATAGAGTATCTTCTTTACTTTTGATCTTTTTTTAATGAGATTAGAAGAAGAGTTATAAAATACAAAACTATTAAAAGTATATTAGAAAGAAAGAACTATTGATTTAGAATAAAAGGACAGTTTAAAAAAAGATGGAAGAAATTTAAGAATAATTTTGAAGCTTAGAAATTTAATGATGAATAAAGAAGAATGAATTAAGATTTGGAAAGTAAAAAAGACTCAGTTGTAATGTTGAATGATAGAAAAAAAAGATAAGATGATGAAAGGTATGCTAAAGAATAAAAGATTACTTTAGCTAAGAAATAAGAAAAGGCATAGGCTTTGAATAAATTAGTTAAATTATCCTAATCTATTATTATATATTTAAAGAAGAGGTTAATTAATTAGAAATTAGAAGAAAGAATCATTAATAATATCAATAGTTTTTTAAGAAAGTGATATATAATCAAAGGAATTGGAAAAAGGCTAAAATAATATTGAAAATGCTATAAAAGAATTGATAGATATGAGAGATTAAAGAAAAAAGAAGAGGAATTCAAAAAAATAGGGAAACTAAAAAAATAAAATTAATCAATAATTTAATGAAGTATCTAATTTATCTATATAGTTAGTTGTATAGTAAAATATAAGCAGAAACATATGAATTAAATTCTAAATATAATAAATTAAAGCTTTTTATTCAATAAAATAATGATGAGAATATTTCCAAACATAAAGAAATAAGAGGAACTCAAAATTAAAATGAAGCTACATAAAAAGAATATATTTAAGTAATTCATGGAATTTAGAATATGAAAGACATATTAAAATAGAGAAATAAAATAGTAAAAAGAATACTTTTATCTAATAAAGATCATGATAATGTAACAGAATAATAGAGAAATAGGAAGAAAGAAAGAAAAAAAATAGATAATTAAAAGATAGAAAAATATTTTAAATTTTATAAAGGATGAATTATAAACTTTATAATAATTTAAATAGGAATTTGATAAATTTTTAGCAAAAGAAAAATACATGATTGATTTATTAATATAAACTATTAAAGGTATAGATATTATTATTTAGTATAATAAATACAATAAAAATTAATCAATCATCTTCATCTTTGTTATATTATTATCCATTAAATTATTCTTTTTGAGATAAAATTTATTTTCTAGGAGAAATAAAAGATAGTATTGCATAAGCTATGAACAATAAAAGTATTATTGATGTAAAGCCTTAAATTGATGTCATTTAGGATGTGATTTATGGATTAGCTAAAAATTATAATATAATAAGAATTACTTATGCTTCCATTTTCATTTTATTATGAATTCATATTGGCAAGTGATTGGTAAATGCGATTGGCATGATTGACTATTGATTCACATAAATCATTGTTGCTCATTTTCAAAAAATAAATTATTAAATTTTCCAGAAAAAAGAAATTGCTTTATATTCTACATAGATGTACACATCATACAATTTAATTAAAAATTAATATTATTATATAAATGAATGTTTTAAATTATAATTTTCTATGGAATCAACAAAATGATGTCATAAATTAAGGGATACGTATTAAGTCATACCTAATTTAATCTTAAATGAAAATTGATTACACACATATATATATATATAAACATAATAAAACATTTATTAATAGTAAAAGATATTAATTAACAAAATAGTATGTAATTTGAAAATCATTAATTAATAAAATCTTTATGGAAGAGTAAGTGTACATATCAGAGGAGGGAATGAAACATATTCTTTAAACATTTGATCCTAAAGACCCTCATAAAAATATATTATGGACAACCAATTATAAAATGGAATTACCTTTGAGAATTAGAAAATCTGGATCAGGTAGTGAAATACCAATAACTCTTCCAGAACAATTCAAAATTGATTGCACTTAATTTGCAAAATAACCTGCTTTAAGTGTAAAAAGGAATAATAAATGGTATAAATAGATAATCTATATATAATCAGGATAACAAAAACATATTAAGAATATTATAATGAATCATTATAATTTGCAAAAGCATTAATAGCTTATGGAATTAGTGAGATGAGTGCAATCAATATAATTGGATTTAATGCTCCTGAATGGTTTATTTCTTTCATGGGTAGTGTACATTCACACAATTTACCAGTTGGTATCTATACTACGTATAAGAATCATTAAAATGAAATAGCAATAATCCCGAAGCTTGTTTTTATGTTTCAGAACATTCAGAATGTGAACTTGTAGTAGTAGATACAAGAGAATAATTAAATAAGTATTTATAAATATGGGATAAATTGCCAAAACTCAAAGGTATTGTAATGTATAATGATGAAATACCAAAAGATGGAATTAGTGAATAAAGAAAATAATAAATATTTAAATGGAAAGATTTTCTAGAGTTTGGAAATAAACCAGAATTATTAAATTAAGTAATGGAAAGAGTATCAAAGTTGCGTCCTGGAAATTGTGTGACTTTGATTTATACTTCAGGAACAACTGGAAATCCAAAAGGAGTTATGTTATCTCATGATAATTATGTGTTTACTATTACATAATAGAGAAAGAAATATTAATTTCCTGATTCTGAAGTAATGAGAATTGTAAGTTATCTTCCATTAAGTCATGTTGCAGCATAATTAATTGATATTATTGGAAGTTGTAGATGGGGTGCACATATATATTTTGCTAATCCAGATGCTTTATCAGGTTCACTCATTAATACTCTTAAGGAAGTGAGACCAACTATGTTTTTTAGTGTACCAAGAGTATGGGAGAAGATTTATGATTAAATGTAATTAATAGCTAAATCTAATGGGGCTATCAAAACAAAAATTGCTACATGGGCTAAATCTATAGGAAAAGAGGGAACTTTTGCTTAAACTCATGGGTTGAAACCTCCTCTATGTTTTGGATTGGCTGATAAATTAGTTTATAGTAATGTTAAAAAGGCATTAGGATTAGATTAAGCAAAATATTTAATTTTTGGAGCAGCTCCATTATCACCTGTTATAAGGGAATATTTCTTATCTTTGAATATGTATTTAATTAATGGATATGGAATGAGTGAATGTGGTGGAGTTACAACATTAGCAGAACCATTACATTTTGATAAATTTGATGATTTCTTTATGAGTAGTACTGGTAAAACTATGGAAGGAACTGAATTGAAAATAGATTAACCAGATAAAGATGGAAATGGAGAGATTTGTTATAGAGGGAGACATATTTTTATGGGATATTTTAAGGATGAAGAATCAACTAGAAATACTATTGATAAAGACAGATGGTTACATTCTGGTGATGTAGGTAAATTAGATAATAAAGGAAATTTAACTATAACTGGAAGGATTAAAGAATTAATTATTACTGCAGGTGGTGAAAATGTAGCACCAGTATTGATTGAAAATGAATTTAAAAAGACAATTCCAATCATATCTAATTGTATGGTTATTGGTGATAAAAGAAAATATCTTTCTATTTTATTAACATTAAAACATTAACTCAAACCTGATGGAACGTAATTATTTATTGTTTATCATATTAAATAGACCAACTGATTAATTACATAGTGATGTTATTTAAATTTTTAAGGAACTAGGTTCAAATGCTATGAATTTAGAAGAAGCCAAAAAAGATCCTATTATTTCAAATTATTTATAAAAATTAGTAGATGATGCAAATACTAGGTAATTATTAATGTAATTATATTAGAGTCATTTCTAAAGCATAATACATTAGAAAATGGACTCTCATTCCTAGTGATTTTAGTGTTGATGGAGGAGAATTAACTCCAACTCTCAAATTAAAAAGAAGAGTAGTTGAACAAAAGTGGATCAATGAAATTGAGAAAATGTACTAAGATGCAAAATTATGAAATTATTAATAAAATATAATAAACATATATAAAAGCATCTACAATTATAGATGCTAATAGAAAAGACCATTATCTAAAAAGGGAATTAAATAAGGTCAAAAAAAGATATTATTTATGAAGTTTAGGGAAATACTGTAATTATACATGAGCCTATGTATTCGATTTATTTTTATTAGAGTTAAAGTAGTTTTAATTAAATTTATAGAATAGTTCCCTTTCAATTTTGATGCAATTATTGATCAGTTTTCTCTAATGAAATTTCAAATTAAAAACCAGAATTGATGGTGCTGAAATCAATAACTCTCTAATGGCTCTTAATGATTAGACCCTTGGATCCTTTAAGAGATTCCAATTTAACTTAAGTTTTTAAAGAGCCTTATACTGGAAATCTTTAAACTCTTCAATTAATTGAAAAGATAAGCATGAAAAATTATTTTAAAAATACTAAAAGAAGAAAGAATTATAGAAACTGTCAATAAGATCACATTGATGATTTATTAGATTTAATAAAGGAAGAAAAGTAATTAATATAGATTTACAACCAACCTTATTCTATCTATTATTGAAGATGATGTTAATGAATTAAATAGAGTAATCTCTTTAAAAAGTAGTTAAATTAAAAAGTATTTTAATTATTTAATTACTAATAGACTAAGATTCAAACTATAGTAATTTAAATAACACATAATAGATGAAGAAGATATGTCACTTTAATTTCAAACACATTTTTACTAGAAACAACACTAAAACTGATTAGATAATAAACAATATTAATCAATTTATAATTCTCTATTTTTTAATTTAAAAGTGTATCAAGCATAATTGAATTTTTCATTATTTGTTTTAAAACACTCCATCTTTCCAAACGCCTGACTATAAAATACTTATAATGATTTTCTATTTACTTTTTAAATTTATTGATTAATTACCAAAATTCCTTATCCATTCTGAACTCCATAGATCCATTCCCCATCATAATAAGTATTTGTATTCCAATAATACTTTCCTTTTCCATGTTTTTATCCCTAATAATATTCTCCTTCATATTTTCTTCCGTTCCAATAAAATACACCTTGGCCATGCATAAGATTATCTTCCCATTATCCATCATATCTCTAAATTATAAAAATATAATTACATTTTCATCATTCCATATAGATAATCCAAATCCACTTTTAACATTTTATTTCCATTATCCATCATATAATGTCCCATCATTTCTCTTCAATACTCCTTTTCCTTATTTCATTCCATTCTCAAATTATCCAGAATAAGAATCACCATTAAACCTATTGTCAATTTAGTCCTTACTCAGTTAATTAACCATAACCATGATATTGTCCATTTATGAATTCTCCAGTATAAGTATTCCCATTAGTTTAGAAATGAGATCCTTAACTGAGTTATCCATCAATAAATTAACCTTCAAAAATATCTCCACTAGCTAACCAGAGTTTTCCTTTTCCATTTGGAGCTTTATTTTTCCACTGTCCTTCATATCTGGTACCATCTTCATCTAAAATCATAATTTAAAGTTACAAGTCCATTCTAAATATCCTTCTCCAGTTGGTAATTTAATTTCACTCTCTATACAGCTATAATTTATGCATGAAGTTATCTATGACTTTAATTAATAATTGGGTAATTAAGATATTCCAATTTCATTTTTGGTAATTAAGTTTTCAACCAGCACACATAAATTTTCATTAGTGTTATTCTAATTCACAATAATTTTTTCAGCCTTATAATTTTTTTTTCCTTAACATAAACCCATTTAGTTGAATACTTATTATTATTATAAAATTCAAAACAGCTACAAATTAATTATTTAATATAGATATTCTATCTAATTAGCAATGTCATATTTTTATTAGAAACGCTTGAACTGAAATGAAATCTATATATTTTTAAGTATTTTAAAAAATAAAAATGAAATGACATTAGCATTAATATCAATTATTCATGCCAATAATTAATACTTAGACTAATAAAATAATTTATTTAATTGATTAATGAAATAATTAAAGTAATTTAACAATTAACCAATTCTTTTGTATAAATTATTATATTATTTTTTCAATTTATGATCATTAACAATATACAAATTTTAATGAAAATATATTAACAAAATATTGTTAATAAAATAAAGACTTTGAATATATTAAAGTAAAAAATAGAAAATAATTGTTTATTTGAATATCCAAATAGTATCAATAACATTTATCATCGATTTGTTGAGGATTCATCTTTTTATATATAAGATGAAGTACTTTCTTTGGCTGAATCAGTATCATTTAGTAGAGAGTCTTTTGGTATTTTGGATTCCTAAAATTATTTAAAATTATATACTTAGATTTTCCCAAATATCAAATTATAGATACTGATTCTTGCAAAGAACATATAAGTACTTTATAATGATTTTGGAAGGTTTGGCACTAATTATTAATGAAATGCATAAAAAAATAGGGATGCATAATTAAATCCTTGCAATGCTAATAAAAGTTGTGGAATGAACCAAAATAATTAAAATACATATAACCATTATCTTATCCATTCTGTTTAATAATCTATTAGTTTCTATATCATATTGATTGTCCATAATGTTAATAAAGTTATTGGTAATACATAGAGATTTAATGAAGAACATGAATCAAATTCATTTGTAAAATTAATTCTAATCTTTGATTTTAGTTATCTCACCAAACAATGAAATATAATACTAACAATTATCAATATAAATGTAATAGATGATTATAACCAAAATAAACTTTAAGTAAATTTATCATTTGATCTAACTTCTAAATTGCATATATAATAGATAAGTTCATTTTTCCATGTAGTTCCATAATGCTAAAAGTTTGCCCAAAAAAGCATTGGTAAACATATTGCAAATGTAAATATGCCAATAGTAAAATGTATCCAATAAATTTATTTTTTTGTTTATCCAAACTTAAGATTTGGATTCAATGTTTATTTAATAATATAGCATGAATACAAAGAAATTAAAGTTGATGCCAAAAAAGATGAATTAATGAAGTACCCTTATAATTTGCAAACTTTCATAATATATATTTAATTATACATGTTCCATTAATGCAACATTAGGTATTATCTAAATCAGATTTGAATTAACAAAATTGATATTCTTCATCAGAATTATTTTATTCATAAAAAATGAATGGTGTTAGTAGTTATGGTACATAGAAAAATAACATACTAACAATTTAAGTAAAGAATAGGCTAATTATAATTTTACATATTTACTTAGCAATGAAATATCTCCACCCTTTTCCTAATATATATACTATAATGACTCCAACAACTGATAATAAGCTCATTACTATGCAAGAAAATTGAACAATCAAAATGGGATTATTTTCATAGAAATACATTAAGATTAATAATATGTATAAATAAATAATATTATTTAAAAAGATATTAACTTAATGTAATAAATCATTTGATCATATTTCATTTATATAGAAGTACAGTTTAGAATTTCATTATGAGGCTAACTCATAAAGTATCTAAGGATAGATTCTAGACTTTTTATATCTGTTTGTCTAATAGCACTAACAAATGGCAAAACATAAATTGAATAGATACAGAAAATCCACTATTAGATAATCTATGTATGACTTGTTTACATAATTCTCATATTCTTATTCAAAATATTTATAGCAAGCATCTTTTCTTATATTAAATATTTAAATACGGGATTCCATTATTGATATTGGAAAATAAGTATACTGGATGAGATTTACACCATCCTGAACAATTATACTTTTCTTCTAAAAATGCAATATAAGATTATGATGCCCCATCTATTCTAATCCATTTTTTACATTTCTAATATTAGGTTATATCACTAATTAATTAATTTGTTGTATAATGTATTCTATTATTCTCCAAATAATCTGAATTCCAATCTTATATTTTTTCAATGTAACATAAACAGTCATGTTTACAAAACTAACTTTCTGCCCATAAAATTTACTCTTTTGTTTTTTCAGCAGATGGTAATTAGGAGGTCTTACAATCAAATTTATTACTTAACAATTAATCTTTTAAAATAGTTAATGAGATTGTAATATAGGCTGTCAAAACTCCAATTAATATTATAAAGCAAGAATAAATAACAATAATATAGAAATTTGGACAATATGAACTTAATAATCCAGATGCTCCAACTATTACAACAGCAAGTCCAACAGAAAATGTATATATAATACCCTAAGAATAATTCTTGATTGAATACGTTGCTATCATTGCTTATATCTTCATTCAAATTCAAAAACACTTAAGAGATTAACACTATTCCCAAAATAATAAAGCAAAAGCAGTTAATTCTGATAAACAATTGAATAAACTTAAGTGGTAAGCACATAAATAAAAATTTATAAATATCTATGATTAGAAGACGTATTCATTATTAACATAATTGTTAAATATATTTTATTTTAAATCATCATTTATGTTTCTTAGCATGATTGTCTACTAAATCATAAGCTTATTGAACGGTTTTGATTTCAGAGATTCTAATAATATAATATTAATAATAATACCTTTTTCCTTTTCTAACAGCATAAGCAGCATCATATTATTCTTTGTATTCTCTAGTTTAGATAAGTAATTATTCAGTTAAACTTAGATCTCTATTAATTATAGTTAATCTTTTCTCTAAAAGAACCTAATAATCATATAATAATTATATACTTTATCATTAGTTCTCTTCTTAATCAATTAAGAAGTGACTTCAAAATCTTTAGAGAACTTCTCTCTTAATTCAGCAATCTCTTGTATTTATGTTTAGAAAGTGATCTTAAATTATTTATATGAATATCATACTTGACTTTAAGTTTCTTATTCATCTTCTTATTACATTAAAGAAATTACTGCATTTCTAATATGTTCCAATTTATCAATGATTCTTTTTACTGTAGGAACATCAAATTTAGTTGTCATAGCAACCATTATTGCAATTGGATGATTGTGTCCTAATTCTCTCTTGATTTTCTCAACAATCTCAAATTGTTCTGTTTATAATAATGATTTTCCTTCTTAATCAAATACAGCAACTTATAATTTTGGAATTATTTCATTTAAGGCTGCTAACACTTTACTATTATTTTCTTATCTAGCTTAATATTAAGCAGCTTCTTAAGCTCTTGTTTATCTTAGTTATTCTTCCTTTCCATTTAATATATTTAATTATTCTGTAAGTGCATCCATTTACAATTATAAACCTACAAGAACTTGATTGAGTTCACTTAATTAATTATTTTTATCTTATCTCTCTTTTGTAAGGTTTCTTAAAACAATAATAAGCCATTCAATATCCAATCCAAGAGTTGTTGTTCTCTAATCAAATATACATTTTCATATACATGAGCATATTCAAGATCATCATTTAATTAATCTCTCTTCATCTATTCTAACAAATCACCAACTAAAGCAACTACTTCTGACACTTTTCCTCCTTAACTGAGTTCTAAATCTAATAGAAAAGTGAATTCAGTATGATCAGTCTTGATTGCTTTGATCTCTTTTAGTAAAATTGGCACTCCTGCTTCTAATTCGACTGCAGAAATTCCAAAAACTAATAATCCTAATATGAGGATAGCTTTCATTATTTTATTAATATTAATAAAAACGGACTTTACACATAAAATTAAAAAAAAATAAAGTTATTTACAAATTCCTGTCTTAGATAGTTTATATCATTTATTTGCTTTATCAAATTAAGATTCTATGAAATCTATATAAAAATCATTAGAATTCAACTAATTATAAAATTAAATTGAAATTTTATCTATTTTTTAATTTTACTTACTATCCAAAATGCTTATCATCAATAAAATAATTTTAATCTAAACTAGATATTAATTCTAATTCATTCATTCAAATTTATTATGTTATTTTCATTTGATAAATTAAGATTTCAATTTAAGTTAATTCATATTTTTATTATCTAAATATTTCTTTAAAGATATTTTAGTTAGTTTAATAACTATGAAAATGTAATTATCTTTCCTTATAAATTCAAGTATTATATAAGATATGATTAATTAAAAAATAGAAAGTAGAGATAATTATATGTATCTATTGTATCAGAGATTAGATTAAAAATAATAATGTATTATCTTTTATATCTTATTATTATTATCATTTGTATAAATAATAAAAATATTATGACAAGTGAATGTCTTCCATTTTATACTCTAATAATAATATAAATTCATTTTAGTTGGTTTATAAATGATATTTAATTTATTCTTGTGCTTTACAATATTATTGTAAACTTCAAAATTTATCTATTAATATTGATTAAAGATTTGGGATATAATTTATTTATAATTGATAATTTAAATGATAATAAAGAAAAAATGATTTAAATAATTACATATTTTAGAGCCTTGTAAATATTCATTTAACTAATACACAAAATTCAGCACTATAATTTAATTTAAACTTTAGTTAACAAATTGAATAGTGATACAGGGGGTTAATCAATTTTAATATAAAATATTTTATTAATCAATGATTGAAAATTAACAAGATGATTAGATTAGCCCATTAGATTATGGGAAATATAATGCACAGCCTTAAAAAGATCATCGAGAGTTGAAATACATGGCAACTAAAATTAGTGAACCTAGAGGGAGTATTCAGTATCCTTAACATGTGTAAGTGGCTATCGAAGATGATACTAATTCTTAAAATGATTCTAGATGGTATGCTAAGAATGATGCATACAAATAACTTATTGGAAATGAAAGAACTGGGTTCATAAAAAAAGTATTTATGTTTTATATAATAAGGTTTATGCAATTATGATAATTTAATTGTTTATAACTATGATCATGTGTCTAATCTCTTACTTGTCACTTGATTATAGGAAGTTCTAACTATAACATAATGGATTTGCATATTTGGCTTTAGGAATATCAATATTTGTAGAATTGTTACTTTTTTGCATTCCCAAATTTGCTTGGAGAGTGCCTTACAATTATATTTTACTTTTTATATTTACTTTCTGTGAAGGATATCTAATATCAAATCTATGCAGTTATGTATTTGATAGATATAGTGAAAATGGAGGTAAATTTATGGTTTTCCTATATAGGATTTATTGTATTGATGGCTGCTAGTTTATCATTAGCTGCTGTAATAGGATTAACCATATATGCTTGTAAAACAAAGTCAGATTTTACTACTAAAGGAGCTCTATTGTTTATGTGTATTACTTCTTTACTACTTTTTGGAATAATGGCAGGTATTTACTATCAAAATGTTATAAATCTAATATATTCATTACTTTGTTGTCTAATATTTGGTGCTTACTTAATATATGATACTTAATTAATATTGGGGGGAAGTGTAATATATTTATGAATAATATTTATTAGACTCACAAATTGTCAATTGATGATTATATCATAGGATCAATGATAATTTATATAGATATTGTGTATTTATTTGCACATATCTTAATGGTATTGATAGCATGTCTTAGATGAAGTTAATTTGTTTTAATAATATAAAATAAGTATATCATCTACTCATCTTCTATATGGTGCTAAACTACTCTTCCTTACTTCTTCTACTTCTTTCTCTTTTTCTTAAACTCTAGCTCTTAAACTTTCTATCTCAACTGATTACATCTATATTAAATAATATTATTAGATACCACAAAATGATAAAGCAAATCTTAAATTTTTCTATTTTGACTACCTCCATCAGCATATTATAATCTCCATTATCTTAATTCAATTTCATTAGCATCAATAATTCCTTATAGTCGATCAATTTCTTAAGATAAAATTCTTATCTAATATGATATATTTAAATTCTTTTACATTTTCTTCATATTATTTTAATTAGATAATTTATTATTCTAATAAATAACATTTCTTTTTTAACTAATCTATATCATCTTATTTATTAGTAATAATTTAATTTAAACGTTCAATTTCACTTGTTAACATAGAACATCTATTTTCAGATTCTGTATATTTAGTTTTATAAATTTCCAATTAATTTTATTTCTATTTAACTTCATCATATTATCTTTATAATAAATGATATTATGCTTCCCATTTTTCCTTCTCTTTTCTCATTTCATCCTATTCTGCATATATCTTTCTTAATTATTAATTTATCCTTTCTATTTCTTAACTATTTAATTAAATTTTAGATTCATATCTTTAAATTTATGTTTTATAATCTTCTATTTCCCCATTTCTAAATCTAATTTATTCATTCAATCTTAAATTTTCTGTATTTAAATTTGCTATTTTCTATTCCAAAATAACACAACTTTCTTAATACATTTTTAAACCAGCTAATTAAGTTTCTAATCCTAATCTTTTACTTTTTTCTTCATCTTATTATTTTTATAATTAATTAATTTTATCTAATTATTTATATATTTGATCATCTTTTAATTTTATTTAATTGGAATAATGATTTATTTAATTATTTAATTATTCATTTTCATCACATAATTCAGATTATATTTAAGTTAATCTATCTATTTCTGAACAATGTAAAATTATTCTAATTAATGATTATTTCCATTTCTCTTCAATCTATTTATTAGATTAATTTAAATCAATATAAGATTATTCTAATTTTCTATATTTATTTGACCATTCTTCTGTTTCATTTGTTTTTAATGCCAAATTTTATTTACTTTTTTATATTTCTGAAAACATTTATTTCTTTTATTCTTCAAAATCCTATAACTTACTTTATAATAATAATTTTTATCTCTCTATCTCTTAAGTTAACATAGCAATAGTATTTTCATATTCAATTAATTTTTTATTTTTTACTTAAGATTATTAATAATCTGATTCTAATTCTTAATATTTTCTTTTCCATTCTTCAACTTAATTTTTAATTGTTTAATTAAATGAATCTTAATTAACTAAATCTTTTTATAATTAATTTTTAGTCATTTATAAATTTTATATTTCAACTTATTTCTATTTTAATTATTCTTACATTCTATCAATTTCTTAAGTCACACAACTTAATTTATTAATACTATCATTATATTAATTATTTTTATTCTTGAATTCTTCTTCAAAATATATTCCTTTGTGTTTCCAATCTTCTAATTCTTAGATCTTTTATCTTAATATAGTATTTAATCTTTCAACTTCATTTGTTAATACTTAAATTTTATTTATAAAATCTGTATTAGTTTATTCTAAATTATTCTTTTATTATAATAATTAATTATTCTTAATTTTATAATCTTCCAAATTATTAGTCAATTATTAAAACATTTCAAATTAATCTTTTAATTATATTTATAATTAATCCAATTTACCTACTTTTTGTTTGAGTTCTTTACATTAATTTTCAGAATCAAAATATTTTTATCTCCATTCCTCCCCTTATTTTATCTTTTCTCTTAAAACTTGATTAAGTCTATCTACTTCACCTTAGAGTAGATTAATTTTATTTTACATTTAATCAATAATCTAATCTTAATCTTTATATTTTATTAATTCATTTGATGATAAAACATAAGCCTAATTCAATTAATCATAATCTTTCTATTTTTTGTCTACAAAACTTTATAATTACCTAAATTCAGATTTCTATTTTTCTGATTCTTAATTAAGAATAGAATATTTTTATTTTGATAATTCTAATTCATCCAATTTCTATTTTAATAATGTATTTAATCTTTCAGTTTCACAAACAAGCATACCAATTTTATTTTCTAAATCAATTACTTTATTTCCTTATTATTTATATTATTATAAATCTAATTCTTATTAATTCAATTCAATCTAATAATATTCAATAGCTTATTATTTGCTCTATAATTATTCTCTTAACTTATATAATTCTCCCTCCTTAAATAATATAAATTAATTTATCTACATTATTTTATTTCTGTTATGCCAATTAAGATTTTAAATCATCAATCTCTTTTTAATGCTACTAATTTCCTGTTATTAATGTTTATTTTAACTATTCATTCACATTTTTGTAATTCTCTTCAGTTGTATAATATTTTATCTTCCAATTTTCAATCTCTTCAGAATATTAAGTTGTTGTAATCTCAATTTCTTATCTTATAATTATATCATATTTTACCTATACATACTCTCCTAATATTATAACTATATAAGTCTTGCCTATAAATCTTCAATCTACTTCTCATAACTATTTCTATCAAGCAATTTATCATCCATTTCTTTGATTCTATATTTCAATTTATCATTTTCAGCTACAAATCTCTCTATTTCACAAGCCATCAAAAAACACACAATATCAAGACTTTTACCCAACTGTTATCTTGCAGGAGGTGGATTATTCATTTATGAACTATAAATATTGTTTCCTGACCTAAACACAACTAAACACAACTATTTACATTGATCTCTTCATTTAAGAAACACTTAAGTTTGTTGTAGATGTACATTATCTAATGGTACTTGATATAATCTTAGATGAAGATTAAGATGTAAAATATTCTTTGTTTTAGTTTACTGGATCTAATGGTGTACGACAATATGTGCTCATTTTAAATTCAAATATTAATTATAATCCAAGATCGTTAATTTCATAATCACATAAAATAGCATAATCATTTAAAAATTCTCTTTGATTTATTTTTTTATTCATTCCTTTATTTTACAGGTTTAATATCAGATTCGCTATCATCATTATCTTATTCATCTTCATCATTTTCATCATTTTATTCATCTTCATTATCCTCATCATCTTCATCTTCATCATCTTCATCATCTTCATCATCCTCATCATTATCATCATCATTCTCATCATCATCATAATCTTCACTATCTTCTTCATCTTAATCATCTGATAATACTTCATTTATATCCTCATCATCATCTTCTTCTCCTTCTTCATTATGTTATTAATCTGCTTTATTTACTACTTTAGTTTTCTTTCTATTCTAAACATTTCTCAAATGTTCCATTACTTTTGATAAATGTTCTACTTTTTTATATGACTTTAACATTTTTTTCTCTTTAGCATTTTTATATTATTTGCTAACACAATCATCATTTTCAATTTCATCTTCATCTTCATCATTTGAATCCTTTTCAATTTCTTTACGATTTTCTTCAATTTTTTTCTTTTTAGCTTCTTCTCTCTTTTATCTCATATAATTAGTTTAATCTTTTTCTGATGATTAAACTGCAGTTTCTATTTGTACCTTTGGATCTGCTTTAAATGTTTCCATCAATTCAAAATAATCTAAACCTTCCTTAGTAGGAGCTTAAGGTTTTGATTATTTGATAGGAAGTATATCTAAAATTTATGGTAATGCTTCATTAAGTTATAAAATCTTTATTTAATTGCCTTCTTTTAATTTCTATTTATCAGCTTTTCGTTACTTACTGTTTTATATTATTTCATCATAGATTTCCTTTTTACTCTTTCTTTTATCTTAATTTTAATCAAAACCAACAAAATGATTATTTTTAACAAAACCTTTAGGTAATTCATCATCTGAACTTACTGGTATTTAATCATTATAATCTTCTTATAAATCTTAACCATTATGAGTAAATTTCCAATTCTTAAGAACATTTTATTCTTCTTATTCATTATCACTATCCAATGCAAATAAATTCTTTTTTTTTGGTGCTTCCTCTTATATATTTCGTTTTTGCTATAATTTAGGTACTTATTGTAATTTTTTATCCTTCTTTTATATCTTTTTATCCAGATTTTCAACATGTTACTCAAATTTATTTTGTTTGTGCTCAAATTTTTTTATTTTACCCATATATTAAAAAAAATAAATAGTATTGATAATAATAATATTATATTTAATTAAAAAAGGGATATTCAATTATCATTAACATAAATAACTCTAAATATTAGAGTATATTCATCTTTTTGATCTATTTTCCATATATTCCTTTAAATCATTCAATTTTATTTTCATTTTGTTTTCTACAATTTTCATATGTAATCCCCAAATCTCCTTTCCACTCTTTTAGACAATATCATCCTTAATATATGCACACATGTCTTTAACCCTCATATTTGAATTTATTATATGCTCTATAAAGTAAGTCAATAATTATAGAGATGCTTAACTATTTTTATAATATGGCAATATTCTTAGCTGTTTCAGATTCTATAAGTACGAGTTTATCATTTCATTAATTAATTCAAATATATTGTAGATCACAACCTTAAAAAAGAGCCTACAGGTGTAAACATAAATAGATATCCTTTTTCAAAAAGTATTTATCATTATTTCTTAAAAAGTAGAAAAGAGATTTATAAGAATTTCATAACGATTAAAACATTATTGTTTTTAACCTTATTCTCTAGAAATAAGATATTTTATATATAATGTTGGAATTAAATAACATTATTTATAATTTTTATGAAATTCTATTTATTTTTTTTTGAGAATAAATTAGTATAAGACTTATTGTGGATATTGTAATAAATATTAATTTCATAAATAAAATAAATATTTAAATGCAAAAAATTTCTGTAGATATTTCATTAGATATATATAATAAAGTATTTCTTAGTGATCTTTATTTTTTTATATAATTTCTTTAATATTTCTTCAATGACTAATAATTTATCAATTAACATTTCTATACTAAAATTCATATATGTCTGTTGAAAAGCTCTTAATTAGGTTCAACTCTTCTTACTTTGCTTTTTCATATTATTGATGCTGTTAAATTAATTATTATTTAATTCATTATGGAAGAGGAAGGATATAAATAAGTGTAGAACTATATTTTATGTAAATTTATTTGTTCAACAAGAGCGCACATTGGGCTAAGGAACTTTTGGCAAGGTTAAACTAGGTTATCATACTATTGCTGACGAACATGTAAGATTGAACCTAAATTTATTAGGTAGCAATAAAAATACTTGAAAAAAGTAGAATAGAAAATCAATGTGATTTAATAAGAGTTTAAAGAGAAATATCTATACTAAGAAAAGTATGTCATCCTAATGTAATTAAATTGTATGAGGTAATTCTATCATAACATAAACAAGATCTTAGAATCTGAGTCATGTGTCTATTTAGTAATGGAATATGTAAAAGGTGGAGAATTGTATGAATACATAATAAAGAAGAAATAGTAATCTGAATCCTAAATGAAATTAGCCTACCAGAGAATATAGCAGTTCGCTACTTTTAGTAGTTAGTCTTTGCAACAGAATATTTACATTCATAAAATATAACTCACAGAGATTTGAAACCAGAAAATCTTTTACTAGATGAGAATAGATAACTGAAGATTGCAGATTTTGGACTCAGTTTTATATCCGAAACTAAAGGTGAATATCTTAAAACTGCTTGTGGATCTCCTTGTTATGCTGCACCAGAAATGCTTGGTATACATTTTTAAATTAATAAGTTGGTAAAACTTATGAAGGAACTAAAAGTGACATATGGAGTTGTGGAATAATTTTATTTGCTATGTTATGTGGATATTTACCTTTTGAACATGAGAATACATAATAATTATATGAATTAATTAAGAATAGTGATTTTGAAAAACCAGAACACATATCAAAAAATGCCTTGGATTTACTTAATAAAATTCTTGTTAAAGATCCAAATAAACGATATAATTTTGATTAAATAAAATAACATCCATTTTTTTAGTTGCATTCATCAATTCCATAAAAGAATTTAAGTTTAAATGATTAAAATATTATTTAAAAGATGATAGAAATGGGATATTAATAAAATTAAATTATAATCTAATTACAATAAAATAAACATAATACTTTAACTACTATTTATTATCTATTATAAAAAAAATACAATTAACCTCATAGACAAAGCTTTTTTTAAAATATTTAAAATATAGGAAATCTAAAACTTGATATTAATTAAAAAAGATTTACAATAGCAAAATTCTAACCATCTTAATAAGGATCACCTATTTTAGATAAAATTGAAAAGATAAAAAAATCAATTAGATCTAGATTAGATAATTCCCCTTATTTAAAAACATAGATCTCATAAAGATTTAAGAAAATTAATTTATCAGTTTAATCTAAAAGAGTAAGTGTTCAAATTGAAAATTAAAGATAAAAGACAAATTCTGTATAAGAAAAACATTATGAGTATCCTTGTATATTCACATCTAATAATTCTGATTAGAAGTAATAATAATAAATTGAATAAACAAAATCTAGAATTTAATCAAGAAAGAATTCAAAAAATTAGGCACCTTATAAAAATATGTAAAGAAGAAATATAGAATAAGTAATAAAAACAGATTTTAATGAAGAATACTAAAATAATTAGAAAGTTATTTACGCTTAAGTAAGATAAAGAAATAAAACATAACCACATAAAAATGATGATGGCCAAAAATACTTTGATAAAACTTCCAAATTGAATATTTCTCATTAAGTATTAAATAATTAAATTAGATGGTGGAAAAGACACCATAACATTCCCCTTACATAAATATGAATTTCAGTAATCATCGACAATTGTTTAAATAGATCTATAATGGAAACTTATATGATTTTATGAAGAAAAAAAGGGATTTGAAAACACAAAAAGTGATTAATGATCAGCCATGATTAGATTGAATACATAGTTAATTACTATTATATAAATTAATTATGTTAGAAGGTTGTTAAATTTCTTTTATTTTCTCAAACTAAATTCTACTCCANTGGTAAAACTTATGAAGGAACTAAAAGTGACATATGGAGTTGTGGAATAATTTTATTTGCTATGTTATGTGGATATTTACCTTTTGAACATGAGAATACATAATAATTATATGAATTAATTAAGAATAGTGATTTTGAAAAACCAGAACACATATCAAAAAATGCCTTGGATTTACTTAATAAAATTCTTGTTAAAGATCCAAATAAACGATATAATTTTGATTAAATAAAATAACATCCATTTTTTTAGTTGCATTCATCAATTCCATAAAAGAATTTAAGTTTAAATGATTAAAATATTATTTAAAAGATGATAGAAATGGGATATTAATAAAATTAAATTATAATCTAATTACAATAAAATAAACATAATACTTTAACTACTATTTATTATCTATTATAAAAAAAATACAATTAACCTCATAGACAAAGCTTTTTTTAAAATATTTAAAATATAGGAAATCTAAAACTTGATATTAATTAAAAAAGATTTACAATAGCAAAATTCTAACCATCTTAATAAGGATCACCTATTTTAGATAAAATTGAAAAGATAAAAAAATCAATTAGATCTAGATTAGATAATTCCCCTTATTTAAAAACATAGATCTCATAAAGATTTAAGAAAATTAATTTATCAGTTTAATCTAAAAGAGTAAGTGTTCAAATTGAAAATTAAAGATAAAAGACAAATTCTGTATAAGAAAAACATTATGAGTATCCTTGTATATTCACATCTAATAATTCTGATTAGAAGTAATAATAATAAATTGAATAAACAAAATCTAGAATTTAATCAAGAAAGAATTCAAAAAATTAGGCACCTTATAAAAATATGTAAAGAAGAAATATAGAATAAGTAATAAAAACAGATTTTAATGAAGAATACTAAAATAATTAGAAAGTTATTTACGCTTAAGTAAGATAAAGAAATAAAACATAACCACATAAAAATGATGATGGCCAAAAATACTTTGATAAAACTTCCAAATTGAATATTTCTCATTAAGTATTAAATAATTAAATTAGATGGTGGAAAAGACACCATAACATTCCCCTTACATAAATATGAATTTCAGTAATCATCGACAATTGTTTAAATAGATCTATAATGGAAACTTATATGATTTTATGAAGAAAAAAAGGGATTTGAAAACACAAAAAGTGATTAATGATCAGCCATGATTAGATTGAATACATAGTTAATTACTATTATATAAATTAATTATGTTAGAAGGTTGTTAAATTTCTTTTATTTTCTCAAACTAAATTCTACTCCATTTAAAACTATTCAATAGTTTTTTATAAATAATAAGACTATTATACTATCTTTTTCAATTTAAATAGTAATTAAAGAATAATTTAAATAACAAAAAATTAACTTAAACAAAGATATTATTTGATGATTATTTATGATTATTCTATGAATAAGTATTAAATAGTAAATATATTTATAAATAATTATGTTATAAATTAAGATACTTTATAATATAACAAAGATAAATCAATTAAGAATATTATTTTATACATGATTATATGTTTGAAGAGATATGTAGTAAACAATTTAATAGTAAATATATCATCCTCGAATTTAATTATTAAAGTTTAAATATGAAATTGAGAAGTCATGAACTTTCACTCAGATTAAATGTAGAAATAAATAGAATGAAATTAGATAAACCCATCATTATACATTTCATTTAATAATCATGCATCTTCCACCTTTTCAGTAACTACTTCTTAAGTGGTACCATCATTCATAGTATAAATTTTAGTGGTTATAATATGTTTTTTACCACCTTTCACAACTGTTTTAACCTTTTTTTAAACTTTCTTTGCACCTGGAATCATTTTCTCTTTTCCTTCATCTTTATCATCATCATCATCTTTTTGTTTATCTACTTATTTCTCTGATTTCTTTTTTTTCTCCTTTTCTTTATCTCCATCTTATTCTTGTTTACCTCCTTATGAAAATTTTGAGGCAAAATCAAAAACAAAAACAAATTTAAAAGCCTTATGGGGTGCTCCAAATATACCAACTTATTTATAAGCAGGTTCAAAGAAATTAGATCTATGTCCTCTACTAGGAACACCGTCATCAACTATCAATTATATAACAACTAATTATATAAAATCTTATAATTTACTATCTTCAGCAGTGGATTTTCCAAAACTTATATTTTCTCCTATTGTTCCTGGTTTCCATGAACCATGTCTTTCAATTCTTTATTTTGTAGTTGAATGATCACTTCCTTCATGTCCAGTCATACCATTAGTTCCTATATTCAAATTTTGTGTAAATACCTAAATCTTCTGCATGATCCCTAGCTGCTTCTTCCAACCCTTTATCATATGTCAATGGTCCAACAGGTTTCTGTTTTTTTAGAAAATCAATGCATTCTATATAAAGATATTACATGCATTACCTTAGACTGAATTTGCACCCTCTTTTGTATTAGTAGCTTAAGTTCCAGGTAAGTGTAAGATCTTATCTTTAAAGTATTTAAGTCTATTTTCTAGAACTGGTATCATTAAAGTTGGATCTTATCTTACTTTATTCTATAATTCAAAAACCTCCTTAGCCAAAGCAGAATAATTCATTTTTTATTTTTTATTTTAATAATTTATTTTTCTAATTTATTTTATATCATTAAAATATCTTTTATTCTAATAATATATAATATATTATTTAAAATGATATCTCAGAAATCTTTGCTACTAAATTTGAATTTAATTGTATAAATTTTCTTACTTTTTTTAACATATAAATAATAAGAAATTAATTATCAAAATGATTTGTTAATTTATAATAATTTCCTATAACTTTGATTATGTTAATAAATGAATAGTATTCAAATGAATTAAATATTTTTAATAGTATTTAAATTAATAATCAATGAGCTCTTTCCCTTATCTTCCATTAATGCATATAATTATTTAATTTATAATTAAAGTCACTTAATTTATCTTTTTAATTGGATTAATTTAAAATTGAATTTGTTATTGAACTTTTAATATAAGTTATTCTATTGTTATCAAATTCAACTGAGCTACGACGTGATTTATTATTCATTTCCATAATTATTGAACCACGTTTTCTTTTATCTTTTGGATTGAACTTTTATTCAAAGTCTTTAAGTTATTTAATAAAACCTGGATTTGGACTAACTAATCTTCTACATTATTAAATATGATGCAAAGTTTAATTAAGACTTAATTAATATTTTTGCATCATATAGGCTGCACAAATAGCTGCAGATCTAGAAATTCCATTTTAACAATGAATTAGAACATTAGTTCTTAGAGTTTAAATATCTATGAATTTAATAGATTAATCATAATATTTGTACAAGGGAAAATCATCAGAATCTTCTGCCATTATCCACTATATATATTAGAATTATATACTATTTTTTATACACCTTTGATTTATACTTGATAATCAATAACAGAAAGCACAGCTCCTATTTAATATTTAATTAAATTATCTGGATTTTAAGCAGCATCAATATTTCCTAAGTAAATACCTCCAACTCCATTTAATGGAGCTATAATGCAATTCATACAATTAGACAGATCAGGAGTATTAACGAACATTTTAATTAAAATAATTAAAATCCAGCTCTATATGTGAGTTCTATCATATAAATGAAAAATTTGGTTTAAATTCTCTAAATTAATGTTTAAGTTATTAATGATATATAGATATATATGATAATGAAATAGTATAATAAAATTCATTTTTTAGAGATGTATGACTTTTTAATTGAATAGTTATATGTATTAGCATTATATACTAAATTAAGTTTTTGAGGTTACAAATTATATTAACCCTAAGAATAAAATTAAACAAATACTTAGACATGAAAAGATGGTTATTAAATAGAATTTCTTTTTTATGGAGATTTAGTAATAGATGTTGATTATTATTTTGGTTAATGTTCTAATATATGTTAATGTTGTTATTTAGTATCTTCTTTAACTCCAGGTAATCCAATAATACGATTAATTCTTTTATCTTATTCAGATCCTAATCTACTTTATGGAAGAGTATCATTAAATTTGATTTTAAATGACTAATTGAATGTTTTATGCATTTAAGATTTAGTATCTTCTGCATCTTTAGCAAATTCTGATACATCATCACCAATTCTATAATTATAAACTTATTTCTAATTCAATGTTTAATTTTATATAGTTTATGGAATAGCTTTTTCTAATATTCTCTTTGGTTTTGAATCACCTAAATCAAATTAATTAATTATATTAGGTTTTGAATCATCTCTTTCACAACTAATTCTTCTTTAAAAATTACTTTTTGGTCTAACTTCATTTTCTTTATTCCAAAGATCTTATAGATATTAATGTTCTAAACATTCTATGGCTGTTATTCTTCTATTTGGATCCATTATTAAACAAGATTTTAAAAAATTTAAACCTTTATGACACATTTTTCCTTAATATCTTTTCTCTATTGTTTCATTCTTTATTATATCTGGAAACTTCATTCCTATATATCTTTAATTCTTTTAAAATCTTTCCATTTATTCTTGAGTCAAAGGTCCAATAATTTTTTAAATTAAATACAATTAATCCATTTCATTTTCACCTGGAAATAATGGTTAACCATCTATTAACTCTCCCATTATGCATCCTATAGCCCAAATATCCACTTGTTTTCCATAGTTATTTGAAATTAATAGTTCTGGAGATCTATACCATCTTGTTGCCACATAATCAGTTAATTATTCTTAACATTATATTGTCTAAATCATTAAATATTAATATTACTCTTGCAAAACCAAAATCACACAATTTTATATTTAATTCATTATCAACTAATAAATTTTCTGGTTTAATGTCTCTATGTACAATTCCAACTTAATGACATGCATGAATAGCCAAAACTAATTAGAATATTACTCGTTTAATGCTTTCCTACTAATCATGTATTTATATTCTAATACATCTAATTATTTTCTTTCTTCTAATAACTCCAATAGGTTTCTATCTACAAATTGGAATACCAAAAATATTTTGCCCTTTTTTTTAAATGCTTCTTTAAGTTAGATAATATTTGGATGTTTTATCATTCTCAACATTTTCACCTCTCTTTAGATACTTTTCTTAACTGTCTCATCATCTTCTGTCTCTTTGAATTTTTTTATTGCGACTGTAACATATACAAACAAATATAAAACCACATTCATTTGTTTCTTTATTTCTACATTTTAGAACTATTCCATAAGCTCCTTCTCCAACAACTCCTATGATCTCATATTTATTCATTCTCTCTTTATCTATCCTTATATTATTTATATTAATACTTATTATATAATCTTAAACTTAATTAATTTTTGAATTTGCTTCTATTGATTAACAATACAAATAACTAATTTTTATAACATATATAAACAAACTACTTTATTTAAAACACAAAATCACAATTTATAAATAAATTTAATAAGTATCTATCATATCATTTAGATTTATACATTTTCATTTCATATTAAACTTATTTTATATAAAATTATAATTAAATTAAAAATATACTTCATATAATACATAAATTAAGTAAAAATAAATTTAAATTAGTTAAGTTGTGATAAATTAAACTTAAATTGTCAATCACATAAAATTTTATATAAAAGAATATAATCAAATACTTTTATAAATGTATTGGAAGATCATTATAAATGATAAATCATCATTGATTTGTTATTTTAGATATTTCTTAAAATGAATATATTTAAAATCATATAATTCTAACAATGTTTCTAAACAATAATCTTGAATTTAAGTTTTATTATCTTTTTCATTTCTCATATAGATCCTATCAAACTTTATTCAATTTTATTTTTTCTCTCTATCTGAAAAGTTTGAAGAGGAACAAACTTAGCAGAAATAGTAGTAATATCAATTTTGGATATATTAAAAGCTAATCTTTGAGTATAACTTAAAGCCCTAAAAAACAAAAGAAATTATTCTTATAAAATAACAAGATGATCAAATTTAAGCTAACTTAGAATCAATAAGAGCTAATTATGAATGTAAAAAGAGATGAAGAGAGTATCATTATTGAATAAGTAATTATAATTTTAAAAATATAAGTGGCTTCGAATTCAAAATAATTATTAAATATATGGTAAAATTCAATCATAATTGCATCATTAGTTTCTAAGCCTTTTTAAAACTATTAAGCATATCTTCCAATTATTCAGGAAATATAACAAATTAGCAACATTCTTATTTTCCATTATCATGTTAGAATGTAATGTTTGTGTCTATAAATCTATTTCCCTCAATTTATTTTTGAGGTACCACACTTTCTGATACTATGAATTTACTTATTCCATAATGAAACTCTATTGCCTTACCAACTTTAAGAATCATAATTATTTTTACTTCGTATTATTTAGTTTTCATAAATCTATTACAATTTGTCTTTGTATTATTTAAAGGTCTTGCTCAATTATTCACAATTTTCTTTTGGTAAACCCAAATCAATTAACTCTTTTATTAATATCTATTCTGAAACATCATATTTAGCAGAGTTTTCAACAATAAATGATACACAAGCGATAGTTGAATTGATTTCTTATTAATTAAAACCAGATCCTTCCAACATCTTAAATATTTTAGCTGAAGTGTCTATACCTTCTACAATATTCTATAATATGTATTATGTCACTAATTTCATCTTCACAGAAGCCTTTATTTATATTATAATTCTATTACAATTTTAGTTAGAAGAGCTGATTCAGCCAAAAACCATTCTGGACAATTACTGTCTCCACAAAATAAAAATCTCATATTTTTAATATTTATTCATTATATAATATTCTTTAATTATAATACAAAAACATATTACTTAATTAAAGAGAATGAAATTATCTATCATTTATTATAATATTTAATAGTATATTTAAATAAATCTAATTTGATTATTAATCATTTCAATATATTTAGAATGATGGTTTTTGTAACAATTATTTCAATTGATTTTATTTATTTTTAACAATATTTCTTTTTAATAACTTTAAATTCCTTTTTATTATACTATAAATGATGATATATATAATATATATTTTTAAATTATTAAAATTATTTAATATATCTTGATTTTTTATATTTGTGATTACAAAAATCATATAAATGAAATTTAAAAATTTAATATTTCTTAATAAACAAAAAGAGCATAATCAAAATCATATTATTTATCAGAGATCAATTTTAAAATATTTGAATTCATCTCTTCATTTTTATTTTGATCATTTCTTTTTATTTATTATCTTTTATATTTGATTTTTCATTTCTCAACAAATGCAACCAACTTTTCTAATGCTTTTTAAGCTGATTAGTTATTGAAAGGTCCATCACCATTCAATTTAGAATGAACTACTAAAGAAGTTCCATCATTTTTGGTGACTGTTATTTCCATTTCACCTGTAACTTTTTCGCTTGCTTTGCCAGATGCTTAGACTTTTGGATATAATTATTTTATATAAGAAGCAGCAAGGTTATATTATGGTTTGTATCCTCATCCACCACAATAAGTAATGTGAACTTTGAAGGATAATTCTTTATTTGTTTGCATAGAAGCAATGTTTTCTGGAATTTTCTACATTATAATTAATAATGATTAGGATTAAAAAAAATTAGATTAAAAATCTCATTTTTTAATTTCTTTTATCATAGTACCCATATTCCAAATTCCTTTCTTATAAAGTTATCCATTTTTATAGACTGCACCATCACCATTCTATCTACTTGATCTCCAATATCCAATGAAAACTTTTCCATCTGGATATGTCATTTATCCTTATCCTTCGAATTCATCTTATAAGAATTCTCCTTTGTACTCCTAACCAGTAGGCCAAATCATTTACCCTTGGCCTTCTTTGACTCCATCTCTCCATTCACCAACATATTTCTTACTATCATTCCAAAAGAATGTTCCCTTATCTTAGATTAAAGGAATTACACATACTGTTAAAAGTGTCTCTAAGAAATTCCCCTTCATAATAAGAGTTATCATTAAAGATCATCTTGCCTTATCCTTCTTTTTAACCTTTTCTAAATTCTCCTTGATATGTGATACCATTTGGCCATATTTCTTTACCTTAACCATGTTTTTCTCCATTATTCCATTCGCCTTCATAATAAAAGGTAGAACTATATATACCAGACCCATTAAAAAGATTGTTTTCAAATTCTCCTTCATAATAATCGCCATCATGAAATATTAATCTACCAATACCATAATATTAATCCTATTTAAAAAATCCTTCATAATAACTTCCATCTAAATTCAAAGCCTTGCCATAACCATGTCTCATATCATCTAGCCAATCTCCAGAGTATAATGTCCCATTTTTTAATCTCTTAAGATGTATATAATTATTACATAACATCCTTTCTTATTTCCATTTATAGAAATTAAGTCTTACATTTTGAAATGAGGAGAATCTTTTACAACAATCTTCTTTAATTTTTCCATAGTAGCCAAGATTAATGGATTCAAAATAATAAATTATTCCTAAGTTTCATATACTCGAGGAGTGATAGCATTAATTAATTATTGAAGACTTTCTTCAACACTTAAATGATCAGGTGTATTATGGTTACTAAGATGTGTTGGTGGATTTTAGTAAGAGCAGCAATTACCCATTAAATATAAATATATATATTGACAGATATTTTTTTAATGTATATAATAATTTATCAGGCAACAAGTATGCATGCTCCACCAACAGCCTTAATTCTTCTTTCTGCAGTTTTGCTAAAGAATTTAGCCTTAACCACAACTGGTTGATTTGGTAATCTTCCCTTACCTAAGACCTTAAAATAACCTGCCTTAGTAACATCAATCACTGCAGCCTTATCTTTAGATTTAGAATATTTTTCTCTGGTTTCATCAGTAACAAGTGACCATAATTTGTCAATATTAACAACTGGTTTATGTAGTTAGTTCTTTTTTAAATGAAAATGTCTCATTCCAGTCTATGATTAAAATATTCAGATGTACTTTTTGGAAATATCCTGGATGGTATTTATTGAAATTGATTCTATGATGTGTTAAACCTCCTGAAACACCTCTACCACTTGGATGTTTTCTATGCTTACCAACTCTACCATAACCATGACAAACATGTCCTCTCATTTTTCTACATTTTCTTAATCTGCTAACCATTATTTTATATTTTAAAAAAGATTTTAATATGTGATTAATATACAAACTCAATACCTAAACAAATTATTTTATATCTCTTTAAAGATGTGTAAATCTTTATTTTAGTATAAATTAACATAATTTCAAATGAAAAATAAATACAAAAAATCAAATACAAATTAATGATCATTGTTCTAAATAGCTTTCTTAAATCAATTTGCTGATATTTCATTATTTTGATTATAAATCAATGATGCTTCATTACTTACACTTGAAGATTAATCATCTTCAATATTAATCTCTTTCTTTCTTTACTAAAGAAATAGTTAATGTTCTTACATAAGAGAAATAAAAGGTTACAAAATTAATTTGAACTAGAATATTCAATAATATCTTAAAACAAGGAGCTAAATTTGAATTTAAATGATCTTAAAAACTATAAAAATAAAATTCTGCAAAGAATAATCCCAATAATTAAACAGGAAGCATAAATAAAAATAAAATAAATTAGATTGCTTTGATTTTTAAATCCTGTAAAATGTACTCTTCAAATAATTTTATCAAAATGTTAATTGTCCAAAACATAATGATTATTATGAGCAATGCTTAAATCTTTAAGGCTTTTATAGAATTCAAATTTTAATGAAGTCTTATTTATAATGAATTAATTGATTTTTGCAAATTATGGTATAAGTACCATCCAAAACTAAACACAATAGTATTTACTATTAATTAAAATATCCACCATATCATTAAAAACCCTTCAACTTTTAAATCTAAATTACAAATATAGAAAATAATTTCATTGCTATATTTTATCCCATAATGTTAAAATTTAGCAAAAAAAGAACCAAAGTTGCATATAATTGTTAGAATAACAATTAGAATTAAGTATTTATTAAATTGTTTTTTTATTTAACGTTGTTTTACAATTATTCCATAGATTGCATGACAAGATAAAAAAGATAATAATGAACTAGAAAACCAAGAAATATTATTAGTGATTCCTTAAAATTTACAATCTAATTTATTGATATTTTTTTACATCCATCTGACATGCATTATTATTGATTAGGTTAATTTGGATCAATTTAGCAATATTTTAAGTTTTAATTGAATTTTTCTGAGTAAAAGAAAGGTCCAATAGTTTATGGAACAAAAAACATTAACAAGACCATCACTTAGAAGAAATATAATCTATAAACTTTGATTAATAAGTATACTTTTATATTAAGTATTTGCTACCATTTCCAACTATGTAAAATAAGATAATCAATAATAAAGAGGTTAGGCTTATTACATTACATATAAAAATAGTCAATAGGAATCCATTATGATTGTAGTCATAGAACATTTCTTCTTGAATTAGTTCTGTTAATATAAAGATTATTAATTTACATAGTTTAATAATGCATCAGATAATTAATTGGGAAATATTGATGATATCATTATTAATATAATAAGTCTTAAATTTATTATTAGAGTTATTCATCAATTTAATAACACTTTACAGACTATTATATTATCTAATATATAAATAAAGACATAAATAAAAAAGATACATTCAATATCTTAATTATTTCAAAATTTATTATTCCAATATCATAATCAATTAAAAAAAATCAAATGTTTTGGTATTCTTCACTTCTAAAATATTGTGCTTTTTATTTGATTATCTAATAAATATAATAATATATACATCAGATCTAAGAGGATTAAATTATTAAATTTATGAAGATGATTTATTTGAATATTATGATTCTTTAACTCCTGAATTGTAATTAGAGGTCTCAGATCTATATTAAGCAGTATTCACAATTGATTTAATTTTTTTAGAGTCTTCTAAATTAAATCCTGAAACTAATCCTGTTGTATTATTTACAACATCACCAGTTCTTTGTACTTCATAATTTTTTGATACAAAATATGCAGTATTTGTATTATTTGAGCTCAATCTCTTTTATGTTTTAGATAGTTCATTTCTAAGCATATTAATTTCTGATTCATATTCTGTTGCCTAATAATTAATAAATTTTATACTCTTTCAATTAATTTATCATGTTTTAGTTAAATTTAATCTTTTAACATCATTTATCTTTATATTTCAGCATTCAAACCTTCAATTCTTGTTTCTAATTCAACTAGTTTTTAATTACTTAATATATATATATAAAATAATTTACTTTTATGTTTCTCTTATGATAATCTATTATTTACTTGATTAATCTAAAATTGCTTCATGTTCTAATTTTAATTATCTAATAGTTGTTGATAATTCTTGAATCATTTCATGTAATTATTATATATCAAGTTCTTTTTCTTATAATTAATTAAGTAAATCTCTAATTTTTGATTCACTATTTATTGATGTCTTTTTCTCATTTTCTATAGTTCTGATATGTAATTCTAATTATTAAATAACTTCAACTTTTCTTTTATTTTCTAATTCTAATCTATTAATTTTCTCAAAATCAATAGATTAATATCTATCTTAATAATCTTAATTTTCACGATTTAATTATCTTATTTTTAATTCAAGTTCATTATTTTTTGATTTTTATTATGTTAATTCATTTTAACATTAAAAATAAATTTTATTAACTCTATCTAATTCAGCTTTTATAGTATCTCTACTTTATTCTGTTGATTTTAATTACATTTTTATAGATTCAAATTCTCCAGATGTAGTATTAACTTCAGTTGATAAAGCAATATATTTTCTCTTCCATTATTCATTCTCTTCATTTTTACATCTCATTGAATCTATTATTTTTTAATTTTCTTTCTATAATAATTCAATTTATTATTTATATTCTTTAATTTCCCTATTTTTAGAACTCTCTAAATATTATAACTCTTAATTAATATTATTCAATTATTAAGATTATATATTTGTTATCTCCTTCTTAAATTAACTTTCTTAAATACTTATCCTTTCTTCATATTATTTCTTCTATGATTATATTTCTATTTTAAGTCTTTCCATTAATTTCTCATTTTATAATTACTCTTCCTTATAATAATTCAATTTTCTTTCATATTCTTAATATCTTTCTCTTTCTTACCTTAATTCCTCATTTCTTCTTTCTAATAATTTTATTTATTCTACAAACTCCTATTCCCTTCTTTCAAATTATAATAAAATTTATTTTTATTTCTATCCTTCATCTATTCTTAATTAAATCTAATTCAATTATTCTTAATAATCCTAATTAGATTTTTAAGAATTTCTAAGTTGTATTCTAATATTTTTTAATTCTTATTCTAACTCAAGATAAGAATTCTAATATTCTTTTAATTGTTTTTCATAAATTTAAACTTCATTTTACAATTATAACATTTATCTTTCTTAACTTTATATCTTAAATAAGTCCTCTTACTTACTCACTTATATTGTTTCTTTTATTATTTAAACCTCTTGCTTTTATTTTTAAATAGTTGTAAGATTGTCTCTTAATGTAGATAATTACTATTCCAATTATCTAATACGATATTAATCTGCTTCTGAAGGAACTTCAATTGTTACTGTTTCTTTAATTATTTCTTATTTCTTTTAATTTAACATAAAGTAATCTTATTATAAAGTATTAAGTTATTATTCTAATTATCTAATTCTTATTCGATCAGATTCAACAGGTACTTCTACTACTTCCCTAACAACCTCAGCTTTTCTAGATTATAAAACCTAATATTCACTTCTTAATTATGAAAGCTACATTTCTAATTACTATATTCTAAATTTATCAGCTTAAGATGGAACCTCTACTGTATACGTTTCTTTGATTACTTCTTATTTACACTTATTTAATGCAATATAATCTTATTATAATTTATGTAAGTCTTATTCTAATTCAATAATTCTTCTTTTATCTGACTCCTTTGATACTTCAATCCTTTCTGTAATCACCTCTCTTATTGTTTCTTACTTCTTTTTTGAAATTATTTATAATTCCATAGTTAAATTACTTAATTAAGATTCTAATTATGCAATTCTTTATTTATCTGCAGGAGATGATACTTCTACCCTTTCTGTAATTATTTCTTTTATCACTTCTTACTTTTTCTTATTAATAATCTCATAATTATTTTGTAAATTCAAATACTCAATTTTCATTTATTGCAATGATTATTCCAATTATTATATTCTATACTTATCAGCTTATGAAGAAACCTCTACTGTTACAGTTTCCCTTATAATTTCTTATTTCTTTAAATTTAATTAATTATAATCTCTTTATAATTAAGAAAACTGATCTTCCAATTACCTTATTCTAATTTTATCCGATTCCATTGGTACTTCCACTCTTTCTGTAATTATTTCCCTAATAACTTCTTGCTTCTATTGTTGAACTATTCTTAAATCTGTCTATAATTGTGAAACTTATGATTCTAATTATTATATTCTGAATTTATCTGCTTATGAAGACACCTCTACANAATTTCTAAGTTGTATTCTAATATTTTTTAATTCTTATTCTAACTCAAGATAAGAATTCTAATATTCTTTTAATTGTTTTTCATAAATTTAAACTTCATTTTACAATTATAACATTTATCTTTCTTAACTTTATATCTTAAATAAGTCCTCTTACTTACTCACTTATATTGTTTCTTTTATTATTTAAACCTCTTGCTTTTATTTTTAAATAGTTGTAAGATTGTCTCTTAATGTAGATAATTACTATTCCAATTATCTAATACGATATTAATCTGCTTCTGAAGGAACTTCAATTGTTACTGTTTCTTTAATTATTTCTTATTTCTTTTAATTTAACATAAAGTAATCTTATTATAAAGTATTAAGTTATTATTCTAATTATCTAATTCTTATTCGATCAGATTCAACAGGTACTTCTACTACTTCCCTAACAACCTCAGCTTTTCTAGATTATAAAACCTAATATTCACTTCTTAATTATGAAAGCTACATTTCTAATTACTATATTCTAAATTTATCAGCTTAAGATGGAACCTCTACTGTATACGTTTCTTTGATTACTTCTTATTTACACTTATTTAATGCAATATAATCTTATTATAATTTATGTAAGTCTTATTCTAATTCAATAATTCTTCTTTTATCTGACTCCTTTGATACTTCAATCCTTTCTGTAATCACCTCTCTTATTGTTTCTTACTTCTTTTTTGAAATTATTTATAATTCCATAGTTAAATTACTTAATTAAGATTCTAATTATGCAATTCTTTATTTATCTGCAGGAGATGATACTTCTACCCTTTCTGTAATTATTTCTTTTATCACTTCTTACTTTTTCTTATTAATAATCTCATAATTATTTTGTAAATTCAAATACTCAATTTTCATTTATTGCAATGATTATTCCAATTATTATATTCTATACTTATCAGCTTATGAAGAAACCTCTACTGTTACAGTTTCCCTTATAATTTCTTATTTCTTTAAATTTAATTAATTATAATCTCTTTATAATTAAGAAAACTGATCTTCCAATTACCTTATTCTAATTTTATCCGATTCCATTGGTACTTCCACTCTTTCTGTAATTATTTCCCTAATAACTTCTTGCTTCTATTGTTGAACTATTCTTAAATCTGTCTATAATTGTGAAACTTATGATTCTAATTATTATATTCTGAATTTATCTGCTTATGAAGACACCTCTACAGTTACCGTTTCCTTGATAACTTACTATTTCTTTTAATTAAGTTAATAATATTCCTAACTTAATCTTTGCAATTCCTCCTCTAATTATTAAATTCTTAATTTATCTTTTTATGATGGTACTTCAACTGTTTCTGTAACTATTTCTCTAATTACTTCTTATTTTTATTATTAAATTGTTTATATATTCTATTTTAATTACAACACTAATGATTCTAACTATTATATTCTTAATTAATCTGATTATTATGGAACTTCTACTGTAATTGTTTCCTTTATTATTTCTTACTTTTTTTAATTTAATACATAATAATCATTTTACATTTTTTGTAATTAACTTTCCAATTATTTAATTCTTACCCTATCAGATTCTAAAGGTACTTCAACTCTCTCAGTTCTGTATTCAGTAATTACTTCTTATTTTTTAGATGAAACTATTTACAATTCTTTTTTTAATTATAATAATTAAGATTCTAATTGTTAAATTCTTTATTTATCAGCTTATGAAGGAACTTCGACTGTAATTGTTTCTTTAATAATTTCTTATTTTTTCTATTCTAAATATTAATATTCCTTTTATAAACGTTATAGTTATGCTTATAACTATGAGATTTTTAATTTATCAGATTCTAAAGGGACTTCAATTCTTTCAGTAATTATTTCTCTTATTACTTCTTATTTACTTTAAGTAACAATATCTAATTAATTCTTTAATTTGACTATTTAAGATTCTAAAGATTAGATTATTTATTTATCAGCTTAAGATGGTACTTCAACAGTAATTTATTGTGTTATAACCTCTTATTTTCTTTAATTTAATAAATAATTTTCTTATCTTAAGTTATTTAATTGTGTTTCCAACTATTAGATTCTTATTTTATCTTCTTCTGATGGAACTTCAACAGTTTATGTGATATATTCTCGAATAATTTCTTATTTTTTTGCTGATGATTATTTAACTTAATGTTCTAATTCTTAAATTCTCATTTTATCAGTTTCTGATGATTATACTTCTCTTATAGTTTCTACAACAACTTAATTCTTTCTTCTATCTAATTCATAGTATTTAGTTTTCCATAATTACAATTCTTCTTCTAAACTAGCAATCAATTTGATATCTTCTTAACTTCTTACTTACACAGTCTCTCTTATAGTTTCTCTAATAACTTCTTATTTAGATGATGAAACTTATTACTATTATAATTTGAATAGATGTAATTATTATTCCAATTCTTATATTTTTAATTTATCTTATTTTGAAGAAGTTTCAATAACTTCTTTAACAATCTCTGGTTTTCTTTTGAGAAGTACTTCATTTGATGCTTTTAATTCTGCAATTTTTTATTTATCTACTTCCCAATCACTTTTTAATAAATTAAATTCATTTCTTTTATCTAATAATTATTTTTCTAAATCTCTACACTTCAATTTCAAAGATTCAATATCCATTTCTAATTATTTAACCTTTCTAGATTGATCTTGATTTTATTTAATATTTTCTATAGTCATAGTATAAGTTGTAATTTATTCTTTATAATTTTCTTCTCTTATTTTATGAACACGAATTTCTTCTTGTAATTTAATTAATTCTAATTCCATTTATTGAATTTTATGTTTATCTTATTCTGTTTAAGTGAGAACATAAGTATTAGATTCATATTATGTCTTAGTGTCAATCAATAATTATCTAACTTCTTAATGTTGTAATTATTCATTATAAAATTTTTCTTTCCATAATTTAACTTAAACTTCCATTTCATGATATAATTATTCAATTTATCTATATTCTCTTCTTAATTTTTCAATCTCCTTTTAATGATTTTCAAGTTCATATTAATATTATGTAGTCTATTGAATTTCAATTCGTTTTTCTTATTATTATACAATGTATTATTCTTTTAATTCTTTAATTTCAATTTTATAATTATTAATTTGTTAATTTAATTAATTAATTTACATTTTATATCTTTCAGATTCTTCTATATTTCTATTTTATTTTTCTAATTAAGTAATACTTAATCTATATCCATTATTTTATTCTTAAATTTATTTGAATTCACTTACTAAAATTTATAATTCTTCTTAAATATGTTATTTTTCTATTCTTAATTAATTATTTTAATCTTCTAATTATTTTATTTTTATCCTATAAGTTTCATAATCCTTATTTTTAATTTCTAATTATATGTATTTTTATTTCCAATTTTCTAATTCATTTTAAATTGTATGTATTTACCAACTATCTCTTTATATTTTTTCATTTTATTATTATTCTATTTATTTTTTAGTTTCATTTACTCTAATTTCCATTTAAATAATTCTTCTCTCACTTTCTTCCTTTTATAATTCAAATACTTAACATTTCTCTTACCATTATTTGCATTAAGTTTAATAGAAATTTACTTCTTATCTTAATTGATCAATTTCATATTACATATTACCTTTTGATTCTGCCATTGCAGATTCCAATTTATACTAGTTTTAATTATGTGCTTCTATTAATATTTAAATATCATTATCCATTTCTTTAATTTTATCTTTTAAAGTTTAAATAGTTCTTTCATATAGTTCCTTATCTGAAGTTCTTACTTAAACTTCAGATTGATATCTTGCTATTTCCTACATCAATCTAGTAATTTCACTCTAAGTAGAAGAATTCCTTTGTTCTTTAACAGTTCTAATTTCTAATTCCAAAGAAGATGCTCTATTTTTATAAGTCTATATATCCTATTCATATTTAATCTTCATTCTCAAATATTCATCTACTTATTTTCTTTGTTCAGCTAATATGGCATTAAGTTAAGTAATCTCTAAATGATTAAATATTATATAGAATACCTTATTAATATCTTATTTATTATTAAGTTAATGTAGAAATGTCTTATTTGTATCTAGTAACTAAACTTGATGATTCAGCATCTTATGAATTTCTCATTAATAATTATGATCGTAATTTAGCCAATTCTTATTAAGCTGCTTCTAATTCAGCTTGATTAATCATATATTTTTGCTTTAAATTATAACTTTCTCCTGACATTAGCTTCAATTATTAATTGTCCTTATCTAATTGTTCAATCACTTCTTTCAATTTTCTATTGTCTTGTAATAATTCTTCATAACGTCTATTAATATGATTAGTTATTTACTTATCTTCATAAATTATACTTTTTTTAGTACTTTAATTGATCTCAATCACACGTCTAATTTAAAATATTATATTTACTTTTCAGCACTCGAAACCACACCTGAAGTAGTTTAGTACTTATCATTAGTGAATGACTATCTACTTTATGACATAGGAACTTATAGATATTGTTAATTCATAAATTTGAATTTATATTAAAGTTTTGTTTGTTTAAAAAGTTTTTATTAAAGGAATATGTAAAATTATTAAATATAATTGAATATAATTTATTCCAATTTTAAGAATCAAATAAATTCTGAATAGATTTATCATTAATATTCAAATAAATTCTAAAATTTAGTGATCTATTTTTTAGGACTTTCCGAATTCTTTAAGAATTATTTAACTTGTTTTTGAATTAAGTTAAAAATATTAATAATTGAAATGAAAAAGAATCAATTTGGACTTTTAGAAGATTTAACAGAGCCAGGACTTATTAAAAAAAGTAACGATGTTTCATGGAAGAATGATTAAATTTATAAACAAACAAATTTTGAAAAAAATACAACATATTTCCATATCATGGGTAAATTTTTAAAATCAAGATTATTAAGGTCATGAAGAATCTCATGCAGTCAGAAGAAGAGAAATATTGAAAAAACATCCTGAAATATAAGTTTTATTTGGAAATGACATTAATTCAGCTTGGTTAGGAATCACCTTTGTATTGTTGTAATTCAGTTTCATAAGTCTTTTTAACTAATTAAGTTTGTTTTGGTTTGTAATAACTGCTTATGTTTTTGGTGCAACTTTAAGTCATGCTCTACATGTTTTAGTACATGACTTTACTCATTTTACTTGTTTTGAAAGTATAGCTTTGAATAAGTTGATGGCAATATGGGCAAATTTTGGATAAGGAGTACCCTCAGCCATTACTTTTGGTAGGTATAAAATACATATTTAAATATGTTTAGATATCATGCAGATCATCATACCTTTTTGAATTTGGAAACACTTGATCCAGATCTTCCATCCAGATTCGAATTAAAGTATGTTAAAGGACCAATAATGAAATTTTTATTTGTGGCTTGTCTTCCCTTATTTTACGGTTTGAGACCTATAATATTAAGACCGTTAAAGCCAAATACTTATGAAATAATTAATATAGTTTCCGTCTTTTTTGTTGATTATTTGATTGTTGAATATATAGGAGTACAAGGACTACTTTGGCTATTACTATCTACCTATTTTGGTTTAAGGTATCAATACTATTCAAATTTAGTGTTCACCCTTTTGCTGTTCATTTGATAGCAGAACATTATGAATTCGTTAATAGAATGGAAACATATGATTATATTGGTTGGGCTAATTTCTTTGTTCTTAATATTGGCTATCATACAGAACATCATGATTTTCCTATGATACCCTGGACTAGATTACCTTTACTAAGAAAAATGGTACCAGAGTATTATGAGAATTTGCCTTGTCATACAAATTATGTGCATACATTATTTGCATATATATTTGATGGATATATGGGACCATTTTCTAGAATTGTTAGATCTTCGCCTGTATATTTCCAAAAATGACTTTTTAAATTAAATTGTACATGGGCAATATATGCCTATATAATAATAATTTATTTATATATATATATATAATCATGTAAAGTAGCACAAATTATTCTTAATTTGAAAAAAAGGAGAATATTGATTGGCCTATTTTTCAACCAGCTGAGAATATTAACAATCTACCTTTTTGGGATAAGAGACCTTATTTATCTTTTGAAGAAAATTAAATATTAATCAAAGGATATCTTAAGAGAATTGGAAAGAACAAATAAATACCAAAAGCATATATGTTTATACTATTAAAAACAGGTTAACTCTTATATGCAGATAGAAATTAAAAAGGAAAAATACAGTTGGATTTATCAATTTTTCTCAAGAAAATTGAATTAACATATGAAGAAAATGAAGATAAGTAAAAGATTTATGCAATAAGAATAGAAAGATTTTAGAATTGCTCAATTCATATTTGGAATGAAGATAATTTGTATTATTATTAATTAATTTCTAGTTTAGAATTAGCATCAATGTTTGGTATAACAGATTAGCTTAGTTTTGTATTAGTTAAAATTTTGAAGGATTCTTTTAATTATAAGAGAAAATAGATTAAGGTGCCTTTAGTTCTGTATTTTCAGTTACTTCTCAATTTCAATAAGAAGAAGTCAAAAATTAAAGATTTGCTGCTAAGGTTTATTCCAAAAGTTTATTATAAAAAATACCTGCTTAATAAATGAAGGTAAAATAATTAATAAATTAGGATTTTATTAATGCAGAATGTTAAATACTGAAAATTGTAAAATCCTAATACATTGTCTAATTATTTGAAATTATATAATTAGAAGATGTAGTAATTTTAATACTTGAATATGTTACTGGAGGAACTTTGTATCAAATTATTCAATAAAATGTTTTAAATGAATTGATGTCTTTAGAGATTTGTTATTAGATACTGTTAGCAATAAAAGAAGTTCATCAGTATAATATATGAATATTGTAATAGCCATGGCTTTGTACATAGAGATATTAAATTAGAGAATATAATGATTTCATCTTTAAATCCAATAGAAATAAAACTTATAGATTTTGGTTTTGCTGAAAAAATTAATCGTAATAAATTAGTAAATGGTTCTGGAACTGCAGGATATATTGCTCCAGAATTATTTGAATTATCACCATATACAGAAAATTGTGATATGTTTAGTTTAGGAGTACTTTTATATTAGCTTCTATGTGGAAATTCTCCTTTTGGTACTTAGAATAAAGAAAGTAATTATAATTATATATTTCAAAATAGTACTTTTAGAATTAAATAGGACATGTAATCTACAATATTTATAAAAGGAATGGTAGAATATTTCTTCTTCTACTTAAAAAATTGTCTAAAAAATGTTAGATAAAGATCCTAATAAAAGAATTACAATTTTAGAACTTGAACTACTATTAGAAATACACATTAATAATTTGCGATCTAATTAAGCTAATTTTCGATAAGCGCTTAATCAATTATAAAATTGTAATAATGTTATGATGTAAAACTAAAAAACAGCAATAAGATTAGTTTCGAATAACAAAAAATGTGATGATGATGATATGATGATAGAGGAAAAAAGTATAGATAATACAAACTTAATCAATTTAAAAAATTCCCAATAATATTACAATAAGTCTAAATGGGTATCTTGAATTTGTTAAATATATATTTGCATAATAAATTTATAATTATTGAATTAATTTATTTATATGAATGATAAATAAAATGCAAAATCTCAGTTTGACTAAATCATCTATCATTTTTTAATAATGAAGGAGATCAATTTATTTGAATGATTTTGAAATAAATTCATCTTTAATAAGTCAATTTTTATTTCATTAACTTTAATTCAGTTCTATTTAGCATCATATCAAGAAAATATTCAGTAAGTTTTTACATAAATAATAAATTTATATATATATCATTTTTTTTAAAATAGACTACTTGCTAATATATAATTCTAAATTAACTTAAATTCATCTGTTAAATTTATAAAGTAAAAATCTTTGGATAGAATTTATTAAATGTTTACAATTTGATCAAAAAGTAAGACGGATATAATTATTTTCTTCCAAACATTAATTTAAAATAGAATGAAGAAAAATTGGATAATTATAATCAGTAATTATATGATGCTTTGATTAAGATAATTTTTTTTAGAATAAATCTTCTTGATTGGGGTGTATATTATGATTTAAAGAATATTTTTTGAATTTATGTTCAAAATTAATTAAACTTTAACATTTTAATTTTAAGTATTAAAATAATTATATTGTTATTGTTAATTTATGACGTATTTTCATAATTTTTTCAGATATTTTCCTCCATTAATCATTTTATAATACGTAAGAAAATAAGATTTTATCATTCCAATACATTATGTTAAAAATATATACAAATAAGCAATCACATTATCAAAACAATTAAGAATCCTCTTTATTTTCAGGTTTTCTTATTAAAATTGGCGAATCAAAATTTGGAACATCATTTATAAATTTTGTTCTGATACCTGTTAAAATTTAACTACTATCACTAGAGTCTTCATCAGATGAGAGTATGTCAGCAAATGGCAATTTTATGGTGAGTTTTTCCTCTATTTTAACTTTTTTTTTAATTGGAATTTCATCGTTTTCTTAATCTTAGAATTTTTCTTTTGTTGTTTCTTTTTAAGAAATCTCTGATAATTTTGGACTACTCATATGTTTAAAATATTAATATAATTTATTCTTATAAATTCACGAATAAATTTCTCATATACTCATATAAATTTTATAAAATTTAATAAAGGCAGTCTAGCATCTTTTATTACTTAATATAATCTCTTGTTAGTAGTATATTTTATTGTAAACTCTTATTACTCTAAATTAAAGGCAAAGAAAATAAATTTAATTCAGCAAAATAATCTTTACATAAACAATTGTTAATTATATATTTATATTATTTCTTTATTTTAAAGCAATATTTATAATATACTTTATTATATCAAAATTAGACTTAGTTAAAATAGAATATCAATTATTATAGATTTACAATAAATTTAAACACACATCATCAATCTATTCTCATATTAAAATGTATTTAAATAATATGATTGTAATAAATTAAAAATATTATATATAAAATAAGAACAAAAAAATAATAATTTTTCATGCCTTTGGTTATCTAATTAATGTCATTTTATCATCAAGATCTTTAATCAATGCTTATATTAAAGTCAAACTTTTGTTAAAGCCAGCAGCATTTGCTCTTAAAGAATCAATTTTAGGCATTTTTACAACTTCTGGAATTGAAGTTGTTATACTAACTCTTGAATTTTTTGCAGCAAATAATTCATCTTGATTTTCTAAAATTGATTATTTATTTACCTTTTAATGTTTGCTTTAGACGTTCAATTTCTTCTTAGGATTGAAGTTTGTTAGACTCTAAATCAGTTTAAGCCATTGCTAATTACTCAAAGACTTTATCTAATTTGATTTCTAAGTCTTTATTTGTTTCTTCTAACTATCTATGTTTAATAATATTAATACCTAATCTTATTTTTATTTAGATCTTAATCAACTTCCAAGTCTATGATTTATAATTTCAAGGATTGCACAGTTTTTTAAAACTCTTAAATTTGGGCATCCTTTTTTATTAATTGTTTTTCTAATTGATTTTGAATCTGTTATAGTTCATTCTTAAATAATGTTTAAAAATTTAATACTCTTGCTTTTTATGTTTCTTCTTTTTGTTACAATAACTAATTTTAGGTTTGTGCAAGATGTTTATTTAAAGTATCTATATTTTTCTATTATTGATCTTCTAAAATTTGACTTTCTTCAATAAATTGATTATATTCTTCTTCCATTTACTGATATTTTTGACACATTTCATCATATTATTACTTAAAGTCCATTTATTTGGTAATATAAATATAAAATATTATATTTAATGAAATAATAATATTTACGTCATTTGAATAATCCTTCTTTTTTGATAATTATAATTGATTAAGAATATTAATTATAACATTATCAATTCTAATAATTAAATAAAATTGTTAAAAATCTTGTATTAAAAAAAATTATACAATTTAATTATCTTAAAAACATAAAATATATATTGATTTTATAGAATAAAATTTAAATTCTTTAAATTTATGGTTCAGCCTTTTTTTATTTGAAAAGATTGTTTATAATTTTTATAAATTCAACTAATAATTTATATGGAAAAATACTATTTTATTTAGTATTTATTATAATAAGAAATTGAGAATATGTTTAAAAAATATTGATATATAATTTATTAATTAAAAATCAATATAATTGATCAAATCTAATAATAGTTCTGCGATATTCATCTAATTTATCACAAGATGAAAAGTCTAATCTTCTGATCGCATTTCTATATTAATCACGATCTCGCTGATAAAAAGATCTGCTTGCATAGTTTTCATACATTTCTCTTTTGTATTAAACATTATTGCATTCATGTTTTAGCTAATTAACATATTTCTATTCAATTTCTAATTCAACTTCTCTTAGTTTTTCCTTAGTTGAGACTTCTTCTTTGAAATTTGTGCCTACATAATATTTAACCTTTGTTTTATAATAAATTCATACTTATAGTGTTCTAGTGGTTTATACAGTAGGGTATTCATATGATCTTTAAAATGAATAAAGAGGAGCTTTCTAAAACAGGGACATAAACCCTGATGAAGATAAAAGTATCAACATTATTACAGGAAGAAACTAAAGAAGTTGTATATTTGCTTATCCATTATGATTCTATCTATTTTAATTGCGAGGTCTAGGAGAGCCAAAGAAAGCTCTAAAGATTTCCTAATCTTTATTATTATATTTATACATTTGCGAATTCATCACCATAACATTATTCATAATAATATCCATTTTGATCTTAATATTGATGCTAACGTTGAGTTTCTGGTCTTTCTGATCCATATTAATCATAAACTCTTTTTTTATCAGGATTCGAAAGACAATTATATGCTTATGCTACACGTTTGAATGCTTCTTAAGCTCCTTCATGTTAGTTTTTATCAGGATGGAATTTCAAAGCTAGTTTTCTATAGGCTTTTTTAAGCTCTTCATCAGTGGCTGATTTTGACACTCCCAATATTTCATAATAATCCTTTTTTTTAAGAAATTCCTTAATTTCTTCAGCCATAATTTTTATGTTTTAAAAAAGAAACTTTTTTTAATTTGAATGAAATATAACCTATTCCAATAGATGCAATAAATAGATTAATTATATATACTGTCATTTTTCCATTTCATTTAGTCTATTATCAAGTGATTCTATAAAATCTTGCATATCTTTTAATTCAACTTCAAAATCATCTAGTTTTTTTTCTATTAGACTAACTTTTCCTTCAAGTATTTTATTGTCTCCACCTTTTCCAGTTCCTGCTCCACCACCAACTGCCTATTTAATAATTCAATTAAAAATTACTGGTTATTGTTTACTAAGTTTTGCAATATCATCATTTATTTTTTAAATTTATTCATCAATCTTATTGAATTCTATTTCTAATTAACCTTGAAATTTTTCATATTCCTCAGGTGTAACTATATCAGCTTAACCATCATTTTTATTCTAATTTTTCTTTAGAATTTCTATTTCAGTTCTAAGATTTTAAAATTCTTTTTAAACATCTTTATCAAAATCATCAACAAAATTTCGAATTTCTTAAATATCTTTTTATGCATCTGAATCAACAGCTACAGCACCATTAGAAGGCCTAGTTCCTAATTTTGATATTTAATTTTTTATTTTATCTATTTCTTCATCAAGTCTATCAAATTCTTTTGCAAACATATCCATTTGCTATTAATTAGTTTAACTTTTATTATTAGGAGTTTATGATATTGGAGATTAGGCTTATTTATTTTATGATAAATTTTTAATCTAGATTTTCAAAGACTCTATATCTGTTCCATATTATTAAAATTCTTTTTCTAATTCTTATTCAATATCATTTATTCTTAATTCTAAATCTTTAATATTATTATCTGATTATGGTTAAGGTTTATCTTAATTTCCTTATTTTTAAAATGCTACATTTTATCCTAAATTATCAATTTATGTTTATAATCTTTTTATTTCAACTTCTAAATCTTTTTTAAGAGATTCTATAGCAATTCCATAAGATGCTATATTTTAATCTAAATCTTTGGATTAAGTTTTACCCTATCCTTATTCTAAATTTAATTAAGAAATTCTTTCATTAAGTTTTTCAAATTCTTAATCAATATCTGATTTCATTTAATTATTTTCCTAAATTATAGTATCAATATTTTATGAAATTAATTTTATATTCTAATTTTATTCTTAATACTTTCCATCAATCAATAATTTTAGATTTTATTCTTACTTTATTATATTAGCTAAATTAGTCTAATTATTTTTTAAAATTAAATCTAAAGTTTATTAAATTTAATTCTTAACATAATCAGAGAGATTGATTTCCATAGCTCCATTCATAGTTTTAATTAATTATATATTACCTATAATTTATTATGATTAAATAACATTTTATTTTAATTATTCTTCTTAATTTTTTAATTATTCCTCTTAATTTTTTAATTATTCTTCTTGTATTTTTATTTATTCAGCATGAGCTTTCTATTCTAATTCAAATTTATTATTTGTTTCTTCTTAATCTACTTGTATTTATTCAAGTTGATTATGAATTGTGTTATCAAAATTTGTAAGTTTTTCTTCTAATTCTTAAATTTTTCCTTCTGAACCTTTATTAATTTCTATTAATTATGCCTATAATTTATATTCTTATGCTTCATTAATTGTTTATTACAACATCATTTCCATTGTTATTTTTGCATCTAATTCATTTAAGAATTATCCATGTGCTCTTATAGCATCAGTAATATTATTAAAATTATTTTAAACTCCTTTAACAAATTCATTCAAATCTTTTTTAATTTAATTCTTTTTCTATTCCAATCTCTCCATTTCTTTAACTAATAATTCTAATTTACCTATAATACCAGTATGTCTTTCTTTATCTAATTCTTCATTTGCTTAACGAATTTGTTCATTCAAATAAAACTTTGATTAAAAATAAGCAAAGCTCTAATCAATTTAAGATTTTAATTGATTTCCTGATGTTATTTATTATTATACTACTTAAGTCAATCCATTTTATGTATCTAATCTCAATTTAGTAAGTTTTTAAGTAATTTCATCAAATAAATCTTATAAATCTTATTTAATTTTTTCAGTTAATTCTTAAAATTAAGTTTCTACATCATTCCTAAATTAAATCATTTATTAATTAAATTCTTCATTCATTTTATTAATCTACTAATTTATTTTATCTTCTAATATTTAAGCTGCTTCTTTTACTTATTCATGTATATCATTTAATTTTGAATTTAAATCTTCTTCTAATTTAGTAAATTATTGATTTATTTATTCATTTAATTTTTATACAGATTATTTAAATTCAGAAGTGACATCTTCTAATTATTATTATAAATTATTTTAAACATTATCAATCTTATTATTTAATGACATATCTAATTAATTAAGTTAATTCTCCATAGTAAATTACCATTACAATCTATCTTATTTCTCTTTATTTATTATTTTTATAAGATGATCTTAAAAGTTTTCAAGTGTAGTTAAAGTATACATTCTTTCTAAATACATTTCACTTTAAATTTATATATGAATTTCTCTCATGGCTTAATCCATTTTTTCCATTTATTAAATTGTCCATATTCTTAATTTAAATAAATCATCTTCAATATCTTTCATCATCATTTTTAAATCATGTTTAGTTTAATCTAATTCTTATTATACATATGATTTAAGATTATTATCTATTTTTTTAATAAATAATTTAATTTAATCCATAGATTTAGAAATTTCTATACTTAAATCATCCAAATTCTTTTGCATTCTATTTTCTGAATTAAGAATTTCTTATTTTAATTATCTATCAATATCTTTCACTTTTTCTTAATAATCTCTTTCAATCTTTAATATTGCTTCATTTAATTTTTCATCATAATCTCTTCTTAAAAGTTACATTTCAAAATCTAAATCTTCCTTTAATTTTCTTACCATATCTCCATATTTTTCAATCAATTCTTAAAGTCTTTATCTTAGTTCTTTTTCTTCATCAATCATAGATTACAATCTTTATAAAATATAATCTTCTCTATTTCTAATAAGTTCTTTCATTTAAATGGATAAACTATCTAATTTTGCATTAGTTTATTGATCAGCCATTTCAATTTCTCTTGTAATTCTATCATTTATTTATTATGAAGATTCTAAAATCTATTAAATAGTATCTTTTTTTGCAGTTTCAATTGCAAATTGTATTTATTCATGCAATTAAATATTGTATTATAATTAAATATTTTTAATTATTTCAGAAAGTTCTATTCTTAATGAATCTAATTTGAATTCTTAAGAATTTAATCCTTAAGTAACTTTTTAATCTAAATTTTTCATTAATTAAAGATATTTCTTATCATTATTCTCAAGTTCACGAGATATTATTTTTTAATTTTCTTAATATTCATTTTTATCTTTAAGTTATTCTCCTTTTATATTTTTTAGATTTGTACTAACTTCAGTAAAAATAACTAAATTTTTCTATGCAAATTATTTTTTCCAATCCTCATTTAATTATCTTTCATCATTTAATAATTTATTCTACATTTCCATTGACTTTTACATTTATTATTCATAATTCTATAATTATTCTTGTTATTTTTAAAATTCTTTTTGAAGACTATTATTAATTAAATTAGCATGTTCATGCATCATTTATCTAGTTTCTCCAACTCTAAAATTTAATTCTTTTTATGCTTATTCAATTAATGCTACCTTACCTAATGAAGTTTCTCTTATCATCTCAACTGTTTTTGAAATAGATTTAATATTTTCAGTTACAATAGTTTAAGATGAAGCTAAATTTGCTTCTAATTATTCTTTTGTATTTTTTATAATCTAATTCAATGATGAAACACTATCATGCATTTATTTCATAAATTTCTATTCTCCTAATAGAATCTATTTTTCATCATTTCTTATTTCCTCTTTAAATGCTTACATCTTATTCTCCAATTAATTCCTCTAATCAAATTCATTCTTTAAACGTCTTTCAACTTCATCAGCAATTCTAGTTTCTACACTTCCAATTAAATTCTTTATGTAATCTTAATCTTAATTTATTTTAGCCAATTTCATATTATCTAATGCTTTAATACTAATCTTTGTTTTATCATTTTATTCTAAGAATTCCTCTCTTTATTATTTCAATTTATTATAGAAATCAGATTCTTATTTTACCAATCTATAATGTACTTCTTATTATTATCTTTATAGATCTTCTATTATTGCATCTCTATGAGTTTTCTCATTATTAAATGCTTCTCTCAATAATTTAACTTCAAGATTGTCAGATACTGGTTATATTGATGTTGGCTTTGATACATTTAATTTCATTTCAATTCCTTCTTATTAATTAATCAAAGAACTTAATTTTAGTTCTTGATCATTACATCTCTTTTGTAATTCAAATATCATTTATGAAAGAGTATCTCTATTCTTTTCTCCTTAATTACGTAACTGACTCATTGCATCTTGAAAAATGATCTGTTTATCATTCACTTACCTCCACAATTACATTTCCTAAGATTCTAATTATTTAATTGATTGCATAAACTTTTATGGATTATCTTCTATAGTTTTTTAAATTCTCCTTTCAATATTGGCTTTGAAATCTATCATCATTATTTCCAAATCTCTGACCTTACTATTCAATTCCAACTAATTCATCTCCTTATCCACATCCTTCAATCCTGTTTGAATGCCAACTCTGCTATCCAAACGAGGTAATGTCATTGTATTTTTTGTACCTGAAGGCAATCTAGCAATTTATGTTTATTTTTGATCACTCTATATTAAACTATAAAATTTACTTCTAGAGTTTTTAATTAAGGTTATTATGGTCTAAACCGTAATTTTGGAGTTTGACGATTATTTAGTTCATCCATAGATAATATAATTATATAATTGTATTAATTTTATACACAAACATTTTACTTGATAATTTCAATTATACCTAAAGCAATCAATTGTTGGGCTTATGTATAAATTTGATGTTCAATAATTACTAGAGAATTAGAGTATTGTAATTAAATAAGTTTATAGTGGTAGTATTTATCTAATGGTAATTTGAGATTTAATCAGATAATGATTTAAAAAAAGACTCTATCTTCTAACCTCCTCAAAATAATTCAAACTAAATTGAAATTGATAATTTTAAATAAGACTTTTTAATTTAATTTGTATTATGAATTGTGTTAACAGAACTATANAAATTTCTATTCTCCTAATAGAATCTATTTTTCATCATTTCTTATTTCCTCTTTAAATGCTTACATCTTATTCTCCAATTAATTCCTCTAATCAAATTCATTCTTTAAACGTCTTTCAACTTCATCAGCAATTCTAGTTTCTACACTTCCAATTAAATTCTTTATGTAATCTTAATCTTAATTTATTTTAGCCAATTTCATATTATCTAATGCTTTAATACTAATCTTTGTTTTATCATTTTATTCTAAGAATTCCTCTCTTTATTATTTCAATTTATTATAGAAATCAGATTCTTATTTTACCAATCTATAATGTACTTCTTATTATTATCTTTATAGATCTTCTATTATTGCATCTCTATGAGTTTTCTCATTATTAAATGCTTCTCTCAATAATTTAACTTCAAGATTGTCAGATACTGGTTATATTGATGTTGGCTTTGATACATTTAATTTCATTTCAATTCCTTCTTATTAATTAATCAAAGAACTTAATTTTAGTTCTTGATCATTACATCTCTTTTGTAATTCAAATATCATTTATGAAAGAGTATCTCTATTCTTTTCTCCTTAATTACGTAACTGACTCATTGCATCTTGAAAAATGATCTGTTTATCATTCACTTACCTCCACAATTACATTTCCTAAGATTCTAATTATTTAATTGATTGCATAAACTTTTATGGATTATCTTCTATAGTTTTTTAAATTCTCCTTTCAATATTGGCTTTGAAATCTATCATCATTATTTCCAAATCTCTGACCTTACTATTCAATTCCAACTAATTCATCTCCTTATCCACATCCTTCAATCCTGTTTGAATGCCAACTCTGCTATCCAAACGAGGTAATGTCATTGTATTTTTTGTACCTGAAGGCAATCTAGCAATTTATGTTTATTTTTGATCACTCTATATTAAACTATAAAATTTACTTCTAGAGTTTTTAATTAAGGTTATTATGGTCTAAACCGTAATTTTGGAGTTTGACGATTATTTAGTTCATCCATAGATAATATAATTATATAATTGTATTAATTTTATACACAAACATTTTACTTGATAATTTCAATTATACCTAAAGCAATCAATTGTTGGGCTTATGTATAAATTTGATGTTCAATAATTACTAGAGAATTAGAGTATTGTAATTAAATAAGTTTATAGTGGTAGTATTTATCTAATGGTAATTTGAGATTTAATCAGATAATGATTTAAAAAAAGACTCTATCTTCTAACCTCCTCAAAATAATTCAAACTAAATTGAAATTGATAATTTTAAATAAGACTTTTTAATTTAATTTGTATTTAATGAATAGATTTATTATAAGAACATAGATTAATTATAATGTATATTATAAATAAAGGAATATAATTTATATACTATGAATTAAACTAAATAAATAAGATTAAAATTTAGAATGTAATCTCTTATTTAAAGTTAGTATAATATTATTTCTATTATTGTAGTGTTAGTTTATGATTCATTTTGGATTTGCCAGAATCTCAATTCATTATAGCAATTTAACAACTTGTAAACACAGAATTAATATTGTAATTAGATATTATTATTGTAAATAAAGAAATGATAATAATGTTGAAATTACTAAATAATTAAAGAATTTAATATATTATTTTGTATGTTTTTAATGAGAATTCTAAAAAATTTAACATTAATTCTCAATATTTTGAAAAGATGCAATAAAATATTTATTATAATAATTGATAGTATGGAAAATGAAACAAAAAATAAAATTATATATATCAGTAGTGCGAAAGTTGAGTTCATTTAAAATTATCGTACTCATTAAAATTCATCATTATATATTAATTTATATGAGTGAATTATAAATATATTTGTCGTATCAATTTTGTATATGGGTTAATTTTTTTATAATGTAATCTGTCAATAAATTGTTTGTTAAATGCCAATAAGAACCAGCTAAGGAACAAATCATTTTTAAGACTGAATTCTTTAAATTTACTAATCACAAATCAGTTCTGTTACTATTATGTAGTGATGAACACATTTACAAAATAAATGTAAATTCTCAATTACTTAATTTTTAGAGATAAAAGATTTATAAGGTTTCCCTTTAGTATTTACGATTTAGTGTAAAAGCTGAGTAGACTAATAAACAGACTTAAAAATAAATGAAAGGTGATGAATTTCACACTTAAATATACAAATTTACTTTAGAGAGAGATGACACAGATCCTAATGAATTTTATAACTTTAACTTCTAAACCATGTATTGGTTTGATAATTTGAGGAACAAATTAAATATGCTTGATTATTAAGTGAACTATGATATTTCTAAATTAATCGGTAAAGGAACTTTTGCATCTGTTTATGAAGCAAAATCTAAATTTGATAATTAAATGTATGCTGCTAAGGCATTCTATAAGAAAACACTCTATTAAGATCCAAAAGGAAAAGTATTATTTAAAATTTTTAGTTTAGGAACAAGTTGAAAATGAGATTAGAATCATGAGGCAACTCAATCATCCTAACTTAATAAATTTACATGAAGTTTATGAAAACAAAGCATAAATATATCTAATTATAGATTTAGCAAGAGGAGGATCACTTGAATATGCACTCAAAGTATTAAATGGACCAGTGCCTTTCTTATCAGCAAAAGTGATATTCCGTTAAATAGTAGAAGGATTAAATGGATTACATGAGAAGAATTTAATGCATAGAGATTTAAAACCAGATAATATTCTATTCAGAGATTTTGTTCCCTTAAAAAGATATGGATTGATTAATATGGGACCTAATATAATGGTTAGTGATTTTGGTGTTTCTAGTGTAGTCTAAGAAAAATTAAATGTTTATTAATATACTGGAACACCAGGATACATGGCCCCTGAAGTATTTGAAACAGAATAAGATCCTTCAAAAACATATAATGAGAAATGTGATATATTTTCATTAGGTTGTATTCTTTATTATTTATTGATTGGCAAACCACTTTTTGCCAATAAATAAGCTAATATGGAAATGAAAATTGATTGGATGTCTGTTGAATAGGAATTGAATTCAAGTCATTCTCTTACTATGTTATTATAGAAAATGTTATCTCCAAATCCTTAAGATAGACCATCTTGTAAAGAAATAATGGAAAACAAAATATTAGAAGTGGAATATGGTGAAGATGGAGTACCATTATTCAAAGATTTCTAAAGACCTAAAAGTAGTCCTCCAAAAAGATTGATTTAAGAAGATTCACTTAAAAACAAAGGTAAGAGAGGTAGTGTTTTGATGAACAATAAGGCTATCAATATGATGCCCATAATGGAAGAGAAATAAAGAGATTCTGGCAATCATAAATTCACCAAAAGAAATACTAATATGGATGTATAAGATATGAAATCGAGTCAAATCATTGTTAATCCATAATCAGTAAAACAGGCACGACGTTCGTCAGCTATCGTTCCTGGAACTGCTAAAAGACCATCACAACAATGATTAAATTAAATTAAATTTTAATATGTAGCAAATTAGTAAAGAGAAAGAGTAGTAGTATTAGTAGTATATGGATTTGGAGAAGGATGTTATGAGCACTTTGGCTAAAGTCAGACAATATGAAGCTTCAATGACTTAGCTAAAAAGAAATATTCAGAAATGCCAAATTACATTAAAGGAACTTGGTAGTATTAATGAATAGAAGACATATCAACCTGTTGGTAAATGGTAATATATTTCATATAATTAACAGCTTCATTCTAAAACCAAAAAAAGATATTGCTGATGAAGTTGTAGAAATCATTAAATCTCATGAAAAAGATATTGATGAATATGAAAAAGTCAGATAACATTTAATCACAAAAGGAAAAGAAAAGGAAACATAATTATAAGAGGCCATGAAAGCATTAAAAATTTGAATTATTCCTTTATTATGTTAAGTATAACAAAAATTTGTTATTCATCTTAATAACTAATAAGAAAATAAATTATACTAAACTTTTATTATCAAAATTGCTAATCAAAATAAAGTTGGCTTAGCTATTTCTTTATGTTACTAATAATATATTATAATTTATTACAAAAAAATCAACAGTCTTTCTAGGTATTTAATTTACATCTTTTTTAATCTATAAAACATTAGATTTACTCTACATTAAGAACTTTAAATTTTTGTATAATTAAACAGCTTCTTCTATTTATGATTCAACACATTAATTTTTTGGTAAATTAACTTAACTATTGTAAGATTCTTTATGCTAATGAAAATCCTATAATTAATAGGATACACTCTTATTTTTAGTAGAATTAGATCCAACAGGTATTGAATTAAATTATACTTTCAACATAGTCTTAATAGGTGTTGATTTTTTCTCAATAAAAGGAGATTATTATTTAGTTTGACTTCTATTTATTGTTGATCTTGGAGCTTTACGTTCGCTATATGAAATCTTATTTATAGTTGATTCTTTATTTTCTGATTCTATTGTTACTGTTTTATTAATAGATTAATTTATTTTTTTTTCTGATCCATATTTTTATTAAGAAAATTTATATTATTATTATTATTATTAAGGTAGCTTCTTTAAACTTTAACTTCTCATAACTCCTTAAAAACATTCAACCTTTTTTATATGTGAAGACTCTGAAATATGTGATTCTTTACTTGATGGTCTTTGCCTTTATTCATTATATAATTTTTTTTGTTATTATTGTTAAGATGAATTCTATTTAGGATTATTCTTTGAAGCACCATTATTAATACTAGAAGATTAATAAGAAAATTATGATTTATTTGCTTATTTATCTATTTCAAAATCTTTCGTTTCTCTTGTTAATCTTTCTATTTCCAAATCTATATTACCTATATCTTTCAATAATATTTTTTTCAAATGATTACTATCATTTTTAATAATAGATGGAGGTTATGCAATTGGAATTGGCTCTACAATTTATTGTATTTATTCATCCTCTGATTCTGGAGAAGGAGTGGAATTCTATTAAGGAGATTCTTCTTTAACAAGTTTTAATTAATTTGATTCATTTTATGTATTCTTTAATAATGGTTTCTTTTAGTTAAACACTATGAATTTCTACTAATTTATTTATGGTTTTGATATTTTAGATGCCTTTTTATTTTTTTGACTATTCTCGTATTATTCTAGCAAATTACCCATAATTTATTATTTTCTTATGTAAATCACAATCAGTACCTCAACTCAAATTAAGCAGCTGCTTCTTCTTCACTTAATTTACTATACCTGCCTTATTCCTTCATTCAGTTAAATAATTTAATATGAGTATTTATTATGAGCTAATTAATTTTAGAAAGCTTTTGTTTATCATAAAAAAGAATTTATCAAATAAATAAGATTTCTATTCTTGAATAAAAACTTCTAAAATAAGCTAGAATTACAATATAATTAATTTCATACATATACATATAGAAATAAATATATAAGAAATAACTAAAAATATATATATATTGAATCTCACTTTTATTCAAATAGGTTGGATTATATCATTTAAAAGTTTTGATGTAGAAAATAATTACTTTATAATGAAATTGGAATGTGAATTTGACAATTTTGAGATTTGTGATACATATGAAAATAAATTAATTTCATGGCTGAATAATAGTTTTAATGGATTATTCAATTCCTTAAGTGACCTTAGTTAGTTTAACATTCTGTGGTAGTTGCAAACAATAAATTGTTACTGCTACCATGTTAGGATTGGATCTTGGATAAAAAAATGATTAGACTCCACAAGTCTTACAAAAGTAGTGTTTAGCCTAAATTTAAATTAAATATTTACTTGTTTGGTATTAAAAGTGTATAAACTAAGTTCTTCCATACTTGTCAACAATTTGAATTTAGATTGAGGAATTAGAACATGATGATTTTATTTCATACGGCAAATAGAACAAGCACACTATATTACTTCCATTTCAAGAGGGCCAGAGAATTCAAATTATACTTTGCAACAATGACAACCACCTTAAAATAAATGTTCCATTTTCTTAATTTTTTTATATATAATTAACGTGTAATATATTATTATAAATATATATATAAAGTATAATAGCTTAATAGTATATCAAATAGACTATATGAAGAATTATTCAAATAATAAATTTTAAATATAAATTATTTCTAATATTAATTATATATTTAGAATAATTGTTTCATATTAATTACATTGTTTTTGTTTATTAATAAAACATTAGATATCATAAAGACTCAAAATGTAATAAAATTTGGAAAAAATACAATAGCTATTTATCAATTTCATAAATATAGTACTCGTAGCCAAGCCTCTATTTATTTTTTAATCATTAATTCAATCTAAAATTGAATATTTATGAGTTGGAATGTAAAATAGATTCCTCCTAATTATTTTCTCAATTTCTTAAACCACCTAAATCTCTGTATGTCTATGTTTTGGTCTTTTTAACTATAATAAAGCTTTCCTCTATATAAATTAAGGAAAAGCATGTTATTCTGACCAGTCTTCTCTTTTTTTTACTGATTCATTGTTTTATAATCTTTTTGTTAATACCCTAGGTGTAATATTATTTAATTTAAGTCTTGGTAATTCATTTCTCCTTTCAGAGTTGATTTAATGAGTTAGATGATGAACATCTTTAATATCACTTATATTTTTATTTAATGAGGTTGTATGTTAATTATTACAACGTGATCTTGGTCTAATTTCATCATTATACCAAGGCCCAATATCTTGATCATATTACATTTTTTATACTAATAATATTTTTAATGCGTAAATTCTTTACTCAAATTCCTAAAGCTGTTGAATTATTGAAAGCAAATCCAGCTCTACCTGTTAGAGCCCATATTGAATACTGTTCAGGATGAGGATATCGTTCATAAGCTATTTTAGCTGAAGTATGCTTAAAGCATCTCTATCCAAAAAGTGAAGTCACTTTAAATTCACCAGATTCTGTAAGAATATTTGACTATTTATATAGAGAACAGGTAATATTGAAGTGACAATATTTAAATCTGATGGAAAAAAAGAATTAGTCCATTCTAAAAAAAATGGTTAAGGAAATATAACACCAGATAATGTTGCTGAAATCATGTAAAGAGTAATAAGGTTTGTTGAATGAAAACAAAAAATATTGAATATAATAGGAAAATTAAAAAGATTAAATGAATGAAGAATTGGAAAGAAATTTTGGATTCCAATTTTGAAAAAGGAATTTTAATCTGTTTAAATGAAACTATTGTATTCATCACATATAAATTTAAAATATAATTCTTAACAATTTAAGGATATTTTATTACATATTTAATTAGATATCTCAAAAATAGATTACATACTTTTCAAATTATATTGTTTGAACTCTTCATATTAGATTTACTTTATGTAAATGTTTTTAATTTTCTAATTTTTATATTATTCCTTGTATTTCTAATTTATTAAATAATGATAAGAATTCTAAGCTTGTATTGTATATATTCCTTTTAATTTAAATTGATATTTCTACTTCTATTTAAACATATATTTATTTTATTATCTTCCCTTTAATTATATATTTTTCTATGTAATCCTTTTTGGGATACATTAACTAATAAATAATCATAAGTGTAAAAAGTTTCTAAATTATTAACTCTTTAAGGAATTATGCAATCTGTTAAATTGATTATACTTAAGATTTTTTATATCACAAATTTTTTAATTGCTGTAGTTAATTAGTGAGAAATAATCTTATCATCTTAAAAAAATTTTAAGGTTTCTCATATCAATTTTAATTCTATCATTTTGATTTATTAAAAGTATGACTCCATCTCTTCAATATTTAAATGGAAAAAGGACTTTTTAACATTTGCATTGAACTCTACATATATACGATTATATTCTTCTTTGGTTACTCATAGATCTTGATTAAATAATATTTTTTAATATGATATTTCATTAATGGTTTTAGAAAAGTATTGTTTTTTAGTTTTAAAATTAAATGATATATATATCATATGATTTCTGATAATTTCAGAAAACATGATTCTTAATTTTGTAATGATTTTTGGGATGTTCTACAATAGAGGGTATTATTTTGATTATCAATATAAATAGTTTCTATAAAGAGATCTTTTTAATTTAGATTCATTTTATTAGTAACAAATGAGGAATGCATTAATAATTTATTATTTTTAACATTTATTATCTTTAATTTATGATAAAGTAATCAATTTAATTATTATTAATAATTAATCTAATTATATAGATCTATAATATTATATTATAAGTAATTAGCAGAAATCAAAAATTTAATAATAATATTAATTTTCCGCTATTTTTAATTTAAAATGTGTATAGAAGAAGTCTAAATAGACAAAGGATTGGAAAAGTTTGTTAATGTAGCTATGAAATAGTATATAATATATATAATATAAGCTATTCTTGTAGATATGGAACAAAACAGGATAATTGGAGATCAAAAGCAGAAGCTTAATGGAATGGTCTTCCTTTGTATAAAGATAAAATGAAAGTGTTGGAATTTATGCAAAGTAAAATCAAATAATTGGAAGGACCTTCAATAAAAATTACTAAATTCTTTAAGCAAATACCTCATTCTGATGTTTAATAATAATAAGAAATTCAAGTTGCATAGATTTAAGAATAATCAATTATTGAAGAATAAGCAAGAATGTCTACAGTTCAAAAATCTAAGAATTCTAGATATAGTAAGTTCTTTGAGGAAAATTATTGGAAAATGAAATTAGAAAATGAAATTCTAACTCATGAAGAAATACAGTTATTAATAAAGAAATTATGGGAAGAAAATGAAGAAGATAGAGCACATAATATGAGTAAATAAAAATTAAGTTTTTGATACTCTAATTTTTATTCTTATTTTTTTATAATAAAATTCGTTAAGAATGTTGATTTTTTCACTATCAATTATAAATATTCATATTATACTTATCAATCATAATATAAGAGATAATCAATTAAAATATAAGAGAATTTCTATAAAAATGAACTAATTTTATAGTTAAGAATGATATATCATATAAAGATTTATTAGAAGTAATTATTACTTTATTAGTAAGCTTTTGAATTTATTAATAAAGGTAAATACATGAAATAATAATATTCATTTGATAAATATATAAACTCTATCAAAATAACTATGTATCTGAATTTATAAAATTTTCATTTATTATAAATAAGCAAGTGAGAAAATACATATTATGATAATATTTATATGTTATAATCTTGTAATAATGTAACAACTAGTTTACAATATAAGTAAGTGGTTGAAAAGTATTAACATTTTTTAGATGAGAGAGCTAAACTAAAGTAAAGATCAGAAGATAAATTAAGCATTGCTGTAAAAAGAATATATTTAAACTCTCTATTACCTTCATTATAATCAGATCATTATTAACAGACAAATAGAATTAGTCAAAGACTGTGTACTTTATAAAAAGAATAATATTCGTAATTTAAATAGGAATCTATAGATTAAATAACCAATAATATTTAAAAATCAATAGTCACTCCTAATTCAAATTATGTTAATTAATTTAAGCATCGGAAATCATAATCAAATTTAGATGGTTCTCATTTGTAAGGATTTCTTAATGGACTTTATAAATGTGATAAATTAGAACATCATTCTAGACATATTTCAATAAAAGACTTAAATTAGAAATAAAGAAAATAATCTGATGAATGTTAAGAAAATCATATTCATTTACCATCTCTATAATAACCATAGAATGAATTAAGTAAACATATTAATAAGAAAAATACATCAAAAAAGGTTTCACATGAAGAAATCTTATGTACTAATAGATGGGAAAGAGATAGAGGTAATAATGTTGTGAGAATTGATAGATTATAAGTAGATTAATTAACAAATGATATTTTTGATTATCTCTTATCTTAAGATATAATCAAAATGTATTTTGAAAACATAAATCTTAATTAATTACAAAATATATTGTAAGAATTACTTAAAGGGGTTTATTATGAAAATTTAATTAATTTTGAATAAATGATTTCATATTTTACTACACTTTAATTCTCTTATCTAGAAATCTTTTATATTAAATATGCAATAGCTTAAGCATTAATTAAAGCCAATTACAACTATCTATTTATTGAAAGAGCTCTCAATTAATTTGAAGAATATAGATATTTAATATAAAAACCTATTCCTTTTATTACTAAACTTTTTGATAATATATTTTACTCAAGTATAGCCAAAGATCTTATGTTGAGATTACTTAGAAGTGTTTCCTA